GACCTTAAATGGGAGCCTACTGTAATTGTTGCTGGAATTTTAAGTTTAGCACCCCACACATCTCAGACCCCATTAATACTCTCACAGAGATGATTAAATGTGCAGAGACCAAAACGGATGCAGACCTGAAGTGACTGACTCATAAAAAAGCCCACAATAATATAATTAATTAACTTTGCAGTCATGACATTTGTGAAATGAGAGCTCTGAAGTTGGAGAAAAAAAGGTTTTATTCAAGTCTCGTTGTTATTCACTGGTACATCATTCTGGCAGTTGCTTCATTAAGACCGACAATGAAAACTTGTGTTACAATGAAATTAGCTTTTATGGAGCTTTGGGAATTAGATATGTTGGATATGAAATAAAGAACCGACCTGAGATTTGAACAAATTTCTGACAATACCTCTCATTACATTATTGCAAATATTTAGGGCTTTTCCATATTTGTCAAAGTACCACACCAAACTTGAAATGTGCAGTCATATTACCTTTTTTTTTTATATTCAATACTATCTCATTCTGGTGGCATTTTGTACATCATTTTGTCACAAAATTACAGCTTGCTGCTCGAATAGTATTTGTTATTTGTGTCTTTTAAGCTTTGTTTGTGCTCAGTTTGTTAGTAGATATAGCCGTACTCTGTATAATTACCATGCAACATCATGTGACCAGGAGTTCTGCAGGTAAAACAGTATGACTGTTGAAGTACACTAAAGCTGGGGATAAAGCTCTGATGTCTCTGCTGATAGCACTTGAACACATGTCCTTGCTAATGGAGCTACATGTGTTAACAATGCTTTTAAGCCATGCCCTTCAGCCTTTGGGTTTTTCAAAAGGAATTATAATATGATCTGGATTTATTTAGTAGCTGCGTCAATGGCCACCATCTGGCTTTTTAATAGTTCAGCTGTACTTCCTGTAGATGGCGCCATGTCTGTATTTCACGACCGCTGCTGTGGTTCTATTTAGGCTCAGAAAGGGCAATCAAAACACTCTCAGGGTGGACACTTGGAGTATATACCCTTATTTTATTATAATCAATGGAATTTTGGTCTTTTTGCTATAGGCATATTACCTTTCATTTGTTATTGTAATTTTTTTCTATCTTTGTGGTAGGACAGCACAAGGCAGCAGCTAATTTTGCAATGTGAGTGAAGACAAAAAAAGGTACAGCTAATGAAACATTTTATTAAAATAATAATTTTGATTAAGATTAAAATATGTTTTCAGCACAAAAAGAGGTATGTTTGATGTTAGAAAAGGAAGTATCTTTCAAAAGATAATAATAAAAAAAAAAAATCGAAAAGCAGTTTTAGTTGTGAATATTCCTCCAGATGGCATGTTTTAAAGGTAGATTCCTTTCTTAGTTATCAATAGAAACATCTTTGTGGGCATCACATTAATAAAACCCCTTTCATTACCTTTTTTTCCATCTTGATGATTCCAGTCAGTTGAACTATTTTGGTAAAATAAATGAATTTGGATCAAAACCTCCCTGGGTAGGAATTCTTATTTCACACGTTTGTCTGCCCTTCAACTGTAATTTGTCTTTTAATCTCCTCACCATGTCCGCACTTCTCTGAAGGTCTCAGGAATCTAAAAAAAAAACATTAGTAAAGAGTGTAACAAACAGTAAGGAAAACAGTGGACAGGCCAGGAATACAATTTTGGCTATTGGTTCAGGGACTGATTTAGGATAGACTATACAAGTAAAATTTGCAAATTAAGGCATTATTTGCAAATATATCAATTTATGCCTGATAGTTGACACAGAAAGGCTGTGGAAGCAAGATCTTCTTTCAAACGAGACCAAATAGAAAATGCTATCTGCGCTGGATGCCTTACACATCACATTGAAGACCATTGCTATAGTGAAACATCAGGATGGTAGTATCTTGCATCGGGAATGCTTTAATTCAGCAGACAGAGAAACCCTGGTCAGTGTTAATGGAAAGAAAGATTAACCTAAATGCAAGGTAAGCTGTATTGTTTGAGACTCTGAAAGACCAGGAACTGGGGTGGAGATTAACCTGTCCTCAGAACCACAACCTTAAACATTTAACCTGAGATAAAATAGATGAGATGAAGGCACAGTCATGTTGCATTAGAATGGAACAAATATCAGACCTAAATCGAGTCAAATCATTTAAAAGACTAGAAACTCATGTTGAGGGACTGCTTTACTGGCTAAATACTAATAAACAAACACAGAGACAAAAAAATGCATATAACAGTAATTCGTTTTGACAACAGAAAATAATTTAAAATTATAATCAGTGTGTAAAGTTGCCCACTGAAGGCCTACAGTAGGTACGAGATGCACTGCCCGCCGATGACAATGAGCAATGGCAGAAGTGGGCAAACTACCCCCAAAAAATAATTCAAGAAGGAGTAGTAATAACCAAAACACCAACATTATAAAACCAGTCTTTACACCAATTTTACACATTTTTAGCTTACATGAATGTGTAAGTGTTACAGTAGAAGAGAGTAACTAACTACCAATGACCATATCCACTGTTTACTGTATATTCATATGATCTCCAAATGGCTCCAGTTACCTGCAGTCAGTAAAGTATCCAGAATTTAGCATTAGTGAAACTTCACAAGGTTATCACCTGAGTAAAAGTAAAAAGCATGGTACAGTAAAGGTACTCATAGAAGTAGGTTATGAGTAATTGTAACTAGTTACTTCCCACCACTGGCCTACATGGACTACATCTGAACAAATTAAACCCTGCTTTATGGCTGATCAAAAATAAATGAATCTAACAGCCTCTCTGAACTTGATAAAGCGGATCTGAAAGAGCATATGACATCTGCTGCCTTTGAGGAGCCAGACTGCATTCAGCTTTGAGGAACCAAACTAAAGGGTCATTAAAGAAAAGACATGCTGTGCTACAGCTTCACAAACAGAAATAACTGGCGGATGAAAAAAGTTTTATTTATTTAGGGCATTCTCTCTAAGAGATAACACACATAAGCATACTTTTTGTGTTTTTAGACGTTTATTGGTCATTATAAGAATCAATATATTTCCTGTTTTTTTGTAGTTGAAAACTTTTTTGTCTTTTTTAAAACAATTCACAAAAACTTCATCTTTACTTTACCTGGTATCTTTTGCCTTTTTTCCAGATGTACCTGTTTACAGCAGGAATAATCAACAACAGTTCAATTAGGGCCAGAAGCCTAAAAGGACTGATGGATTATGAATTACTGGCACATTTATTTAGCTTGATAAGTACGAAGTCATAATGTTTATTATAAATGTTCATCAAGTTTTCTTTGAAAATTCTGCCCTCTGTCCTCATGCTGGGAACTGCAGCCAGAAGAGGCATAGCTAATTGATATCTCTCCTGCTGGCTGCTAAAAGAAAAGTCATTACATTGTGGAAATGAAGAATAATGGGTGGCCACTCTACACCATCATGGACTGTAAATTAATGATGCGCGATGATGCAGAAAATTTGTGTTGGTTTACAAAATGTTTTAGCAAGTAGGGTAATTTCAGTGGATTAAGGCTTATAAGTGTAATCATTCATGCTCCCTGTTTAGGCCTTTTATTAATCCATTGGTAGCTTAGTTGATGAAGGAAATGGTGCTTAAAAAAGTATAAAACACCACAATTTGATCATTACTATATATTTTTAGTTGGATTGTACGTTTTGAAACTTTAAACAGTAAATCATCTAAATTAGTTATTTTTTTATTTCCAAATTCATCTGAAAATATTCAGCTGGCATAAATTGCTGTGACAAAAGTATTCACCTTCTTACACATGTGGTCTGTTTTTACATATTTTTTTTTTATATCATTTTATTTATAAAGACAAAAAACATTAAAACCATTCTGCTCTTATGTAAACAAGTAATTGCTCCCTAATATCTAAAAACAATTTCTTCCGCCTTTTGTGGATACATTCCATTCTGTGTTTTGCTGTACCTGGCAATAGCTCCTTTTCTATTGCCTCTCAAAAGTCCCAGGGTTTTGAATGGATATATTTTCCTAAGCCGTTTTAAGACCTAAAAAGTATCTATTTTTAACTTGGGTTATCTTGGCCTGGTGGTTCAAATAAGATGATGATCTGAAACATTAACGTATCACATCTGCAAGGTGCGTCATACCTTACACAGCACTATTTAATGACTTCCAGGGGCCCGTGACCCTGCTCTCACTTTTTTTAGTAATGCTAAATTTCCTTATCTTGCATAATTTATTTCTCTGGCATATAAAAGTTAATCTGAATATCAGCAATTTTCCTGTGTGTATCCTGGACAATTGCTGCTGTGCAGGAGTCCATTTTCAGTGCAGCAATGGTCACCTTTAAATATAAGCTGCCCCTGTTTCAATCTTACTGGCATGTTGCAACATTTTTATACTTCTAACACTCCTCTCATCTCCCTCACTCTTCTTCCTCACCTTTGACTCCTTCCTCTCTCCTCCCATCTCAGACACGCTGTCTGTGTCCTCCCCTTCCTCTGTGTCTTTCTTTCATTCTCTATCTCAGTGCGCTGCTGCAGGGCTCTCAGCCTGATGTAATTTATGCTATCTCCTTTGCTAGCGTGAGAAAAAAGGGTTTGAAGCCAACTCTCTTCAAGCTGAGTGTTCCTGTGGGAGGCTGTAAGCCAGGCCCCGCTGAGTTTTACCCTTTTGCCATGCTCGCGATGCAATGACCATTCATATATTAGGAGATGCACCAATACTAAATGGAAGCTGAGAATAATTAAAGCCTCCTTGGTAGCGGATATCTGCTGTAAAGAAAATTAAATGAGATGTCGCTACTGGAAAAACCTGCAGCGTTTATTTCACCACCAAATGTCAGTTAAAGTTAAGATTCAGTGAGCTGCCTGTTGATGTGAAAGCATTTGGCTCACAGGTCCTGAGTCTAATTGAGCTCACCAAACAAACTGAATTTCCACGTCGCTAAAAGCTTCATACTGAGTTTGGAAATGATGGAAACAGAGTTGATGTTGACTGTTTATGTTTTTCATGCATTTGCAGGGCTGTAATCCATTTCAATGACAACAGAGACGATTTTGGCAGGGGAAATGAAGACGGCAATGGAGGGTGACGCCAGGAGGACCAATCAGGTGTGAGCATTGTGAAACTCACAGCAGCTGTAGTCCGCTCAATTACTTAGGTCCCTTCCAGCTTTCTAGTTGAAATGCAAGACAGCTTGTCCTTCCTGTCAGTGCCAATACCTAACATCTTAAAGCAGTAGCTGACCTTGCATGCATTGGTTGTTTATCTTTGAGATTAGAACTAAATAGATGGATGATATGAGAACTTATTGAAAGTCAATTATTTGATTAAATACTTAAAATATTCATAATAATATATTAATAATAATATATATTAATTGGGATTTGAGGTGAAAGACCAATATAGTACCTGAGTGTAAAAATGACGGAAAGATATTCTCGTTTTATATATATATATATATATATATATATATATATATATATATATATATATATATATATATATATATATATATATATATATATATATATATATATATATATATATGTGTGTGTGTGTACATTCATATGTATGTATATATACTTATTTGTGAGTGTATAGACATTTGTGTGTGTATAGACTTATACAAATGTGTATATCTATATACACACACACACATACATATATATATATTATATATATACTAATTAAATGCTTAAAATATTTATAATAATATATTAATTGGTATATATATATATCTATATATATATATACATTTATGTATAGCTATGTGTTATCTTACTTTTTAGCTATTTTCTCTGCTTGCCATTAAATTTGACTGAAACTAATGATACTTTTATATGGGTGAGGGGTGGGGGGTGTTCAGTATGTTCTTCTCTTTTGTTGCAAAATTAAAAATTTAACTATGCATCATTCGTCTTCAACCTCACTGTATTGGTCAGTATGATATAAAATGCTACAAAAACCATATATATATTTTAGTGTTATAATACAACCAACTGTTAGATAGCTCAAAGTGTATCAATTATTTTTGAACTAAATGTATTTGAATACACCTAGTGTTGGAAATCTTTATTGCTTGCTAAGATGAGTTACTCTTTTACAGGTTCCTGAAGACCCAGGAGACCTGGATGATAGCTCAGAGAAGACTCCCAGCAAAGCCTCCAGATCACCCCAGAAAACCACTAAACGGCTTAAGACTGTACCCGTGAAAGTCACTCTTCTTGATGGCTCTGACTATGATACTGCGGTTGAGGTATGGCTACCTACTTGAAATGTTTCCAAAATCATAATTTAAAAAACACAGCTGATACTATAATGCACATGCACTAGTTTATCATAGATTCCGCTTATTTAGATCTGGAATCTATCTAAAAACAGATATATCAATACTCATGCTGTTATATCATATTAAAAACTTAGAGCCACCAACCAAGTGGGTTCAATTTTGTCATAGCATGCTACTGGCAATTTAAGTGTGGCCATAAAAGTAAGATCATGTAATTTGTGACAGTGATGACAATAAATATTTAAAAACAAGATGTCAGTCTTTTTTCTTAAACGATAACTGAGAATATGCAGATGTCTACTCCAGATCTTTTTTTTTGCTTGTTCGACCCTCTGAGATGGGGCCCTGGAGTGCTTGTTTCCTTAAAGTTTACCCTTCGTGTGGTTTGGCCAAAAACAAAGATCCTAGGCCCTTTTAAAGTCTTTGTAGAACTTAGCAAACTCCCTCTTTTATACTTGAGTCAGGAAAAAAGCCATTTTTGCAAATAACGTATAATTGGCTTTTTATTTTTGTTTTGAATAGATCATGATTACCAACATGTCTTTTTTGTTGTACCTCATTGACAGAAATCAAGGAGCTTGTCTTGTCTTTTCTTTTTACCGGGCCTATTAACTATCCTTAAGACCGAAAAATCGAAATGAATTCGGACTCTCATCCAGTCTGTCTTACCCCAGGTAAAAAATTTTTTTAAAATTGTGTGGTATATGTGGGTATGTTTAGGTTAGTATGAATGCTATTGTGTATCATCATTGACCTATATAGATCAACATATCTGCCTTTTTTAAAGACTTTTTCTATCAGTACCCTGACAAAATATATGGGTTTTCAAGAGCAGACTAAGCTTTTAATGATCTCTCGAAAGCTCTCCTTTTTTCTTCTTTGCCTGTTTAATCTATTTCAAAACCAGCTTTAATGTGTCTGGATTGTACAGAAGAAAAAAGAAAAAGAAATGAAGACAATATCCACAGTTTCCACTATTCTATCCACTTTGTGCAATAAGGCCATCGGTCCTCAGAATGATCCTCCAGATTCCTCCACATTCATATACATAGTTAGATAGACTGATTTGAAAACTCCCATTGGGTCTGTTTTGATTTATTAGCTTCTCCGTAGTTTGTCCAAAACAAGTGCATGTGTTCAAAAGCATAGGTTGCCTTATCCGTCCATAATTTTACATCAACACAGTCCAGCAGAAGAAAATGTGATGCTGTATCTGCTCCCATTAATAGGGTTATGGGGGATGGGAAGGACATATAAACAATCCCAAGCTTAAATAAATTGCGACTCTATGCTACAGTAGAGTCAGTGTGTTTGTAAACAGACAGATTTCCCAGAACCCCCTCTGCTCTGCTTATTTGAATTTTACAGCCATCCACATCTTCATAGTCACCTGCCAAACGATATGCATCCTCTGAACAGACATGAATGGGGAGGGTTGTCGCATGGAAGACTGGAGGATCCTGTGAAGAGCTCAAAGAGCTTCATGGATTCATGCACAAAAGCTTAACTGGAGCCCCATTGCCTTGGCTACTGATGAAGTGTGAGGTGGCTTTGATTGAGCTTGTTGGTCGCAGCGTTACCATTACCTACTGTACTCCATTTATCGCTCACTGCCAGACAACTGACCTCTTATAACACACACAAATACACTTTTCCTTCAACTCAGCCTCTATATTTTCTTCAGTCTTAGCTACATGCACACATACACACAGGTCATCTGGGAAGTGACACTTGAGGTAGTGGGCTGTGACAGGAAATCCATACAGTTGATCCATGAGGGCTCTTAGGTTTGACCGGAGGTAGAAAATAGAACAGGAGAGGGAGAGAAGAGGAAAAGATGAAGGGTGGACTTGGAGGTAGAGAGGAAGATGGAGCAGAGGGAAAACAACAGGGAGTGCCTGTTTGTGTGCTGTAGTATGGATGAGTGGTTTGATGTGGGGGTATAAGAAAACTGGAACTGAATGGTAAATGCGCTGAAATCATTACTTTAATTAGAGTCGTAATGTTTGCAGAGCAAGCTGGAAAGGATTATTAAAAGGAAACAGGGAAGAAGGACAAACCTACTATTGATATTTAGCACACAACAGTATAGGTATTGACTGGGAAAAGTGCTATATGTGTCCAGTTTTCTTGCCTGAGTTTTTTTTTAAATTATTTATCTAGTAAAGAATCTGGCACTCATCTAAAAATATATATATAAAACTAGTGTATTTCACTACAGAATATTTTATGAGACAGCTTATTTGTTTTTTCATTGTCCAATCCCCTGGTTTCACTATTTTAACTACAAAAAAATTTTTTTTTAGTCTAATCTTTTACTATCTATTTTTTTTTTATTTAATAAGTAATTTAGTTTGTTATTCATCATCCTGCTCAATAGTATCTAATATCCTTGCTATAGCCATTGAATCAGAGTTGGCAGAAGAAGTTAGCTCTCAAAAGAAAACAAAAATGTTTGCCCTTGATCAGGTAGGAATCTGTAAAGCAGTCAAATAGAAAGTGCAACACTTTTTTTACAGTTAACAAGCAATGTTTTGTTAAATATACGCTGCTGCTTTTGCATTTAGAATTAGATCTTCTCCTCAGCTGCTGCATGTCATGGTTCATTCAAAAGGATATTTTTAGCACCATATGTCTTTAAACATATGTGACCAACCTTAAATTTTTAACTGTATATTATTATGTTGAGGCATAAAAAGTAATATTTTTCTTATACATTGTATGGTATTTTTTTGTTTGAAGTAAAAAAGCTAAATCCTAATAAGAATAATGAGTACATTACCTTGCAGGGCAATGAAACATATTTTATCCAAGAATTGGTTTCGTAATCTAAATTAAGCTTTTATACTGTGACAAACTGTAGTGGTTGTTTGATGTGACTTAGATAGCTACAGGGTTACTCCTCCCAGCCAGTAGGTAATACACTCATTCTGGTCTGCTCTCATTCCAACCTTTAATTGTACTGTTTGCCAGCTGGCTTCCAGATCCACAAATGCTCAATTATTTAACTAGCTGGTCCAGAAGGAAAGGGGTAAACTGTGCTGCTTCTGAGCCCTTCTTCCTTAAATTAGCACCAACACCCAAAAGCTTGACCAGCATTCACCCTTGTTTTCATTTTTTTTTGGTCTACTTGAATCTTAAAAAATGTAATGCTGAGAAAAAGCGCATTTTTTAGTTATCACAGTGTGACTACAATCTGGAAACGCCTGAGCGTGACTTCAACTCAATTGGTGCAGAATTCCATGATGTTGATGTTGGACAAGTCAGAATTTGTTAAACAATTCAACAATTCACATTTTTTGTAAGTAAAATAATTTTTATTATGTACCACTCTTTCTGTGGAAGTATTATTATTATTTTAGAAGTTTTTGTTTTAATAAAAAAATTGTTATCTATGACCTTTTAAACAGGTACTAATTGTCAGTCCTCAACATCAATTGGCAAAGAGTGGATTTCAAAGATTTTTACTAAATGGCAGAAAACACAATTATCACTGAGAAATACGGTCAGAAATGTGACTTCAGAGAATTGATGTGACGTGGAAATCTAATCTGTAGTATCTGAATTGGTTTCCATGCTTTTGGGAATTCACATGATGTTTGACGCAATTTCAATTTGAGGGAGAAAATACTACACTCACTAGATGGAACGCTCTGGCATCTAACCAGCATTCTCTGGAGAAATAAACACAATAAATTAGTCTGGAAAAATTAATCAATCATCTTTCCTTCATTTTTAAAGTTATCTTTTCGGCAATTCCAGCTTTTTTCAAAACAAAGGTTTGCATGAGCCTTGTAGTAAAAGGAGACGGAGGAAATGAGAGGGCGTACACACAGACTAAAGGGACCTATTACTCCTGTTTCTATGGTAACAGCTGCTTGGTTGCCTTGTCACCATAAGAGCCAGGTCTCCCTTGGAGATCTATCTGGTGTGTGTGTGTGTGTGTGCTCTGTAATGATGTGTGTGTTTGACTGTGCCAGCTCTGCCTGCTCAACCCACGCAGGCCTTCATTTCAGCCCCGAAGAGCCTGATAGAAGCTGGGTGTGGTTTGTTCCAATGCCACATGATATAAAATGCTCTTTTCAACCCTTTTTCAGTGGCTGCTGAAGCTAAACAGGGGGGGCAACTCAAGCACATTTGAAGTAGGTTAGAGTGGATAGGTGACATATCTGACTTGAAGGTAGAAACTAATAAGGACAAAGTATAAATAATCAGAGACAACATTTCTAACTTATTAATTTGAAGGAAATTTTAATTTTTACTTGAGTTCAAACTTTGTAATGCAGATAAAAAATAAATACTTTCTGCAACGACATACAACTTGTACAGCTCAATTTAATGTTTATCCATAGATGTGGACTGTATATTGCCTATTATCAATATATTTATTATTTCCTGTAGAGGCAGACATTTCTTGTACTTGGCGTCATAGTGGAAAGTATTAAATAATTAAATACTTACATTTAGTTCAGAAAGACCACTATTTAAGTAACATTTTATAGATATTTCAGTAAATATTTCAGTTGGTTTAAAGGCCGTTGTTGATGCTCCTATATGTTCTTTATCATCATTTTTATAGATGATCAAGTTTGGTTGTCTTAAATGACATCAAAGATAAAGTTGATGTTGGTTTCACTTTATTACTATCAACTGGCTATTTTGTTAAGATCTGTAATCCACTATTATTTTTCTTTTTTAATAGATTATAAAAAAGAGAAACTGATACTGATATGTATTCTGTATATATAATGTATACACAATTTGTCTGCACCATCATCACCAAGTAAAATGCCTTGTAAGTGGAAACCTTCTTGGCAATAAACTTGATTCTGATTCTGGGTACATACAGACAAAAACTATATTAGAAACGATATGAAAGTATAATAACAACATAACAAATTCTTTGCTGGATTTGTGATATTTGCTAAATGTTATACTTTGCCACATGTTGATTGCTCTTCTTTTGTCTTCCTGTCTATTATGTATGTATTTGTGTTTTTAACAAGAAATTCGCCAAGGGCCAGACCCTGCTAGACATGGTGTGCGGCCACCTGAACCTGCTGGAGAGAGACTACTTTGGCCTGTCTTTTATGGATTCCGATAACTCTAAGGTTGGACCCAGAAATGTAAACAAATACCTAACACTGGCTACATGAACTTTGATTATTGTACTTAAGCTGTACTGTAAGCCCACATGTGGTTATCAGAAGAAACATAGCTTTGACCAACTGTAATACTTTAAAGGTTTTACCTTTATTGTGAGCAATTTCTTTTAAATGCTGTAAAAACTCATAACTTTCTACAATTAAAGACCTGAAAAAGCACCACTTGTATAGATGCAGTTGAGAGATTATTTCTCTTTCCATAAAAGCTACTTTGTTTTAATAATAATCTCATTACCAGTATTTAAGAGGATTATCCCACCTGTCTTATTTTTCAGTATGGGAGCACTCAGACTCCTGTCGCCCTTTTAATAACACTGAACCACTTATAGATTTAGAATGACATACATGACATTTAATATTTTACATTTAATGTTTTCAGATGTGATCATGGAGCTTGGCCTTTTAGCAAAACTGCACAGGGTGTTCAGCACGCTGCAAAAGCTTCAGTGACATTGAACTGACTAAATTAAAATTGGCTTACATTTTTAGTCCAAGTATTGCCACTTTTCATGATGATAGAAGCTTTTTTTAATCAAGTCTCTAGCATGAATATATTAGGCTTTCATCGAGGGAGGAACAGTTAGAGCGATCTATAAATATGAATTAGGAAGATTCTGCCTGAGTTGAATTTTTAAAAGGGGTTTTCTGTGCTTATCAGAACTGGCTGGATCCTTCCAAAGAGATTAAGAAGCAGATTCGGGGTAAGTGTTGTTAAAATACTGCCAACATCTGACATATATAGGAAGATGTGCACACATCATATTTCAAAGTTGAGATCTTCCAAAAAAAATTTCTTTTGACAGTTGGTTCCTGGAGTTTTGGGTTTGCGGTCAAGTTTTACCCACCAGATCCATCTGTGCTAATTGAAGACATCACAAGGTAGAGTGGGTTTAGACAAAGACATATTTCAATTCCTTCAAAGCCTTTTTTCTTCTCTGAATATATTTGACCTTTTAAGGTGTACAACATAATTTTTGGGGGATCGGAGAACTGTTAAAGCACAAATACACATGCAAGTAAAGAAATTTCAACTTCTAATAAGTAAGTTTTTCTAGACACTTGGTTGGGCCTCCTTAAATATTATATGGTAAATATTTCAAAGACGTTATGCGTTGTGAGATGTGCCTATATTCATCTGTGCTTCCAGCACTCTGACCTTTAGAAGTTAAAATCTAAAATGCAAGTTTGTAACTGTTGGAATATAATTAGCCAACAATTGCTCTCCAAACACACCTTTGCTGTATACTTTTTTACACACTAATAATGGAATTTTAATTTCTTTGCCATATATCTTGCATTCATGAATCGAATACCTTGGTCCAATTTAAATCATGAAGGTATTAAAGCCAGCTGGGATCAAAAGTCTAGGGTCCATTATGTAATGAGCAAATTTAGCCAACTCAGGACTACAGCAATAGCTGAACAGAGAGAGTGCCTTATTTGTATTTTTTCACTTTTAAAATATTGTAATTTAGGCATAATTAACAAAATAAACAAAAATATTTATATTTGGTATTTAAATGATTGTGTTCTAATCTGCCCCTTCTATCGACCTTGTACTGTGACTGTCAAAAACCTGGTATTTGCTGGAGGCAAGCATCACTTTTTGGGCTTTCTCTAAATTTTTTTTATAAAAATAAATGCCATTTATTTCTGGAATACCAGAACTTAATCTTTTAATTTCTTTTAAAATATTCAAATAAAAAAATGGGGATGAAAAACAAGACTTTTTATAATCTTTTTTCCCTCAGCTATGCACCAAAGTTAGTATGTACAGTAGATTAAGTACAATGTATAGCACATATCAGCAGCAAGGCAATACAAAGCTCTTTACATAAAAAAAAAAAAAAACATGAGATTAAATGTATAGTTGTATAATTAAAAACAACAATCAAGTAGACTGCAAATTATCAAAACATCTAAATGACCTCACGCAATTATACTATCTATCAACCAGATACACAGTATAATAAAAGGGACATAGTCATTGTTTAATAAGTTACATTATTTTGTTTAGAGGAGCTTTTCATCTGGACTGATTTGTAGACTGTGACTGACAGGTAGCATTTTACAGGTGGGTCTTCAGCCTTAATCTAAAGGATTTAATTTTTCAGCTGTTTTGTAGTCTTAATGTTTGGTTCTGGGGAAATACGGTAGACTGGGACCAGAACACGTGATTGTAAGTCTTGTATTGTGGTGCTAAACTGTACAGTGATTTATAAACTAATAGAAGTACTTCTAACTGTATTCTCTTAGCTAAAGGTATCCAGTGTAAGAACTGTTAAACCTGGTGGGATGTGCTCTATTTTTGTAGTCTTTGTGAAAACGCAAGCAGTAACATTCTGGATTAGCTGTAAGAGAGATTTATAATAGATTATTATAAATAGATTATAATATATTCATTTTGCAGAACTATGAAGGTACCATTACCATAGAGTTATCAAAGCGACTGAAGACAAAAGCCTTGATGACTGTTTCTAGATCTTATTCTGACATTAGTTCTTAAACTCTTTGGAGTTGTTGATCAGGTGGTAGAAACCTTACTTTGTACCTGCTGGAGATTTTTTTTAGAGAAGGCCCACATAATAATTTGTTCCAGTACTTGGATAGGTTTGGAGTAAGGTGGTCATAACATGATATAGAGCTGTGTATTATCAGAACAGTTGTGATAACTAATCTTCATTAAAGAAAAATAATTATCTGGGATTGTTGGATCTTGTACCTAAATATCAAATAGTATGGGCCCCAGGATTGCACCTTCTGGTACTCCACATGTCAAAAATTGCCTTCTTCCACAGTTAGGATTTGAACCAATTCAGACCCAGTTCTTCATTCACTTTAATAATATTTAACGGAGAATAGTGTCAAATGCTGCCCTGAGGTCCTACAGAACCAGCACTATGGTTTTTTTCCCCAGACTGTGTTTGTGTGGATATCGTTGAACACTTTGATGAAGGAAGCCTCAGTGCTGGGGTGAGCACAGAAGTTCGAAAAATATTAAAGCCGTTTGTTTTTGTTAAGAAGCTATTTAACTGTTGAAATGCTGTTTTTTTTTCTCCAACAATTTTACTTATGAATGGAAGATAATAGTAATTTATCTAAACTTTTTTAGGAGCTCTTCCTTTTAACAGAGACATACCTTTTGTTAAATGGCAGTTGGATTGTCCATTTAACTCTCATGACAATAATTAAATCTAACAATTCCGTTTTGATATACTGTAGCAGGCCATGTGTTTCATTTCAAAGTTTGTGAATACGAGACCTATATTCGTTTTTTTGGACAAAAAGATCATTAACTTATTTCTATTTCGATGCATACCATAAGCAAAGTTGCCTCACAGTTTACAGATTATTGGAAAAAATAATTCCCTAAGATCTTCTAAAGAAGCGGATGGAAGCAAATATGATAATTTTATTTTGACTACTGAGCCACATTGCGATTGCTGCTTTTTATATATAGATTATGATATTGGGCAGAGAGTTGCATCACTTTGTTTTCTTGAGCATATTTAAAACTTTGAAATATTAGTTGCACCATTTCTGTTTGCTGACCAGCACTAACCTCCTAAGAGCCATACATAGCAAGGATTTTCACTGAAAACCAAAGACTAGGATCAAGTAGCAGATTTTTAAGACTTTGATTTGTTTTTGAAATAAGTTTTTTTTCTGCATCTCTCATTTATTTTTCTGATTTGTTTATAAGGTACTACCTGTGTCTACAGCTAAGGGATGACATCCTCTCTGGCCGCCTCCCATGCTCATTTGTCACACATGCTCTGCTGGGCTCCTACACAGTCCAGGCTGAACTGGGAGACTACGACCCTGAAGAACATGGCCCAGACTACGTCAGTGACTTCCACTTTGCTCCAAACCAAACGCGAGAACTGGAGGAGAGAGTGATGGAGTTGCACCATAACTATAGGTCATAGAAATGACTATGATTACCACAGCAATGCATGAATGAGCTTAAAGTGATAGTAGTAAATTAATAATCCTCTTTTGGGATTTATTCTTTAGGGGGATGACTCCAGCAGAAGCAGAGATGAACTTCCTAGAAAATGCAAAGAAGCTCTCAATGTATGGAGTGGATCTTCATCATGCAAAGGCAGGAATAGATTACTGTCATTGTTCCTGCTGGAATTCTGTATCCCCTAATGTCTTTTTTTGATTACTCTTTGAAAATCTTTTTACCTTTCCTAGGACTCTGAGGGAATAGACATAATGCTTGGCGTCAGTGCAAATGGGCTTCTCATCTACAGAGACCGCCTCAGAATCAATCGCTTTGCCTGGCCTAAAATCCTTAAAATCTCATATAAAAGAAGCAACTTCTATATCAAAATCCGTCCAGGAGAGGTAAACCAAACTATACATGTGTAATCTTTCCAGATTTATGTGGTTTAACTAGAATTCACTGCAGAATTATTGCATGCCCATTCTCACAAGAACAACCACATGGCCACTGAAGAAGACAGGAAACATGAAAGAAGGAAATTATTAGGCACAGAGCCAACAGGACATTTTTATTTCATGGGTTCACAGTTGTTAAAATTACATCTTTGCCCTTCTTGGTTGGTGCCAAGCAGCACAAATAGTCATTTCATGGTTTGATAGGTGTTGCCTCTGTGATTTATCTGGTACAATCCACCTTATCCGCTATAGTCATTATTCATAGCCCTTAGAGACACCTCAGTAAAGATTGAGTTGATATGTCTTGCTTTTGTTTCTCTCTAATTGTGATGAGGTTTTTGATTCCATATTAAGCAGGGAATTAACTTTTGTTTCCATTATTTGAATTATTATGATTTTCCTTCCCCCTTTGGCTTCCAGGTTACTGCAGACTTCTTTGCTTTCACTGTTAAACTTTCACTGATATCTTTGTGGTGAACACGAAGGCCATTTTGTTCAGCCGCTTTCTTTGTCATATTCATCTTTTAAGTCAGCCTTCAATTCAGGTGTCCCTTGAGGATATATTTCTTTGGCATATTAAAGTGTTCTTATTCTGTACTGTCCCTGCAGATTTTTTTGTGTGGAACAAAAGCTCACCTTCTCATGTCAATGGACATCTTTCAGCCTTTGAAGATCCCTTATCACTAATAACTATTGATTTAGCAGTATCTCCTCTGCGCACCACTGAACTGCTCTGCTGGGTTCTTAAATGACTAATTTATAAGGTAGTTTTAGATGGCATTGTGTCCTGAGAAAATAGAATACAGTTCCATGAGTAAATAAAAAAGAAAAAGAAGGTTTATTCTCTCCATTACTCAGGAATAAACACAGTTCATCTTACTGCCATCCTTCTGTCTGTCCACACACCTGGTTCCCTCACGCTCCTTTTCTTCTTCACTCCCCCTCCCCCCACCGTCTTCACCACCTTCGCCCTCAACACTCAGTATGAACAGTTTGAGAGCACCATAGGCTTTAAGCTGCCCAACCATCGGGCCTCCAAGCGCTTGTGGAAGGTCTGCATAGAACACCACACCTTCTTCAGGTAGGACTTCATACACATGGATGGACGGATGCATCTTTGCACACTGCATGCATGTTAACTCTTGGCATGTCGGATATGAATGCTGTTGAAAGACATCTCACAGTTTTTATTATCTAAAAAAAGAAAAGAACTGACTGTTAATAAACTGACTTGTTAATAAAAAAAAGTAATCCTGATCTCCATCAGGTCTAAGGGCTTCCATAAAAATCTCTCTCTTTAGGCAGGTTTGCTCTCTTCTTCATTTAAAACTTTGTGGATTTCTTTGCATTTGACAACTTTCAGATATGTTTAAGCAATCTATATAAATCCTGGGATACACTGTGTGATATTTTCAATCGCAGCCATATCTCAAATTGTGCAAGAGTTCACAGTTGTAGGTCCTCACACTATACAAACTGACGCTCAGATTTGATCAGACTACTCCCACTGTAAAACTCACTCACACAATAAATTTTGTTATTCGTTAAAGTTTACATACCCTTCCTTTAAAAATAGAAAAAAAAAACAGATGCCAGTTAAAAATATTTGAATTACCAGTCTAAATTTATAATTTTCTTTAATGGCAGGTCATGTAAACTTTAAAGCAAATCTGTAAAGGTCAGTAGTCATAGAAGAAGAAGCACATTACATGCATATGGGTAGTGTGAAAATCTCAGAGGTAAGATTTCTCAATCTTGTGTGTCACTACTTCAACATAAGCCACACCCAAAATATCAAACAGTTTTGACTTTCTTGTTACCCACAATTTCTGATCAGGAGCTCAGCGTGAGTAGCGAATCGCCTGTGGTCACCCCCTTTTATACAACAGAGCGCACAACACACTATTTGGCCAAAAGTACTATCCAAAAACTGGAAACTGGAAAATCATCTCTAAAAGCACTAAAGACATACAGTGTATGCAGGTCTTAAGCTATTCACACATGAATAGCTAAATAATAAAAACAGATTATTTTTAAACATTTTGGACCTTTCTTTTACAAAATAATGCAGGATCTTAACGTGAAGGACATCATATTTGCACCAAAAGGTTATCCTCAAAGAGCTATCAGGTAAAAATAACTGCAGCACAGAACAAGTTACAAGTTAAGGATAAAAAATAGTGTCTAACAAAGCCTGTAAGAGAAATCAAACAAGTCCTTGGAAAACTCCAGAGAAACCCAGTAGGGATCATGAGCAAAGACTCAAAAAATCCTCAAGGTTTCCTTTTGATGTAGACATACAGCGGCTCTACTCCAGATCCGAGGTGTAGAGCAGGGACAACATTCTTGAAAACAATAAAGAAATCCCTCTATCTGTCCTTCTTCATTCTACCTTCATTCTGAAGAAACAAATAAACTTAATTAAATACTCCTCCTCTTCAGAGAGCATTCTGTCTTTATCTGGTTGAGAATGTGTTAAATTGCTACCAAATAAGTTTGTAGCATCTATCTTCTGCACGGAAATGAGCAGCGAAGGTCATTAGTAACAAAACATTTGCAGTATTTTATACTCTCCACTGTTCTGGTAAACTCTGGGAGGCAGTAATACGCAAAAGACTGCAAACTTAAAAAGCCACAGTATATGTAAAAGTAGAAAAAACTGTTCTGGCCAACATTTTCTATGCCTCTATGCTGAAAGGAGCATGCAGTGCTTTGCAGACATGGCATAAACCCAACTTGATTTTAAGATCTTACTGAAAGCTGGACACTTCAGTAGGTGAACCCTCTGGAGCCATAGTGGCAATCTGCAGGCACAAGCCTGTCTGTTAGTAAACAAATATGAATGGGAAAATGTGGGTATCAGTGCTCAACACAATATTCACACAAGATGAAAATAGCAAAGTCACCTACTGGGAGGACCTGGACTATAAAGGTCTCTGTTGACTATAATTAAAAAAGAACAAACATTAAATGCCCAGAAGCTATAATTACAATTCAACGCAATTCAGTTTATTTATATAGTGCCGATTCACAACACATGTCATCTCAAGGCACTTTACAATTCAACTAGATCATAGAGTCAAATAGAATCAGTTTTCTATCTAAGGAAAACCAGTAGAGTGTATCAACTCATTGGCTCTAAGGCAATGAGTTGATGCAACAAAGCATGCTTGTAGCGACAAGCATGCCTGTTTAACAGGAAGACACCTCCAGCAGAACCAGGCTCAGTGAGCGGCCATCTGCCGAGGCCGACTGGGGTTCAAGGAGACAGAAGCAGACATACAGAAAGAAGCACAGATACAAAAGGCAGCTTTCATCTAGTTCCACAGGTGGCCCAGTCCAGGAAACACAGCGCCAGTTCCCACATCAGTGGACGAAGAGAGCACATCCAGCCAGTCACAGTCAGAGAAACAGGACTACACTGAAAAACAGGTCAAGCTCGAACATCTAGAAACAATGGTGTTGATGCCAGCAGCACAGCTGATATTTCTGTCCAGGATGCTGTCCCAGCCACACAGGAACAGACCAGATGAAGCTACTATGAGAAAAATCAGAGAAAGCATAGTGTTAGATATTGACCTAACAAATTCTGCGGAGTTGGAGAATTTATTTCCAGTAAAATAAGTGATAGTTTAACACATTTATTAACACAACATCCTCTTTAGGTATCTCTTGTATAGTTTCCAATTTTCAACATTACATACTGTAAGATATGCAGCACAGGTATTGGCTCTGTATTCTTTGAAAGGAATCATGAAGCAGGATTTCAGGAGATGGGCCCGAGCTGATATTGTCATACCGCTTTCACGCAATTTCAGCAGTTTTTTTTGGGAGATGGCTCAGCAAAGGCTCCCAGCACCTGTCAAAAATTGCTTTGATTTTCTTTAATTTGGAACGCAAACGTTCTATTGGGAGGAACCCTACGATCTCTCCATACAACTCTTTCATGGTTGGGGGTCTATGTTTTATCTGTTGTAGTAGAACACATCTTCTTGCTAAGAGAGTGAGTTTGCTAAATTGCTTTTGTTGGGCGTTTTTGAAAAGAAACTTTTCGTTTGGCAAGTTCAGAATAAAGAAGGATTAGTTCCATAATTTGTTTAAAAATCTAGTTGATTTTTTGGGAACATATTTGTCCAAAAATCAAATATTAAAAGGCAGCGCATGTGTGAACCCACTTCCTCCTTCCATTTCTAACAGATACTTAATAAACCAGCACTTTACTAAGAGATTTAAAAGCTCCTTTTTTGCCAGCTCAATTGTCTATAATTCCCTTATAAAACTTATAAACCAAAAGCTGTAATTTAAAAATTCAGAATATATTTCTGTTTCAGCTCTAAATAGTATTAATATTGACTGGCATCAGCAATTCAAGCCTTCCATTAAACACATTCACCAGGTGACATTTTTTGAGGTGTTATTTAGCCTTAACCTTAAAACATATACTAATAAAGTTAATCTTAAAGTTTTTTTCATAAATTGAGGTTTCTTTTACAGGTTGGTTTCCCCTGAACCACCTCCTAAGGGCTTTCTCGTAATTGGCTCCAAGTTTCGATACAGTGGGAGGACACAAGCCCAGACAAGGCAGGCAAGTGCTTTGATTGACAGGCCTGCCCCACAGTTTGATCGTTCTGTCAGCAAGCGATACCTGCAGCCCCGAAGCATAGATGGAGGTGTGAACCCAAACTTTTTTATTGCCTTGTTGAATGTTTGTTTTTCGAAGTATTGTAATAAAGACACTTTTTCTCTCTGCTCTCCTATAACCCCTTCTTCTTAGCTTCAGCTTTAGGGGATAGTATGGATCAGTTGTCTCAGAGAAGCTCAAGTGAACACACACAGTTTATGTCCCGGGAAGATCTGGATCAAGAGGGCAGCTTAGATCTTGACCATGATCATTACCTCTATCAAGACCAAGACCAGAACCGATTCACAGACCAGGAGATGGAGCAGCATGATGGTCGGAAACAGCCACTTGGAGCTGTCAGTTCAACGCCAACAAAGGCCTTGGAGCTCAAGGTAAAGGAATGAGTTAGTTCCAGAAATTGCACTGGGAACTGTTTTCAGTCATAATTGTTAAAAAAGGTCAAACATGTGAATACACTATGAATCAATTATATGAACAAAAAAGGTCCTAATAGCCTCTGCCTGCTGCTAAGTAAACATAATGACTATACAAACCTTTTAGAAGGTTGGAGAACAGTACTTTGGTATTGCAGTCCTAATTTGAAAAGCTTCTATTTTGCACACCAATTGTGCAGTCTTGCATGAACATTTTCTCTTTTCCTCTTTTTATTAAAGAAACTAATCATCATCCTTGCTCTTCTACTCTTGGCATAATATCCCATATTCTAATAAGCCCTCTAAGTCATCTTTGCTCTCTATTCTTTAAAATCTAACCTGACTTATTTCCTGCAAATTATAAATGTCTAACCAGCACCCTGCCTCATCTATCTTCTTCTCTTGCTACAGCGCTCCTAACATCTTTCGCTAATCTCAGCTCTCTTTCTCTTACATTTCTGTTCTCTTCCTTGTTCTTTCAACCAGGATGAGGAGCCAGGCATTCCTATAGACTCGAAACCAGAGGTATTTTGGTCATGGACCTTTGTCTGCTTGTGGCTGTTTAAGGTTATGCTCCGTTACTCTGTGTTTAAGCAGTTAAATGCTTGTGGAAATGTTAATATTAAGGTCCTTATTTCCAGGGTTAAACTAACTAGAATCCATGGAAGCTGCATGAACTGATCTCCAGAAGAACAAACAAATTATGGATTTATTCTTAATTTTTTCCCCCTCCCTTGTGGAAGTTTTATTGGAATAAAAAAAATGTAATTTCTAGACCACAATTTCTTACCTGCAGGTATATTAATAAGGCTATTTGATTAGAAAAAACATGCTTTGCAATAACTGCAGTATAACCTAAATGTATTTCAATAGAATTTATTTTAAAAGTAGCACAGCAATTGTGAAATGGAAGGACATTGTTCATTGAATAAAAAAAATAGTCAGACTAAAATATACATTTTAATTTAGCACTCTTTTTTTTTTTGATAAAGTCTAAAAAAATTCCAGTACAAGCTATTGGCTCTATATTGCTTAGTTTATAGATACAGTCACTCTTGTGCCTAATCTATTCTGATTACAATTACAACTAACTTTACAGAACAATTGTATTTGCAGTGAAAGTGAACAAACAAAAAGTCATCCAAATATAATCTAAGCTTTCAACAACTCTCAGGGCATTGTTTAATATGTCTACCAACACTGGGCAATGAATAGCGCACCAACACTTAAAGTAGCTGTTTATTTAAAATGAGAAGTACTACAGACCAAGCTGACAAGAATCGGGAATTTAAATTCAGTGATTGTAAAAAAGTACAGTGACACCATTATCAAAATATGCCTCAAGGGAGTCCCCTCTATCCACAATTTTCTAGTCAGTCTGTGGTGTATTATGGAGCTTCAAGTCGATTCTGCTTTGGGCCCCAAAATTCCTTGGAATGGCCCTGAATAGAAAGGTAAACAACTGCAGCTGTGATGAAATGGTTTACAGGAAAGCATTAACGTGTTGAAACGGTCTAGTCAAAGGGCAGGCCCAAATCTAAAAGAGTGACTTTTAAGGACATTCTTTTTTTATATACATATCTCCTCCATCCAAACTGACTTTGCTTGTACTATTTTTAATATTAGAATGGACAGTATGAGTCTTATCATTTAGAAAACAGATTTTAACCCAGAAAGACTGTAGCTGTAGTTGTAAAAGGAAGTTCTTCAAAATACAGACTCAGATTGAGTACATTTTTAAAACGCATTTAAAAAATATATATATATATATATATATATATATATATATATATATATATATATATATAAACACATCTTTTCATCCATTTGCACAGAATATGCAATTTGCATTAGGCTAGCATGTATCTAAATAAAATACCAAAATAGTACATTAATATTTATGGCTTTAAATGTTCAAGATAAAGGGCAATCATTTTTTTTTAGGCTGGACAAATGAAAATTAGATGAGCAAATTATTGGACTTCTTATTTGTGGTTTTCTAAATGTGCTCTCATCAAATCTTTGGGTTAAGAAGCATGGGAATAATCCTCTCCCAAACACCCAAATCAATAGACGACTGCATTAATTATAATTTGGCTGACACTAAAATGGATTGTCCCTGTCTTCTTGGCAGAACATTATTCAGCTTAATAGTCTGAGTCAGAGATCCTGCCTCCACTCCTAGACGGTGTCAGCTGTTTCTGTTTGTCCCTCTGGCTGCCTGCCTGCCTGCCTGTTTTCACTCACCTGCTGCATTTTACCTCTTTGTCTCTGCACACATCTGTTCCTCCCCCCTTCCCTCAAAATCTCAACCTGCTGCTTTGCTCCAAAAACTTTTCATTCCACTTCACTTGCTCCCCCCCCCATCACCCTCCCGGTCTGTCGGAGAAGGATCTGCTGCCCCATCGGCCCAAGCAGGAGGTACTGCTCGTCCTTATTGTGGACATGTGCTGTGTATGAACATTACCGGGTGTTTTTGGTTGATGATTTTACATCTGCATCTTCCACGTGTCAGAATGCACCAAGATGAAAGGAAGTCCTATTTGAAGCTTTACCACTGTGGTGCACGTAATTTTCTAATGCATTACTTCGTGTCAGAAAGTGGTTGTGAATGTTGGTTTCAAAATTGTTTTGTTAAATAGTTCTTCTCTGAAATTATTAATATGAATCAAATTCTTACAAAACTTAATCAGTTCTGGTTTAGTTTTCTAAAATACTAAAGATTTTTTATTAACTTTGGCTGGTATTTTGAGACTCAGTAACAAGTCCTCTGCTTGAATTTTATTTTTTTATATTATTATTTTAATTTTATATTATTATATTATTACATTATATATAAATGAATTATTTTTTGAATTATTATTTTGATACAAGTCTTATGGGAATAAATGCTTACAGTTTATTTCTTGACGCTCTTAATCCATCATCTTCTGTCATTTTAAAGGTGGTGAGTAAAGGAGGTTTAAGTCAAGTTAAAGAATTTGCATTTCATTTGTTAAACAGAAAAATTACATTTATTAAAATGCAATTAAAAGAATATATTTTTAAGACCTTAAATCACTTTCTGTTTATGTTTTCCTGTCTAAGCAGCAGTTTTTGGATAAGCCAGAGGACGTTTTACAGAAACACCAGGCTAGCATCAATGAGCTGAAGAGGGCTTTAAAGCAGCCAAACAGCAAGAAGGCATCAAGAGACAAGCGGATCCCGTCAGCCACTCCTCCTGCCGGAACCCCTGAACGAAAAACTGTGAGTCTTTTTTTTTCTTCTAGTTTTATAAAGTTCAAATGTAAATTTCCTTCACAACTGTAACTCTTTAGTACAGTATTGATTTAACAAGGCTTTATGGAGTGTTTAACAACATTTTAATCGATCATTGTTGCTTTTTTTAATTCAAGGTATTTTGCTGGGTGAGATTTTTTTTTTTTTTTTTGCACATCAGCACATGGACACTTAGGATCAACAGGGGAACAAATATCTTTCTTATGTTGTTTCTATATGTTAATGTGATTAAAATATGAATTAATTACAGTAGGAGATATCTCTAGGGATTTTTCTCTTTTTATGTTCAAACTGTAAAATGTCACCTATAGGTGATTAAATGTTAACCTTAGAGTTGTTGTTTTTTTTTACTTGTAGATAACATAAATTTCATGGACATGTGTTACATCTACATCTTTTTTTATTAGTACTTACAAGTCAGTCTGTCTTCAGTGCTCTAACTCTACCATAAACTCATAATTTCATGGTTGACTCTGATGAATTAGAGAAAAAAAATACTTTATACCTTTATTGGGTTAATATAATTAATAACAATATAAAAAAAACATTTATAGTTTTAAGAAATAATCTTTCAGAGCTGCATGTATTTTAAGAAATTGCAATTGGTTCCAGGCTGTTGCATCCACCATCCATTTTGCAGCAACCCTAAAAATTGTTCTCTCTTTGCAAGTATACTATCATCAAATGTGCAGGAGATTGTCAAAATAATAGTACATGTAGAAAGCACTAAAAGACATCCATGTATACAGTTTATAAAAAAAAGTCAAGTTGCAGGTTAATTGCTCTTTAATGGGTTAGTGGGCCAAGGTGAGTAAATCTTTAGAAAGAACACTTGCATATTGTACTCACAGATTGAGATCCTATGTTGTTTGGCCACTGCTTAATACACTTTGTAACTGACATATGTGTTTGGCATGTGGCATTTATATGAGGTTGCAGTCACATAAGTCGATGGTACGAAGAGTATTTGTTAAGATCCTACAGGTGTGCAAGAATGTCTTTATCCTTCAAAGGTGATTTTTGTAACATTTTACTAGTGACATGGTATCAGCCAATGTTGTTTCTTATAATAACATAAGTAATACAAGTCCAAGAACAAGCATGTAATGACACAAAATCAGTTAAATTTCCACATTTGTAGCAAACGTTTCTTTAATGTTTACTTATCATATGTGGGTGACTTGAAAGTTGCTGTGAACTCAAAACTCTTCCTTATTAATTTTACAAAAATTAGATGGGGATAAGATAGATTAGATAGATTTGTTTTTAGACTAACACAAACTGTTATTTTGTCAATTTAGGCAACCAGTGATGCCAAATTGATTGAGAAGCAGGATGGTTATGAGACAACACTGGATTCTCACATCAATGCAGAAAAGAATAAGACCTCATTAGGGTCTGAAGCAATTATGGACAATTACCAAACATCCAGGGAATACTTAACCACTAAGTTTGGAACATCTATAACCGAGGCATCAGGAAGGAGAGAAATTAACAAGATGGATGAGGCAACTAATGGACATTGTGACTCTGCATCTGAGAGAAATATGTTTAATGAAAATGGATATGACTTACCACCTGAAAAAATTATAAATAAGATGAACAAAGATGTAAACATTTGTCTGTACCAGCATCAAGAGAAAAAAAAGAACTTTGAATCTATTGAAACTTTGGATCTTTTCCCAAAGGGTAACAGACCTAAATGTGAATGGGGTACAACAAACACAGAGGCTGGGAAAATGAGAGACCTGAGACACAATGGGGAAAAGGATTGCAACAAAACCTTAAACTCACATTCTGAAGTCACCAAAATAGTTCCGCTCAAGCCACAGAGATCAAAGAAATCTTTGAATAAAGAGAACAAAGTTTTAAACCCTGAAACTCAAAGCCAGTCTGACAGGAGCACCCTTAGTGCATCTGGGAATCAACAGGCGACTAAACCGTCTTGCGATTTAGGACGGAGACTTGATGGCAATACTGTCCTGCAGTCCTTAGAGCTGTATCGGCAAACCCAAGTTCCCCATCAAACTAAAAATGTGTTGTATACACAGAAAGACCCGAAAGACGGCAAAGATTCAACAGGACAAGGCCAGTGGACAAAGGGGAATTTGTTGCAGGAAGACAATTCTCTCTTGGAGTTGGGCTCCAAATTTCCCACAGCTCCTCCTTGTACCCTACCTCTAAAAACACAGTGGTCCCGAGATAAGCCAGACAATACTGACAGCATCCACATCCACTACCGGACCCCCAGCCAAGAAACAGCTAAGAGGAAGCAACCGGTAAACAGTCAGTACCTTCCAGCCTGTTTATCAATCATCGGAAAGTAAAGCATTGCATGAGCTTCAGCCAGAGTGGTTCAGATCTTGTTTTGTATCATCTGAATACAAATAATATTACACATATCCTTCAACAGTCATGTGGCTGCTTACAAGCAAGCAAATGTTCACTTCCCTGCGCATCGTACCATTGACCGTCTCAGTTCACGTCCATGAGAATTGGGAGCATTTCTTCTGCAGAACTTGACAACTGCTTGGCCTTTTGAGAATGCTATGGGTCTTTAAGCAAAGCTCATATTGCTTAAGCTTCAGGTGTCCTTAACTTTATCACCTTAACATGGTCTCTCCTTCCAACATCCTCACAGAGTGAAGGACGCTGTTGTTGCAAGGAGTGCAAGACCTTACCACCATTTTCCCACCAAGCCTTTTTTGACATATTTCAAATCCCTGTTTTGGCAAAAAAAAAAGAAAAAAAGCGTTGGGACTAAATCTTCTACATTGGCACCTCTGTAGCAACAAGAAAAAAAAGGTTATTAGAAGTAATCGTATGCTGCGGAGCTGCCAAGTTTCCTCAGGGCTGGGGTATTCATATGCTGCATTTCTAAATGTGAATACATCTGCTCTAAAAGGGATTTTTATTTAAATCAGACCTTTCAGTGCATGGCATTACCACTGGACTTGCAATCATTTCTGTTGATGTAAAACACTGAATGATACTTCAAGTGCATGCCTCTGACAGCAACTCTACTCTGGTAGAGTTTCTGGAAATTCTCAAATGTATGTTTAAGAAGTCACCCGTAACCTGCATCCAGTGCTATAGAAGTAAATTTAACAGGACTGAATACAGTTTTTTTCCCCAAAAGAAATTGTACATGTTCCAACATGAATAAGAAATAAGGTGGAAAGTGACAAAAGCGTCAACTTCCACCTTGCTTTAGTTTCCCGCTCTGGTCTGCGCATCCATTATCAATTGTATCTTAATGTTTGCCATTTGTTTGTGTTTCCACCTACAGGAGACTCCCCCTACACCTGCGATCCATGAGGAGCATTTTAGCGAGACCTCAGTGAGTTCTGTTCTTTCATTGATTTGGTTTCACGATTGTAGAGAATATTCATGCATTAAAAGAGCAGTTTGGGATTACGTTTCTGAGTTTTATGAAGAAAAGTCTCATACCTTGTTACAATTAATACATTTTGTACAATAAAATGCAGTTAATGATTCAACAATTCAACCTCTAATATAATTAAATCTCTTTAAAAACAACTAACTGGACAACTAAAGCTTCAGGAAAAACTTGGTCATATTGACAATTTTTTTCATCCACTTTGTTGAAGTGAAAGGCAAATGCCAGCTTGTTTTCCTGTGATAATTATTTTTTCTCAAACTTTTTTTTAGTGCATTCCTAGTTGATAATATGCAAATAAATCATACACAAAGATTTGTTTTTTTTTTCATTTCGTTCACTCAAAATTGTGTTGTGTAGAGTAATTATTCTCTCTGCACAGCTGGGCTTTGTTATTTTCCTTCAGCATAGAGTAGGTCATGGGATCTATACCGACTGAAAGCTGCACCAACAAAAGGGAGGCTTTCCAACACAATAATCATCACTGTAAATAATATAAACAGCAGGGCAGTTTATGAAATACTAAATTTATTTGCTGAAATCGGAGAGCTAGGATTTAGAAAAATATGTTTGCTGTTGATAGACAAAGAATATATTTATTCATACTTAAAGATAATGTACAGTTTCATCTCTGTAGAAGGAACCATGGGAGAGGCGTCTGGGCTCTGTATCTGAAGACGACCAGGACCATGAGATCCTCTACCTGAAGGAAACCCACCTGGGCATTGAGCGCAAGTGTTCCAGCATCACCGTTAGCTCTACATCCAGCCTTGAAGCTGAGGTAGATTTCACAGTTCTTACAGACCTTCAAACTGGAATGGAAGAGTTCTCCAGGGGTATGTCTGAGTTAGGAGAGAGAGATCTCTCACCTGATGGGGGGCTGCGCTTTGGGATCGATTTGCTTCAGCAACAAGCCCCCCCTGAACCACCCCCTCCATTAGTACCTGCTCCTCTCACCAGAGGGGCCAGTGGCAGCCCCCCGGCCAAACTTATTCAACCTGAAGAAGTTCGACCAGAAGTCCGACCAGAATTCCGATCTGAGGTCAGACCCGAGGGCCGACCAGATGTTAAAAGGCCAGAGGGCCAGGTAAACTGAAGTTTTTTATGTTTAATAATCCTAATCATCCTTCTGAATGTTTTGATTTAACAGAGAAAATCTAATATGCCTTAAAAATTGAACAATTTTACATTTTTGTGTATCAAAATGGTCACTGTAGCTTCCAGTATATGCTAAAAGCAAACCTGTTATTTTTTGCAAGCCGGTTGTTCCTAAAAAACCAAAGAGGTCGGTACCAGTGTCATCATCAATGGACAGAGATCAGTCCCACAAAGAAGCCAGTCGAGTCCCTACAGTAACTCCTCTCAGCAGAGATGCAAGTGACATCATGGCCGCTCCATCAGTGAAGAAAACAGACACTAGGACAGAGACACAGCCTAACGGATCAGAGCTCACCACCACCATTGTGGAGTTCACAGATCAGGTGGGTGTTCAGTTTTACACAATGAAAGGCTGGATATAACTTTATTTCACTCAAAGTAAAACAAGTGACATGGATTTGATCTCTGTTTCAGGATCATGGTATCACAGGGCTAAGTGAGGTTTCCTATTCTACGAGACAAAGTGTATCTCCAGTGAGTATAATCCAAGAACCTCACCTATTTTAACTTAACCTGAAATCATCAACATATAGAGGATTTTCCCTTTTCATCAAAAATTAGACAAGCAAGAAGCCCAGATAAAAGATGTGTACGTTATAGTTTCTATAGAGGAGAAAGTAGGACAGAAAATACCCTGAAACCATTTTGTAGCTTGATCCATCATTGTGGAGCCACTAGTCAAAACAGACAGGACTCACACTTGTGTCCATAGGGATATGATTATCAGACATAGCTGCCCATACTGGAAACAGCCTAATAGTCAAAGATATCTTGTGATTTTTTGGTAGAATTTGCTAAAATGAAGAGAAATAATGAACTTTCCAAAGGTATTCTGACCCTTCAGACTTTGTCTCAATTTGGCATGTTAAAATAATCTGTGCATGCGTTCGTGCATTATGGTAAATTATGGGATAGACTAACACACATATTTATGTACAATTTTGATATGTGTCCAATAGTTTTTTCTTAAGCAATTAATAGTCTGCCCTTGTTCCTTAATGCCTCTGAGCAAAAGTAAATCCAATTACTCTGTGTGTACTGTAAACTGATCTCAGTGGAAATACCTTAGCTCAGTTAAGAAATATTTTCGACCAAGAGAGACAGTAAACAGTTCAGAAAGAAAGTTTAAAGCACGGTTAGGTTAGTTAACAATTTACAACATTTATATTATTTTCTTTGTTACTAATTTAATAATAACAATAGCAACAAAAAACAATGCAGGTGTACAGAGAAAAGGAATCTAGGGGCCAGGATGGAGTGGGAACATGAAGGAGGTCTGATGGATATGGAGGATCAATGCATCAATTATATTAATTTTCTTAAATTTTAACAGCAGGATTCACACTGGATATGAGACAGCAGCAGGTATTAGTGAAGCTGCTGAAGGACAGGAGTGGTGAAAGTTATGATGCAGGCCGAGTTCTTGATCAGTTGAAGATCATGGAGACATTTATGAGGAGACCAGAAAGGAGAAAGTGTATGATAATCCAGACAGGAAGTAAGACTGTGGACAAGGGTGGCAGCAGTGTGGGGGGTGAGGGAGGGTTGGAGGAGACTGATATTTCATAAGTGGGAATAGGCAGGTATTGATGGTAATATATGATTTGAAAGATAGTGTCGTCAAGGAAAACATTTAGACTCTTTTCAATGTTGGGTGAAGATTCACCAACATTGTGCAACTTTTTTTTTTCAGTTTTTTTTTTACGAAATCCCTTGGACTCGATACTCCCCTTCGGCTCACCTTTTCGCAGCACAAGCCAACAATTTGCCAGAATCAACCTGGAAATAGGTGTATTTTTCAAGGATTTTTAAGCTTTCCCTGGAGTCCCTTATAACTCAATATTTCCCTTTTCTTGTTTTTCCTTAAGGCAAAAACTGTAAAAGCACAAGCCAAAATATTAGCCATATTGTACGTCTCTCTTTTTCAGGAAGGCATCTTTTGTTTCTGCAGGGATAAAGGGAATAAAAACAACTTCCCTTTCTGCCTGCTGAACCTGTTGGGCTTGAAGCCAACTTCTCTCCATAATACGCAGTTCTGCATCTAGAGGTTTGATCAGGCCTCCCCGGACTCAAAGCCACTGCGTACAATCACTGCACTCATCTCCCTTTTTTTTTATTAATCTACATGTTTCCATAATTACTCTCTGAGCAATTTCTGTGTGTTTTAATGGTACAAACTCTCACCTCATTTCAGAACCAGAGTGCTTTAGGGTCACACCCCGAATCCAGCGCACCCTGTGCACAACAGTCTCATCTCAAAGATTTGCCCTTAATGTAAACCCCAAAAAGTATTTGATGACGAGAAATGAAAATATCCATATTTTTATAAAACAAAAGTATATTTGATTTTTTTAAAATATTTTTTTATTTCTATGAGTTACTTATGCATTGAGGTTAGCAAAATAAACATGACTACACTGAAAAATGTTTATTTCGTCTCTTAATATAAAATAAATTAATAATAATAAAACCCACTAACCTCAAGTTACTTCTGCTAATCTAAAAAATTTACCAAAAAAATAAATGAATTATGGTTAATTTGGTTAAAATACATGAATTATTTATAAAACAGATGTTCTTTAATCACATCTCCCAGTTATATTCAAACCTGTAAAGGATTTTGATCAATTACCATTTTTAAAATGAAGATGCTACCATTTAGTTTAAAATACTTTTTAGTTTAATGTTTTAAACTTTTGGTAATTTCTCAGCCTATAGGTTTGACATAGAAGTAGTATGGTATTGGGCTACCCTATTTTTACCTGGAAACAGTAAAAACACACTTTATACATTATCTCATTCATCTGGGATATTTTTGTTCTTACGAAATACTAATTTGACCTTTATTTTATTAAGTATCCTTTTGTCACTTGGTTTTGTGGAACTATTTAATACCTTAAATACTCCTGTCAATTCTTACTGTGTTTGTCATACCAGGCAGATCTATTCTCTCTAGTGGAGCAGCAATTTAGAAAGATTAAAGAACAAAACAGAGAGAAAAAAAGATAAGGAAGAGTTTGAAAGAGACAGAAGATACAATCTAAGCAACAAAGAAGCTAATGTTTGGGTTTTCATGCTTAAGCTTGGATTATGTATTTTCTTAGAAGTTCAAATTGTCCCTCAGTGCAGTAGATGCCATGCTGAGAGACACAATTTTTGTGGCACACTTTTTTGCAACCTGAGAACCCAAAGTGCACCAAATCCAGAGAACCGCCCCTCTAAAAGCACTGGAGAAATTTGTTAAAAAGCTGTGGGGTTGGTCCTGCAGTGGCTCCTTATGAGTGATACCTCTTTCAGATCAGGGTGGACCCACCATTTTGTAAAAGGAAAGCTCTGTTTTCACATATTTAAGCTTTCTCTCCCTGATTCTTTACTAAAAAGAAATCACTCAGATTAAACCCTTTAAATAACATTTTATAAATTACTATGAGACATGACAACAGATTTTGGCAGAAATTGTAATCTTTCTCAGACTAGAAAATTGTGTCTGGTTACAAATGTCAGCGCTTACCATCAGGCTTGTTTCTTCAGAAAGTCACCCAAGTATAACAGTTAAAGAAGCATTTTATCAAATCCTGCCACTTCTCAGATTATTACATGTACTGTTTGTACACGAGGAGACATCAGTGGCTCCAGCCATGGCAAGATAATACTCAGTGTTCTTAGATCAAGGACAATGCATCCAGTTCATTCCCTAAATCGCTGTTATGTACCTAATGAAGATGATTACTTTTTATTCTAACCGAAGAACTGTCCTAATTACATAAACTGCTTGGGAAACAGTCTTAACAAGTAACAGGCAGGTATTATTAGGGTTTAACAAGCACATACATGAATAATAAGAATAGGCATAATAGTTTTGTGCTCAGGCTGTAGTAATTTACGCGTGGCTATATTTTTCTAATATCAATAACTCTTCTCTTTTATCAGGTGCACAGAGGTGGTTTTGGAAGAGAGTCGTCTGGCTCGCCTATCCTTGTTGCTGAAAATGTTACCTCAGCCACCACTCATGTCTCAAAGGTAGAAAAAAAGACTATCAAAGCACATGCAATCATCTTGCAGTTGCTGTAACTGTCTTATCAGCTGCTCATCTCTCAAATGTGAGATCTACTGAGCTCCCTCACACTGTGTTGCAGACGGTGAAAGGTGGATACTCTGAGACGAGGATTGAGAAGAGGATTATTATCACCGGGGATGATGACGTAGACCAAGAGCAGGTTAGACAGCTTAAAAGTGTTAGTTATTTATCATTTAGCTGTATTTTTTTTTTTTTAAGTCAAATGAAATGTTAAATGGAAATTATTGCAACACTTTATTGTGGGGAATGATTAATGTGCATATATGTTTTATGCCTTTTATGAAACCCATATTCATTTCCAATTAAACTGACCCAATTCTAGAAGTAACTGGGTGTTATGATTTATTTATTATGATTTAGTCAGTTAACGATGGTCTTGCAGTAAGTACATAGGTTGGTTTTGCTTTGCTTAAAAAGTAGCTATGAGTAATACGTACTTATTACTGACTAATTAAGAGTTAATATGCCTTTGTTAAACATAGAAATAGATGACTACGAAATTGTTACTTTGTTTCTTATTTACTCTAAAGTAATTCAAAACTGGAAATCTTTTTTATCTACTGAAGTGTCAAACGTTTTCTCTTAAGATTTATTACATAAAGCACAAGACTCACTCTGTTTTTTTAGGCTCTGGCTATTGCAATACAGGAAGCCAAACAGCAGCACCCAGACATGCAGGTGACCAAGGCAGTGGTCATTAGGGAAATAGAACCATCCAGTGAGGATCAACATGGCGCATCATAGGTACAGCTGCTGTCTTTTCTTTGGGTAATATCTCTTTGTCTTGAAAGGTTAAGTGATTGTGTTTCTTTGCCTCCCTAGTCTCATTTTACTGAAGCAAGAGTGCCCCCATGTGGACAAGACATGTCAGTACCTGACAAGAAGCCACCACCCACAATCCCTACTAAAAAGCTGACTGTCAGCAGGACTCAGACAAACCTGCTGGTACAATGGCGAAATGGACCTTTAAAGTTTAGATTTCCATAATTTTCCTCATATTGATCGAAAATGATAAAGGGAGTCACTCACAATCAAGTTGTGATAGTATAATCCATGCTCTTCAGGTGAAAAAAACACAAAAAGATTCCAAAAGATGATAAACAATTAAATTAATATCCCAACCAAATTTCCTTTAAAATTTCTCAGGGCCTTAACTTTTAACACGTGTTGGAGTATTCCTTAAAGGAAAATACTGAGAAAGGGTTCCTGTTCCATGAATCACTACAGATTAATGTCACATCAAATTGTGTGATGGCAACCGTCATAAATATCAATAGGGAAATATTATTTGAAATATATTATAAAGAGTTTATCTAGGAATATAAATGTGTCTGAAAACATGAAAAGCAAAAGCTGGAAATGTTGTTCACGATTTGTTGATTGGGACAATAGAGAATTAACTAACCAACAATGAAGATTTCAAAAAAGGTTTTAGATGAAGCAAGATATCTTATGAAACCATAATTTCTGCATCATTGGTTGAACATCACTGGACGATGGAGGAAAATAATGCACTGATTGGAGAAGTTTGCTGTCATCTCTGTCTGATCATTTTAAGTCAGTAAGTTATTTTCTATGTGCTTTTTTTTTTTACTGGATGTGTGGGTGGAAAATATGCAAGGATGCACGCTTGCTGTAGGATCTGTTATTGAACCTGTTGGATTCATTCAGAGCCATGTGAAGTATTGAAACGTTAGAATGAGCCCAAGTGTCTCTCCCCCCTCTGCCTTTAGATAAGCTTTCACAGTCCAGCTGGATGTAACACCACATTGGCTGTTTTATGTGGAAACGCATAGAGTAGACTCACAAACCAGCTGCATTGGTAAAAGTAGTACTTGAGAAAATGTCTGCATGATATAATTTCTTGCATTACTGCATTGTAAGAAAGAGGATTATGATGAAAGAAAACTGACTGATAATAACAAATTAAGCCTAAAATCTTCACAATTTTGCTGTTTAAACAAGGAAAAATTTCTTGAGCAGGAACTAAACATTAGCTCCATCCTGTACTGGAAAATTCGACAGAAGTGCATTGTTGTGGTTGAATCTTTTAATTTTTAACCCACTTTCATCTTATTTTGATGGTGCTGTACATAATATCTGAACATATCAGTTCACTTTTTATTCTAATCTTAAGGAAAGTTAAAGAGCTTTGGCTGGCTCTCATTTTGTTGCACTAAATAATCTTCATTTTTTTCATATTGATTTGCAACAACTTCAATCTTCTTCCAAACTATTTTATTTACATGTTGTGTCAAAACTTTAGCTTTTCTGACATGTCATGTCGAGAACATCCTAAATAAAATATACTGTAGGAGAATCATCGGAACTTTTAGCTATGTGAGACTTAGTATGTGAATGTTAGATGAATGCCGCAGATGTAACGTGCCAACTCAGATAGCAGTGATATTGTACAAATGCTGGTTTTGTAATGAAAACAAAAACTTTTTATAAAAAAAAAGCTCCTTTTAATTCCAGGAGTGCCAGTCAAATACATAAACTTGACACGACAAGGTTTCCCTTTAACGTGGACAATAATTGATATGATAAATACATTTCCTGCCAGTTTGCCAAAGTCAAATGTTATATATTAATCAAATAAATGCATCACATAAAAATATTGTCAGTAGATTAAAAATAAGGCAAAGCAACACATTGTCATGTCAGGTTTATGAGGGCACCACTGAATATATTTTACTTTTAAACACAAAACAATACATTTTTCACATATGGTGTAACTTCTGTTTTTCCGATTTTAATGCATCATTTTTTTAAGTTATGGTGAAAAGAAAAAGGATATAGCAGTGTTTAGCTGGAGGCTTTAAGGAAAAAAATGCAGCCTTTCATTCCTCATGCTGCTCTTTTGGTGCTGTTTGGTGGATTGTAAAGATGTGAAGTACAGTAGTTAATGGTCATGGGTAGGATGTGCACTAGGAGGAATCCGTTACGTTAAACAAGTGAGCTCTGTATCAACTGCAAACAAACCCACCTGAACTCCTCACCATCCTCTATCAATTTTCAAACTAATGCAAATCCTGTTGGGACAGACTTACCAGAGGATGTCTCAAAAAAAGGTAAATTTGCTAAGACGCCTTGGGATAGCTGTGTCTGATGCCCTCTGGTTGATCCAGAGTCCTCTCTGTCTCCCCTCCATCTTCTCTTCTCTGCTGCTTTGCATTGCTTGGTGGTGTGTCTTTGCTGTACATTGTGCTTCATCCCAAAAAAATAAAGACTGAAAGAAGGCTGAAGATGTGTCACTTATTTATTTTTCTTTGGAAATTAGTTCTGATGACAATACAGAAAATTATATTTTTATATGAAATTCTTAATAAAGCAATTGGCTTGTCATTTTCAGGTATAGATAACCAAGTAGGTCAATGGTTTTTCTCAACTTTATTTTTAACATGCTGATTAGGATTCCCTTTTAACCCAGAGGTAAAAAGTAAATAATTCAGTGCTGTGGTAGATTAAAAAAAGGCACAAAGCAGATAAAGTGTAAATTCAAACCAGCAGTAGAAATGTACAGGATGTTGATTTTTAATTACGAAGATGACAACATCAAGGAGTAACGTGAGCACATTGACATACATTTGGATCCTTTTTTTTTTTTATAAAGACACTGATAAGCCTGAAGGACAATTAACAATTACTAATAAATTAATACCTAGCGAGGTTTAAATTTTCAAGTTTTAAATTTTTTTTCAGAGCAACCTAAATACCTTAATTTATAAAAGACTTAATATGATATAAACATTTTTACCAAGTCATACAGCACCTATCAGAATTATTTGTAGGCCTTTAAGCAAATTTGAGTTTACAACTAAAAGCTTTAGTATACAGGTGCTGGTCATAAAATTAGAATATCATGAAAAAGTAGATTGATTTCAGTAATTCCATTTAAAAAGTGAAACTTGTATATTATATTCATACATTACATACAAACTCATATATTTCAGATGTTTATTTTGTTTAATTTTGATGATTACAAATGACAACAAATGAAAATCTCAAATTCATCATATCAGAAAATTAGAATATTGTGAGAAGGTTCAAAATTGATGGCCCCTGGTGCCACACTCTAATCAGCTAATTAACTCAAACCACCTGCAAAAGCCTTTAAATGGTCTTTCAGTCTAGTTCTATAGGCTACACAATCATGGGGAAGACTGCTGACTTGACAGTTGTCCAAAAGACGACCATCGACACCTTGCACAAGGAGGGCAAGACACAAAAGGTCATCGCTAAAGAGGCTGGCTGTTCACAGAGCTCAGTGTCCAAGCACATTAATAGAGAGGCGAAGGGAAGGAAAAGATGTGGTCGAAAAAAGTGTACAAGCAAGAGAGATAACCGCACCCTGGAGAGGATTGTGAAACAAAACCCATTCAAAAATGTGGGGGAGATTCACAAAGAGTGGACTGCAGCTGGAGTGAGTGCTTCAAGAACCACCACACACAGACGTATGAAAGACATGGGTTTCTGCTGTCGCATTCCTTGTGTCAAGCCACTCTTGAACCACAGACAGCGTCAGAAGCGTCTTGCCTGGGCTAAAGAGAAACAGGACTGGACTGCTGGTGAGTGGTCCAAAGTCATGTTCTCTGATGAAAGTAAATTTTGCATTTCCTTTGGAAATCAAGGTCCCAGAGTCTGGAGGAAAAGAAGAGAGGCACTTCATCCACGTTGCTTGAAGTCCAGTGTAAAGTTTCCACAGTCAGTGATGGTTTGGGGTGCCATGTCATCTGCTGGTGTTGGTCCATTGTGTTTTCTGAGGTCCAGGGTCAACGCAGCCACATACCAGGAAGTTTTAGAGCACTTCATGCTTCCTGCAGCTGACCAACTTTTTGGAGATGCAGATTTCATTTTCCAACAGGACTTGGCACCTGCACACAGTGCCAAAGCTACCAGTACCTGGTTGAAGGACCATGGTATCCCTGTTCTTAATTGGCCAGCAAACTCTCCTGACCTTAACCCCATAGAAAATCTATGGGGTATTGTGAAGAAGAAGATGCAATACACCAGACCCAACAATTCAGAAGAGCTAAAAGCCACTATTAGAGCAACCTGGGCTATCATAACACCTGAGCAGTGCCACAGACTGATCGACTCCATGCCACGCCGCATTGCTGCAGTAATACAGGCCAAAGGAGGCCCAACTAAATACTGAGTGCTGTACATGCTCATACTTTTCATGTTCATACTTTTCAGTTGGCCAACATTTCTATAAATCCTTTGTTTTTATTGGTCTTCAGTAATATTCTAATTTTCTGATATGATGAATTTGAGATTTTCATTTGTTGTCATTTGTAATCATCAAAATTAAACAAAATAAACATCTGAAATATATGAGTTTGTATGTAATGTATGAATATAATATACAAGTTTCACTTTTTAAATGGAATTACTGAAATCAATCTACTTTTTCATGATATTCTAATTTTATGACCAGCACCTGTATTTCATTGGGATTCTATGTAACAGACCAACACACATTTTGCCAGAGCATCTTCTTCCATCTGTCTGCTGTTTCCTTCTACATGGCTTCTACAGTAGTGCACCTTAGACAGAAATTTTACTGTTCAATCAATAGTGCTTTTCTTCTTGTCATGCAATCATATGTCCCAGACTGTTAGGGTCTCTGGGGTTTTTGCTTTTTTTTTGGTGTGAGTGAGCTTCCTGTCACAGAGAGGACCTTTGCTGGTGGCTGCGCCGATCCATGTTGCTGCAAACCTGAGAATATTTGCAAGCCCAGTTGAACAGAACAAGCAGTCTGCTTGTGAATCTCTTTTAATGTGGACTCATTCCAAAAAAGTTTAAACACCCACTGGACTGAAAAAAACCCACTGTTTTTTTTTTTTTACTTTTTTGCAATGACTATGGCCAGGACGAAAGAGAACCTTCACCAGCAATGTGGACTCTGTTATTGTTACAGACAGCTGCAGTAGTGAAACTCAGTTTGTCTCTGATCTTCATGGGAAAGGTCTTACCTGTGTGCAGCAGTTCTGTCTTCATCACCTGCATGCCCGCTCTATAACAGGACGTCTCTGCAGTACCAATGCTCTCTGGTTTCACTCCCATTTTTATCACCTCCTCGGTACAGCAAAGCCAGCTGAATAAAACCCCGACAGATCTATGCTACCTCCCCTTCATCCCATAAATAAGCAAATCAATCAGTCATCAGTTGTCATAAAACTCTTTCCTGATCAGTCTGCTTTCTCCCTTCAGACCAACCAGAAAGTTCTGCTTCCAGGTTCTTGTTGCTTTTGTAAATAAAACATTAAAACCCACTGGTTAGCTCTGTTTCTGCATGTGGGTGAAAAACAAAAAACAAACAACAAACCAACATGCCACAGACTTGTAGATTGCATAACTATTAGCTGTCCTGTACACAGATTTTTCTACCTGAGTTATTTCTGTAGCTTCCTAAGTTATTGGAATATTCAGGGGAAGGCTTCGGTTATAATTCAGCCTGGAACATTGGTTCACAGAGCCCTTCAATCACATTATGGATACAGTGGAACTGTAATTTTCATATGAACATTTTATTTGATGTATAAAGAAGCTTTTGATTTCAACTTTATGTGAAAATAACTATTTATTCAGTTTAGCATATCAAGCTGCTTATAAAAACCTAAGCAAATTAATAAGAAACAAAACCCAAAGCTTTATCTTGAAATAAAAGATATTTCTAAAATAACTTTTCAGCCTGTTTTCAGATTTCAAAAAGCTAAGAGTTGGATTACAATCCTCAGATCTGAAGTTATTACAAATCTAAGGAAAGACCATTTGCCTATTCTGTCCTGTGCACTGAACTTCTATCCAGCACTTTTTAAAGGTTCCTGTTCAACTGTCCTGCCTCTTCAAAGGTAAATCTAAATAGTTTTTTCATAAAATAAGTTTTTGCAGTGTTCTCATTTGTTCTCCCACCTCTAGCTTCTCCTTACTAAGATCCATCCCTCTGCATCATCTCCATGGTTACTACTGACACTCACCAACTTATAACAATAACAGCCAACATGATAAATATTGAATTCAATGTTAAACTTGAATACAATCTAAAAAAACAACAAAAGGAAAGTGCTACACACAAGATACAGGATGTCAAAAACTAGTGATGTTTCATTACACTTCCCTGCAACTAATGCACAACTTTGTCTGCTTTTTTCCTTTCCTTCATGATGCTATTTCTCAATAATGCTTTCTAACATATAGAGAGTACCTGTACTTATACTAAGATCCATTTATCTGTAGATTTCCTCAGAAGTCACTGAAGGTAACTACTTGCACTGGATTTGATTTCAGCATCAGAATAATGGGTTTTGGCTTTAAATACATTGTAGAAAGCCATACAATGTTTTCCTACCACTTTGTGAATATGCACTACTTTGTATTGTCCAACATAACACCCCAATGAAATCCAACTAGATGGAACTAGAGTTGCAACAATCCATTTTTTTCCAATCTAATCCAAAACCAATACCTGGGCGGAGCATACAGTAGCAGCCATTCAAAATGGCCCTTCTCAGTCAAATGCCAGTCGAATGGAAGCCAACTTCCCTGAAAGTCCCAGCAAATTCCCCTCCAACTTCCAGCCACTGGCCTTCTCCTGGGCATGCATTTTTTTTCCCTCTGATTCCACCCTATCACTGAATTACAGGGTCAGTAGATAATGCTTCTCATTCGATCTTAATGTCCACAGATCATGACATAAATAATATTTTTGGATTTGTAGGAATTGTAGGGCACCAGCCAAGAACTAGCCAAGGGCCCATCAAGGAAAGGTTTGGGAATTTTGAATGGCTACTACTGTATTGGCTGACATCCAATACAATCTGATTCAACTGTTTAATGAATCAATCACATATTTTCCCATGTGAATGGAGGCTTTAAACTTGAAATAATATTGTTAAAGGGTTACAAATCATCACAGAAATATAAATGTACTTTATATTTTATATTATTAACAAATAAGCAACAAAAACAAAGAAAGAAAAGTTGCATGTAAAGTGCACTAATTGGATCTCTGATATCCAATATCACATCACCGATATCCGATCCATTAATTAGTTAATTAGTCAATATCGGAGCCAATATCCCGGTTTCAGATCTGTGCATCTCTAGTTGGAACATGACAAAAAATGGGAAAAGCATTGTGGTAGCTTATTGGTTTGATTATTTTAAAACAAAACAAAACAACAGCAACTTTATATAGACGGAAGAAATTTTAATGCAAATGTAATATTTCCACGACAAAAAGTAGAAATGTAGAAGTGATATAAACACGTCTTAAAAGCTTTACCCAAAACTGCATGAGCCGTATGAAAGGCAACACTTTCATTTAAAGATTTGGCAACACGTTAACACTGATGACAGAAAAGAGGAAAATGGCATGATCTTTATTAAAAGGTTATTCTTTCCAACCATCCTTAACACAAATTGACCGACTGACAGTGAGATATTGTTCTGGTTTTGATACAAACTAAGCTAGAAAAGCCAGAAATCTGCATCACCTAACAATGCTCATCAGGACATAAAGACAACAAAAAGCATTTAGTTTTCTGAGTTTTAAACATTCAAAGACATGATCTGGAGCTAAGATTCCTGTATATGATCTAAAAGATAAAAATAATAAATAATAATTCCTGAATGATTAGCTGAATGGTAATTATGAGACTTTAAGGCTCATTTGGGACCTGAGGTTTCCATACATGTTTGCCTTGGTTATACACTGATGAGGGATTATAGAGCAAAGTGAGGAATTTATTTTAACATAAGCCAGCTGCTTGACATAGAAATTAAACAAGGGGGTGGGTGTAGAGGCTGCCTTTTCTTGGGATATAGCAGTGGAGCTGCACTATGTCAGTCACATACCTTTGGTTCCATTCAGTTTTATGGCAACTTGTAATGTGAGGAATGGAAGCAGAGAAAAACAGAAAGGTCCCAAATGTTGTTATGTCTTAAAGCAAAGAGTCCAACCCATTTGTGTTCCATTTAATGGAATTATAATCATTTTGTGGGCAAAGAAAAAAAGCTTCTGATCTTCCATGGTCAAGGTTAGGCTAGGTCCCCTTCAATCACAGTTATGTTTCAATTCGATTCATGAAGAAAGAACTCAGTAGTACACGCAGAAAGTAACTTTTTTAAACAACCTGCAAAGGTCCTTTGGAAATAATTTACATGTCCTAGTTTATCCTCCAAGGTGACAAATGTATGAGAATACCCAGCAGTTAGAAAGTAGATGAGAAAAACACATCTTCCAAAAGGCTGGAGTCAGCTGAGTCAAGGCGTCCTTTTCAGTTTCATAAAAGCAAATTCTTAAAGTGGAAATTCCTTTCAGCGACCACTTAGAAATGTGAAGAAAAATAATCTTCCTCACAAAAAAAGACCTTTGTGGTCTGTAGAGGAGAGATGTGGTAGGGTAGAGAAGGGAAGAGGAAATGAGGCCGTAGGCCTTGTGTAGTCTCTGACCTGCTGTCCCTTCCCTTTGAATAAGAAGCTGTATTTTCTAGATGTTTGTCATAGCAGAATTCTACCTGTGAGAATAGCAGCTGCAAGGCTGACCACTGAAAATCCCAAAGACGCCGGGGCTGCTCCCATGGTTATTGAATCTGAAATACATACATCAGATCAAAACTGAAAACATACAGTGTACAGTTTTAAATGTATCCATTAGTCACACAAACTACTGAAGTACTTTAGGTGTGAGTACATCTAGCAATCAGTAGATGGCAGTAGCACAACAGGCACTGTTTTGAAAACCTTCATTGGGCTTATAGGATGAATCAGTGCATCAACAGACATATGTTTGATTAAAATGCAAACATCCACCATAAGACTACAAGCTCCTTCCAATTTAAAGTGCATGATGAAGCCAGTATGCTGCTCAATTATAAATATCTTCTCAGGTTTGTAAAAAAAACAACTATTCTAACAGGTACTATATGAAAGGGATGACTTCTTAACCATTTAGTCACATGTGCAAAATTACTCATAGAGAGACAAGAAGTAATTACTTAATTAAATGCAACTGTGTGATAACTTGTATTTAGAGGGTTTATTATTATCTAACATCACAGTTTTACTTTTTCAAAATCTGAGTCACAGGAAAAGCCACAAAAGTGAAGATGGAACAAAATCAAAAAGAAAATCTCTAGAATGTTAAGGTATAAACCTGGATTTTATTTCTCAGAGCTAACCCACCTTTATGTTTGCGGACGGTAATCTGGTCGCTGCTTATGCCCTCCCCTCCCTCGCTGAAAGGTTTAATCTGGATCACATACTCTTGGTTCGTTGGCAGTGATAACTCCAAGGAGGTGTTGTTGGTCTCCACCACGCTAGGGTGGCTGTGTTTGTCCTTGCTGTACATCACCTGCAGGAAACAGAATTGAAGGCATTTGTTGTTGGATCACTTCACCCCAGGCACTTGTCATCAAGGTGCTACAGTACAAAGTTTACTGTATGATTGCTTGATGATGAGCACGCTTCATTATTTGGTCATAATCCTGTCGACTACCTCATCACACGTTAGTCTCAGGATTGGGAAATAAATATGTTTTTAAGGTTGATTGTAATGCAAATATTTACAATTAGTAATTGATTAATAAATAGCAATGCTTCATTATCTTTATTTAATTTTCTATCCTAATGTTGAAATACCTAAAGATTTTAAACCAATACTTAGTCCCAGAAATATTTTGCATTAGGTTTGCATAAATCATAAATGCCAAACAACTATTTTGGAATGTACAAATGATTTCTACCACATGGACATACAGTGGTGAAAATAACTATTTGAGCACCCTGCTATTTTGCAAGTTCTCCCATTTAGAACTCATGGAGGGGTCATCATAGGTGCATGTGCCACAAGGATCTGTTTTGGGGCCCCTCTTATTTATCTTGTACATCAACAATGTTGAACAAAATTTCTCTGATCCTAATATGCATTTTTATGCTCATGATGCCATTATGTATTGCTTTGGGTCATCTCTTGAACAGGCTATTAATTCCCTACAGAAAGGATTTTTTAGTGCACGGTATTCATTTATTCATCTTAAATTATTTCTTAACGCTGACAAAACAAAGTTAATGTTATTTTGAAATCATAAGAAAGTGCCTCAAACCCTTCCAGTATTGTCCACTCAGAAGAGGAATTTCATTGAGGTGGTACATGTATAACAATACCTTGGAATTTTAATTGTTGACTTCCTCACCTTCAAACCTTTTATTGATAAACTTGTGAAGAAATTAAAAGTTAATAAGACACATTTTTCTTTAGGGGTAAAAAAGCACCTCGTCTCTGCCACATTTTTATCGGTCTTAGATTATGGTTACCTTTTTTATAAGAAAAAAAAAATCCCTTCTTGGATTACTGCCCTCTTACATTTGTACCTTACTTACACAGAAAAAAACGACTTCTTTTGCCCTGAGCCCCAATGATCAGCTGTTGCTCACGCAGAACTAGGGAAGAAAGCCTTTAGCTACGCTGCTCCTTGTGCATGGAATTTTTTACAAAGAAACTGGAGGTTGACAGAGTTTTTATCTTTAAATGCTGTTAAGTTGAAACTGAACCTCAACTATCTGTAATTGTTTTACTTGATATATTTTTTATGTACCTGTTATATACCATTTATTTTAATCTCTGTTTATTATGTAACTTTGCTGCCTCCTGGCCAGGACTCCCTTGAAAAAGAGGTTTTTAATCTCAATTAGATTTTTACCTGGTTAAATAAGGGTTAAAGAAAAAAAAAGTCCACTGTGAGAGACATAATCTAAAAAAAATAATCCAGTAATTTAAATATATGATTTTTTTTAAACTATTTATTTGTTTGATACAGCAGCAAATACGTATTTGAACACCTGTCTATCAGCTAGAATTTTGGCTCTCAAATACCCATTAGTCTGCCTTCAAAATCTCCAACTCCACTCCATTTATTGTCCTAAATTAGATGCACCAGTTTGAGGTCGTTAGCTGCATAAGAACACCTGTTTACACTATACAATCAGTAAGAATCCAACTACTAACATGGCCAAGATCAAAGAGCTGTTCAAAAACACTAGAGAAAAAAATTGTACACCTCCATAAAGCTGGAAAGGGCTATGTGGAAATTGCCAAGCAGCTTTGAGAAAAAGGTCCACTGTTGGAGCAATCATTAGAAAATGGAAGTTAAACATGACTGTCAATCTCACCTCTTGGCATCTCAATTATCCTAAGAAAGGTGAGAAATAAGCTCATAACTACACGGGAGGAGCTGGTCAATGACCTGAATAGAGCTGGGACCACTGTTTCCAAGGTTACTGATGGTAATAAACTAAGACGTCATGGTTTGAAACCATGCATGGCATGGAAGGTTCCCCTGCTGGAACCAGCACATGTCAAGGCCCGTCTTAGGTTTGCCAATGATCATTTGATGATCCAGAGAAGTCATGGGAGAAAGTCATGTGGTCAGATGAGACCAAAATAGAACATTGTGGTCATAATTCCACTAACCATGTTTGGAGGAAAAAGAATGATGAATACTATCCCAAGAACACCATCTCTACTGTGAAGCATTGGGGTGGTAGCATCGTACTTTGGGGGTATTTTTCTGCACATGGGACAGTGCGACTGCACTACATTAAGAAGAGGATGACTGGGGCCATGTGTTGCAAGATTTTTGGGAACAACCTCCTTCCCTCAGTTAGAGCATTGAAGATGGCTGGAGGCCGGGTATTCCAACATGACAATGACACGAAGCACACAGCCAGGATAACCAAGGAGTGGTTTTGGAGGAAGCATATCAAGGGTCTGGCATTGCCTAGCCAGTCTCTAGACCTAAACCAAATAGAGAATTTTTGGAGGGAGCTCAAACTCAGTGTTTCTCAGCGACAGCCCAGAAACCTGGCTGATCTAAGGAAGATCTGTGTGGAAAACTGGGCGAAAATCCCTCCTGCAGTGTTTGAAAACCTGGGGAAAAAACTAAAGTAAACGTTTGACCTCTGTAATTGCAAAGAGAGGCTACTGTATCAAATATCAACATAGATTTTTTTTTCAGGTGTTCAATTGCAGCTGTATGATACAAATACTTCATACATGTTTTATTTATTAAGATTTTTTTTCAGATTATGTTGAGTTGTTGGCCTTCATTGACTTACTTCTGAATAGCCTACCTCCTATCAAAGCTAAAGCCTTGAGCCTTTTAATTATAAATGGTCGTGTTTCCTCTCATTTTGTCAGATTTAGGCTGTTGATTATCCCTGTAAACCAGCTTTACTTTTCTCAGCTGTCATCAACCTTTTATAATTATAACCCAGTTCACTGTGGAAATTTTGCTCTTCTCTCTGATTCCCTATTTTGCAACAGTTTTTTTTTTTATCTAATTAAACTTTGCCTTGAATTGCGGTTTAGCTATGCGTTAAAGTGCATATTTGGACCAATAAAGATGTGACTTTTGCAACAATACTCCATCTATAAAAATTAATCAAACAAAGTATAATATTTAAATACCAACTTTTTTTATTATCCATTACAAATGATCCACGTTTGGTAACCTTGAGAAAGAAGTTATTTTCATTTCATACTGTATGTCTACCAAATAAATTAAGGAATAATATTTTAATCTGAAAAGTAAAAAATGTAGCTTTAGAGGAGATCATCGTTTTATTGGACAAAGATGATTTTACACTTTGGAATTGAGTATAAATATTTTTTTTCATTTTATCTTTCTTGTCCATCAGGCTATTGCTTCTTTCTCTCAGTCTTGATCTTCTGATCTTGTGCCAAACCCTGCCTCCCACTTCTGCTACTATCTGTGGTTGTTGCCAGTCCTTATAGATCCAGTAATGGTAGAAAGATTTCCTTTCATTGTTTAACTAAGGATTAACATCTCTAATTTCTTTCTTTCTGCTTGTGCATGGTTAATATGTTGTGTGACTGTTTTCCTATATTTTTCACCTTTCCTCTTAAAATGCAACTCGGAATCCTTGCATTGTCTTGTCCAGTAAAGCCGGACATGCATGTTCTTACACTGTGCGACACGATGTGATCTACCTGCTCACACTGTACGTCTAAAACCCTGAGCAATTTTCCCACGACGGCCAACTGAAAATTAAACATGTTTGATTTTCGCCAACCTCACGATTCCTTATTGGGAGGTGGTTGCGAGAGGCTGATCGCCCCTCGTTACCTTCTATACACAACACGGTGCACGATCAGGCTTAAAGGTACACTATGCAACCGGTGTTGATTTCCCAGCGAGGCTCCCCCCAGAAGGCGAAAGTAAAAGTGCACTGTCGTAAATATGCACAGCTGTTCTCCTGGTTTCTCCGTCAAGCCAGGCGCGGTTGTTTTGAGCTTAGCAGACAGGCGAACGCAACAAATGACTAATGCTGCATTCACACCGCAGCTGGCGCGACAGAAGCAGCGAGTTTACATGCAACGTAACATCAAGGCGCAGCAAAAGGTCCCGCGGCGCGTTCTGAGCAGCAGGCGCAGCACGTCTGAGCAGCTGAAGCAGCGCGTCACTCCTCTTAAACAGTTTATTGACGCCTAAATTAACTTAAAATGCAGAAATCTGCCGGCAGAATATGCAGTTTGGATTATTTAGATGAAAAACACCTACCAGCTGCCGCGGTGAACCGCGAGGAGGCAACTCGGCCAGAGGCTGCTGATGAAGGGATCCCAACTGTCGGCGCACTGCTGGTATGTGGGGGTCTGAGCGGCTCCGACAGAAAAAATATTGAAGGCAGGATAATAATCTGAATGAACTGACGGCACTGATTACGTTTTCAGGTGTATTTTCTCACTTAAACACATATTGAAACTACTTTATTCCCACTGATCACAGCAAATATAGCTGCAAGGCAGAGAAAGGATAGTGAAGCTCCGCCCAAAGCGCGTCAGACACACTTTTGCACCGCGCAGCCAGAGCAGCAAATGTGCTTCAGCCGCGTGTCAGAACTAACTGGTACAAGCAGCAAAAATGAAGCAGCAGACGCGATTTTGCTGCGTCCGATTGTGAACGTAGCATAACTGCACAAAGATCGCCACTGTGCTAGCATTGAGAATGCTTTTAACTGGGGGCGTGTAGCAGTTCTCGCCGTAAAGCAAGACTGACTCTCGCGAGACTTCTGAGCCTGTGGGTGCGGGTCGGTGCTCCTGCAATTGCAAGTGCGGTATTTCCCCCACAGACCACCAGGGCGGCCGAGAATACCTTTGTTCAACCTGAAATGAATCATTTAATCATCCATAACGTTATGGAACACATTAATTAACTGAAAAATGTTGCATAGTGTGCCTTTAAAGTCGGCCTGATCGAAAAATTCTTGCACGACTGGAAAGTCGGCCCGAAAAGGGCAAAGAATCGCACAGTGTATGCCCGGCTTTAGGTTAAGATACAATAAAAAGTGATTTATTGGTATTTAAAGCCATTTATTAGCTTAAAGGTTTCCAAAGTATGTTCTCCCTGAGCATGCGTGGGTTCTCTCCGGGTACTCCGGCTTCCTCCCACAGTCCAAAAACATGATTGTTAGGTTATTTGGCATGAATCCTAATTCATGTTTATAGAACACTTTAAATAGGTAGTCTATCTCCTAGTGCTACAAACAAATGTAAAATAATGAAAATACCAAAAGTAAATAATTAAACTTATAATAATTAATCTAAAATTAAAGGTTTTTCTTTCTTACAACAGGTGCATATGTATAAAACCTAATCGTCCTTCCAGCTTTGTTACCATGTACGGAGAGAAAAAAATCTCTGATGCTGTGGATTAACTATTTAGACTGTAATCAGCCATCACCTTGCATTAATTAATGGCTATCTGCAGAGACTTTTTTTCCTTTATTTCATTCTACTATTTTAATTTCTTTTGTTAGGAACTAAATCTCCCTTCATCATCTGTCATTATACCAACGCTTCCTCTGTGGCCACAATGACCAAAGATATTTTTTCGTGTCAGTTTGGACCTGACTTTGAGAACTACTAAATAAGACTCAAAAGCTGTGGCCACAGCTGAGCGTCAGACTTAGAAAATCTCTTTTCATGGAGTGGCAGTTTACATTTGCAGCATCTCCACCAAGGAATTTGCATGGTTTGATCATCAGAATATGATCTGCATATTAATGAACAGACACACACAAAAAGGTTTGCACACCCTGACTGCTGACATCCAAATAAAAATCACTTTCAATCTTTTTAGAAGATTTGTTCTGCACATACAAGCACATTTGCACCTGTAAATGTGCTGTAATAGTTTTGAGTACGGTGTAAATGTAGATGGACAAGTTGGCTATTTAAGACTATGTAGTCATCTCAACCTCTTTAACCCAAAGTGTGACATACTCACCTTGTATCCTGTGACTTCAGACTCATTCTCCAGGGCATGGACCTGGTCCCAACTCAGAATGACTTTAGAGTTGGAAGTACCCCACATTATTCTACCTGGGGCTTTACTGGGAGCTAGAAAAAGACAACAGGGTGAAAGATGAGTGGGAGAGGAAAAGATGCAGATGGTTGAATCAATAAATAACCCACAACCATATTAATTTGTAGGAAATCTCATTATTAGCCTGTCAGGCCTCTGTTAGTAGGGAACTCTGCTAGTGGACTATTCTTAACTGTTAGTTCAGTGGGGTATGGAAAATGCTATATCATCTAATATCAGATAATGTTTGAGATGTTTAAATGCCACATGCCTGTCTGAAAGTGTCTTTCCCTCAGTTTCGAAGAACATCTCTGAAGGCTTGTTTCACTCTTATCCAACATATAGGCTTATGATATAATAATACATGCTACAGAGGCCATAAAGCTTGAGTATGATGCATTTAAGGTACAAGAAAGGTGTGGGGAAAAAAATCAATTTTTGTCAATATTCATCTCCATGATAAAGTACACTGTTTGATCGTAAATCAGATATGCACATATAAATCTGTCCATACAGCAAAATCTTTGTAATAGTGACTGGAAATTTTCCTGGTTGAGAAATCCTTTATTATGGTTTTCAGCTACAGTTCACTTATCAAGGGCATACATGTCAATATCAATTTATGTCTTTAATTGTTTTTTTGAGCCCCTCTTTTCTTCCACTTTTCTGTTTTAGAGAATATCAATGGCTGAAAGAGAGATTTTTAAAGAAATATGTAAAATGATTACAGCAGCGAAGCTGAAGTTGATTGCCTGAGCTAACTTACATGCGGCATCCCAAGTTTTATCATTGCATCTACTCTGAATAACACACCAGTGCTATTGTTAGCATTCTCACATGATTATCCAACCTCCAAGCTTTATGCTTTGCACCAAGACTACGTGATTCTTTTCCAAATGTCAAGTCAAAAACTGCAATTTTTTTTATTTTTTTTTTTACCAAAATTGCTATATTTATTCAGATTTCCCTCTTAACAAACTCTTAGCATATGCATCAGGCTTCAAGGTTTTATTGTTTTAATAGTCCTGAATGCGCTATTGTCCAGAGTCCATTGCTTTGGGACTTTATTGTTGCCTGGAATACAGTCATTCATGAATAGGGAATACTTTCATAAAATTTTTAGGTTGTTTTGGGCTCTTATAGCATCTCGTCTTTATGAGCTTTTTAAGTTATTTACCTCAATCCCAAACACTCTCAGGTAAAAAAACAAACAAAAAAAAACAAATACTATCAAGTCAGTTGTATATAAAAATGTGTGGAAGCCCAAAAACATCTATTGGTTTGTGCTCCCAGAACAATGAAATTTCTCACCAATTTGTGCCATACTATATGTTGAAAGATGCACCTGTTTACAAAACAGGGCAATGCTCTATGTGACTTTTTCTCCTTAATTTAATATTGGCTCTGATTGGTGCAGACATGAATGAATATCCCTGATTCAGAAATCCAAACCTTGATTCTTTTTTCGTTTTGCAGGGCAAATCTGAGTAGCCTCTCTGCTCTAAGTTTTTGTAGTTCAGTCTTCTTAATGATTTGCATACATTAATAAATAATTTTACATATCCATTACTTATATACAGAGATGGGAAGTAACGAAGTACAAATACTTCGTTACTGTACTCAAGTAGATTTTTCTGATATTTTTACTTTACTTTACTACTTATTTTTATGGCGACTTTTTACTTCTACTCCTTACATTTTTACACAAATATCTGTACTTTCTACTCCTTACATTTAAAAAAATTGGCTCGTTACTTAATTTTGAATCATTTCAATGGAGTTACCGTTATTATTTTTCACGTCATCAATACCAAATTCAATCTAATTGCATGGGAATCTACGTTGCATTTGACGCACCACTACAAGATGAATCGACAGATTCGGCGGTATTCATTTGCGGCAAATCATTGCAGCTTGGTGGCGGTGGCGTTAAGCTAGTAGTATGGACGACGAGATGATTGAAAATGAACACAACGGAGATCTAGTCCTATTGGCAGACATCCATTTAAAATGTAGGCAACGGCATGAAAAAAGTGGTTTCTACTTTTACTTTTATACTTTAAGTAAATTTACAAGCCTGTACTTTGTTACTTTTACTTGAGTAAAGAAGTTTAATCAGTACTTCCACTTTTATCAGAGTATTTTTTAACACAAGTATCTGTACTTTTACTCAAGTACGGAAAGTGAGTACTTTTGCCATCTCTGCTTATATAAAACAAAATAATAATTATCATTTTTTCATGTTTATAAACATTGGAAGACAGCAAGTATGAAATGACCTGTTGTAGGCTACTTATTCATTAGCGGTCACTATGTAGGTTGCTGCTATGATTTTCAAATAAATAGAAGATATACAGCCGAAAAACCTTCTAAGCAGCTGTTGGATTATTATTATTATTTTTTTTTTTTTACCAAGGCACCTTGTGATTCTCCTTTCTTCTTTTACTTGCTACTTGTACCTCATAAAAGTCACAAAAAGCATTACATCAGAAACCAAAGAAAGCTTGGAAAAGGTAAAATCATACTCTCATTATCCATTTGCCACATATTTATTATAGTGTGAAAATATTTCTTTTATTTTATGAAACTAAAATAAAAAAACAAAAACAATTGTTTCTCATATTTTCATTCTTGGTTTTAAATTGAAAAACAAATGAACTAATAATAATACATGATTCTCTTGTATTTGGAAATTTTTTTTAATTTTTTTTATTGAGATTATATTACAAATAAAACTGATTGTCCAGGCCTATTCTTGGCTGTGTTTTTAGATTTAAAAGGCTTACTATAGCGACTCAAAAAAACTCTTGTTGTTTGCCTGAAATAACAACTAAATCCTCGGACCTACACCCATTTCTCCTGAATAAGGTTTTTATCTGTGGGCTGGTTTACATATCAGCAAGGTATGAATGTTGTAGAAATAAAAGAAATATAAAATTTATTTTACCCAGTGGGGAAATTTCTTACTGCAGAATTAGGGATTCTTTCAGCAAATGGCAGGGTGTAAAATTCAACACTTTGCGGTTCATTTGAGGCTTTAAAATTGAGTAGTTTCTGATCATTCTTAATCATTCGAACCTGTTACTTTTATCCAAGCCTGGTGGTTTGGGTCAAATGGTTAAAGCTTTGACATAATTGGAACATTTTGAACACTGCAAAGATCCAAAAGGCACATCCTAACTGATCTTGGAAAAGATAAACAAGGAAATATTAAAAATTTTGGAATTACCATCACACCCCCCTCACTTAAACCTCACTGTGGACTACAGTATTCTTTGTTGTCATGCCAGGAAACAAACCAATTTCAAAAACCAATTTAGACTATTGTTACAAATGAAAAATAAAGTGGTCATATAACCAGTCATTATAATTACTGATGAAACAAATTTAGAAGCTTGTTAAAGAGTTTTTTAGAAGTGCAACTTGCTAAAAGATATTCAGTAATTAGTAAATATCTAAAAGTTTATTGCAGCTGTACATATAATGACTGTATTAGAAAACAATTACAATAAATTCAAATTATTTGTTTTTAAAAATGATAAATTTAATTAAGATGTTTGACCCACCCTGCTTAGAAAGGCACATAATTAATTTAAATGTACATGTAAGTAACACACAAACTTATTAAAATAGCTGATGCAGAGGAAAAAATGAAAGGAGCTAATCTTTCCATTGTGAGGATTTCCCACTTTCCTCATCTAATAGTGACTCAACAGACTCTGGCCTGTAAGGTAAGGTAAAAGGAAGAAAAAACAAACAAGACAGCAGCAGGGAAAATACAATACACAAAAGGACATTTCCATTCGCCAACAGCATCTTTTAAGTGGACCCCTTACGTGGTTTCTTGGTCGTGACATTGACTATGTAGCTCTGTTGACCCACTCCAGCGCTGTTATAGGCCCGCAGGGACATGTAATAGGTACTGCTGCCCTCCAGATCCCTGATGAGTACTGATGTTTTATTCCCCTCTGTTCTGACCACACTGGCTGCATCCGGCTTTTCCTTCTCTCTCCAGTACAGCAGCTAGACACAAAAGATGTTCAGGTCACACTTGATTATTTCCACTGTACACTTTTATTTCTTCCCTCTTTAGCATGGGGCATTATGTGCAATCTGATTGAAAAAATAAAAAAATTAATAAACAAAATGGCAGAAATGCTTCAAAAAAAGAAGCACATTGCATTAAAAGGAATCCAATTCTGTTTGCAATGTTTACTGCATTTTTGCATGTCGAAGTAAGACAGCTTCTGGTGGTCTGACCTCATAGCCAAGGATACGTCTTCGGCTGTTGCTCCACGCCAGCGGCTTCCAGGTGACCTCGACTTCAGATGCTGAAACACTCCTCGCCCTTAGCTTGACTGGAGCTCTGCTGGGTTCTAAAACATACACATGATACTTAGAGTTTCATGCATTCTCTACACCCACATTCACACTATGACTAAAAAATAGAGCGGCTTTATCTAGTATTTTTTTTTATAATTTCAAGAGAAAGATAACCTCTTTGGTGAATTTAAATCATTTTATTACTATTTTGGTGCTGTAGAAATTGTAATTTCTACACTAATATTTCACACAAACATGTGTAGTCGCTGTTTAAAACATTTTTAATATCTGACCGGAGTAGAATACTTATGGTATGCACCTTCTTCTGCTGAGTAGATGGTAGTAACAGGACTAAAAGGCCCTTCGCCCTTATTGTTGTAAACCCCAACTTTGACTTGATAAGGGGAGAAGGGAGGGATGCTTTCATTCTTAAAAACGTATCTTGAAGCATCAGGGGATGTGACGGCTGCCTGCATCCAGCCTTGTGCTCCGAGAGGGCGGAAAGCCACCACGTAACCAAAGCCTGGCCCGCTCTGCATTTCCTCTGGAACAGGCTAAGAAGGCAGCAAAAAAAACAGACAAGGTACTCATTAGAAGTAGGCTTTTGTGTTCCTCCTGATGTTACCCGATTCAAAGAAATATAGAAGAACTACAGTAAAGTGCTGAGTCAAAAAAACAAGCAAATCTTGTCATGATCTGGCCTGTTTGCTCTCCCCTAATTAGTAATTCCTCTCACCTGCCCTCTTCCTTCCCAGCCTCAATTATAATTTATTCCTCTCACCTGTTTCCTTTGGTTTATATTCAGTTCAGCCTGAGCATTCAGTGCCAGATCATTGCTTGTCTTTCTGTCAGTCTGTCTGTTCAGTTTTTATTTGGTTAATGTCCTGGATCCTAGCTGCCAGTGGAAAGAGGGTTTTAGTGTTTGTCTCGTCTCCTGATCGTCCACTGTTCCTCCCCTGCGGAGTCCTCTGGGTTTTTGGCTCATTATGGGGGGAGGTTCAGTTTTTATCAAAGTAAGCCTGGCTCCAGGGTGGAGACCAGTTTAAAGTCTGCTTCAAGTTCCGGTTCCTACGTCCTGTCTCGGCTACCCTCTTCCACTGTGCCTGCCTGTCTGCACCTGTGCGTGACCACCTGGTCATGCTTCTGGTCCCAGTAAGACTCTGAACCCTCCTGGAAGCCTGTGGATGCCTGGAAGTCTGGATCCTGCCACCTGTCTCTGTTCCTGTCTGATCTGGATCCTGCCTGTTCCTGTCTGTTCTGGATCCCTCACCAGGATCAGCTTCCAGCATCACCTCTGGGACTGCAGCACTGGGGACACTCGTGGTCTGGACTGTTAAACCAGAGTGTCTGAGATTGGGCGGTGCCCCGCCCCCCGCCTGCAGTGTCCGCGAGCCACAGCTCCACTTTTGTTTTGTTTTATTTTAATAAACCTTTTGAACTTTCCTACTGACTGTCTCTCCTGAATACTGGGTCCATCTGTCCTCGATTCATGACAAATCTAGTAAATTTGAGAGTGATTATTGTTTAGCCTTACTTTTGTCGCCTCTAGTAGTATAAAATAGAACCGTATATTAAAAACCAAACACCAATATAACACGTACAACCAGGTAAAGCTTAAAGAATCACATGTAATTATCTGCACACTTACTTCCCACGTGATGACAAGCTCCGATCGTCCTCCACCACCACCGCTTACCCTCGCTGGAGTCACTCTAGGCACTAACACGCCAAAAACATTGCTTTGTTAAACTAACCGTATTTATCAATCAAGAAAGATAATATAGATTGGCAGTTATGCTGAACATGTAATGGATATTCAAAATGCATTAAAACTCACCCTAAAAGAACCAAAACATTGATCTTGTGCAAAATTTTGTTCAACTGCAGTTTATTCAAGTGACTTTTTAATAACCAGTGAAGCAGCAAAGAAATTATATATGTGATGTGTATTGATTGTTAGAAGATAATCCCTTTTAGGGTTTGGCTATAATACACAATAAAGCTATTGAAGCTACATACAAAAAAGGTTTCCTCTGACACAGTTCAGTTAAATTTGCCTTTTAAACACCTGGCATCTTGTATACAGCTTTCTTACTTAGCCTCTTGTTCTCTGAATCAAACAACAAATTCTTAGAAAAATCAAGCAGGGATGATAGATGTGGCACCTTTTTTTCTTTTTAAGCATTTAATGTTGCCTTTAGTTGACTCATTTTAGTTTTTGAAAATAGGAAGCAGAGGCGTTGCAATGTAGTATCTTTTATTGAAATTCTTAAGTTATTCTAAAATGCTGAAGTGAGAGTTTTGATGAATTGGAAGACAGTGGGATACTTCTTAAGGTTTGCCTCTTGTCTTTGGCTCCCTGGTAAAAGTAAAATTGAATTTTAAAATTTTCCTTCTACTTATAATGTCCTTAATAATCAAGTACCATCTTATACTTTAGACCTTATTTTCCATATGTTCCCAAAGAACAGTAAGTATTCATTGCTGCAGGTATACTGCTAGTTTCTAAAAGTCAGGAACTAGCGTGCAGTTTTTTTTCTATAGAAAGCTTAAAACTTGCCCTTCTTAAAAAAAATTGATATTTTCATAGTCCTGGTTTTCAAAGGCTTCCTCAACAGCTATACTGCTGTAGACATGATGTCTTCATTCATCTATTACTTATAATGATTACCTTTTTTGTGCTTTCCTTGATAACTTGTGTTGTTGTGTAACTGTCCTGTCCTTTCAGCCCTGAGCCAGTAGACACAAATAGCTGACCTCCCTAAACTTGGTTCTGCTTGAGATTTATTGTAATAATTAAGTCCCTTCCTTTTACAATGATAAACTTCTTGCTCAGCATCAGAGATTGGCACTAAACAAGGATTCAATCCCACTTGCTGGTTTTCTTAGACAGACACATTTTGTACTTAAAGGCAGTGTATACTTTGCAAAGTCTAGTATAATGTGGTAGTGCACTTTATTATGTTCAAATATGATTCAGAATTTGATTAAATTTGGTTTGATTGTATTGGGATAAAAAAAGAAAAATAGGTAAAGAAACTTAGACAGAACCAGAATTAAAAACTGCTAAGATATTCAGTTTAATAGTGGCTCTCTCACATATATGACTGCCAACACGTGAATCATGTTTGGAAACAAGGCTGTGTCAAAATGTAAAGCTAATGATAAGAGAAAGGTGCATGTGCAAAATGGATTGTTAGAGAAGCTTGTTTTACTCAAAGCAACCTACAGGAGGACTCAGGGTCTGTTATGGTTGCAAGCAGAACCAGAATCTCCAATGGAATTGTATGTTTTTGTCATAAAAGCTTTATCATTTTCATATCTGATTTTTTTGAGTGTGGATAAAACGAATTTTGATGAATTAAACACCCATGAGGAGCTACTTTATTAAAGATACAACTTGATATACTTTTTCTGTGAATAATCATGAGCAAAGCGAGCCTACATACAGTATGCCTGAAACTGAAAACTGAAAACATTTTTGAAATCAACTTTTGTAAGAAGGCCCAATATTATATGGTAACTATCATAAAACATAGAATTTGATAGTATCAATCAATCTATATTTTTAGTATTTTCATCATGTTTCTTTATCAACAGTGTTTCCCAACCGGGGGTACGCGTGCCCCTAGGGGTACGTGAGTGCAATGCAAGGGGTACACGAAAATATTTTATTTATCCAGTAGTAATATAAAATAGGGCTGGGATCTGTTTTGCTTTGTGAGGAGCCAATTGAATAATTGAACATGCTTTTATCAATCAAAAAGTAAGTTTTGTAATGCAGAGAAACAGACCAGATGTAGAAAACAGCCTGGTAGCAGCTGTTTTTCACACTGAGCTATCGGAGCTAATCAAAGCAAGCTCACGTGTCTTGATGAAAACAAATAAAACTAATTAAGTCAGTCTGACTGTAACTTTAATTCTGTATTTTGTTCCCAATACATTAATTTTTTATGTAATTATAAGGGAGTTACTCATAGGAGCTCCAGTTTTATTTAAATACTGGTTTATAATATGATTTTATTTTGTATTTATTTTGATTCCTTACTAACTTCCAGGCAACATATTTATGTTGTTTTTTTCTTTAATGGAAAGCATGAAATTATAAAATGCTCAAATTAAAAGATTAAGTAAAATTGTCTTTATTTCAGCTATTGTACATTCCACTTTTGGACAATCATCAATAATTTTGACTGCTAGGGGTACTCATGGTAAGCAAAAATGCCCAATGGGGTACACAAGTCAAAAAAGGCTTGGAAACACTGGTTTAAGAAAGGAGCAAGAAATAGACTTACAAAACAAACAAACAAAAAAGTCCCAACAATACATACGCATTTCTTTGGTGCGGGTCTTCTTTGAGGGTTTGCTGGGCTCTCCTGTTCCAACACTGTTGGTTGCCAAAACTCTGAACTCATAGTCAACCCAGGGACTTAAATCAGTCACAGTGGCTGAGAGCTCTTTCCCCTTTAAAATTTCCCGGACTAAAAGACATATGATAATTAATGTTTCATCTGCACAGGAAAAAATATTGATCAACTTATGCAATGTTATACATATCAGCTCACAAATAGTGTTTGAAACAAATAAACATTTTCAAAATCAGCATATTTATATTTCTTCTGACCTACATAGATAGTCTCTCTAAAAGCATAAGCTTACCATTGGTAACAGTTTGCCATCCGAGGGAGAAGGGTGTTCTGGCCTGGATAGTGTAGCTGAGGATGGGGCTGTGGTTGTCCAATCCAGGCCTCCAAGACAGAGAGGCAGTGGTCTCAGTCATCTCATTCACCTGACAATCTAATGGTGGGTCTGGAGGACCTGGAAGAATGATAAGTTACAGTCCACTTACACAGAAAGATAAACACTTGAAAGATTAATGAGGAGAAGAGGAAGAGGACATTAGACATGGATAAGTTGGATCATGATCAGGGTTTATATACCAAATGGATTAGAAGAAAGTGAGATTTGGTGTAGCAGCTATTTTATTTAATAATGAAAAGCAAACCTGACCAAAATGTAAAACAAATATAGATTGACAAAAACATAATGAACCATACCTTAAGAAGAATTAGACAATGTTATGATTTTTTCCTATATTAAATTCTTACAACACAATTCTCAAAAAAATTCTAAAAACATATCTTAAATCTGAATGAATGAAATATTCTCATTGAATACTTTGTGCTGTAAAAAGTTGAATGTGCTGATAACTTTTCCTGCAAAAAAACAACAACTTAAGAGTAAAAGAAAATCAGGAAGAACTTCTCTTATTTTTTTCAATAAGAAGCTAACCTGGCAGTAGCCAGACTGATATGTGTGGAACTGAGTTGAGTTCTACGTTATCAATCTAGGACGCCTGTCATTAAGTCTGTCCTTGAAAAGGAGGGATGTTTAGTACAATACTTCGAGCTGATTGGGTGACGTGCCAGCTAATGCCGTCTTCCATACTACGGTTTCAGCTAATCGTAACAGCGAATCGTGACGTTTCACAACTAGAGCAGTAAGCTGGAAAATCAAACTTTTTCCAAATCCTGTAAGAAAAAAAGCAAAGACATCTTTCTAATCAACAAATGCACAAAGTGCTTCTCTTTGCTCCATTTTCAAACGTGAAATTGTCTGTATTTTAGTAAAAACCGAGTTAATTGCGGTAACAACAGGTGAGTCCTCCAGGGTAGCCATGTTTGTAATGCCACAGCAAGGCCCTTCTTAATGTTGTAATTCCTACATGGCCCACCCCAAGAAAACACTGATGGCAAGTGTATGGTCTGACTCACTGGTTGTTAAGAGATGGACGTATTAGCGGTAGTCTTTTAAGATCGATTTGTTGTCAGACACAAAACTCAGATCTTGCGATAATCCAGCTTGTAGCGAAAGGTTAATGAGAAGCAGCCAAGAGTCCAGTATTTGTGCACCTGTCTTTAACTTTTTTACACTTTTTTAACTTCCGTTTTCTGGAGTAATTCCCCACAGAGAATTACCCTTCTTAAAAGAAAATCTTTCTCTTATATCACCATCCCCCCATACCATCCCCTGTGACATTTTAATACTGAATGTGTAAAATTTCTACTATATATTAACAGTAATGGCAATAATATTGCCCTTTCCACATTCAGCTTACGAGTAGCCTGAGTAAAATAAAGAAGATCAAAGAAGCGGCCTACCATGAGACCCTTTGTTCCCAGTCACGACCTTTACCTTAATCAGAGCAACAGAATCCATGATGTCAGAAATTTTAGAATGAGACTTTTTCTAGCAGCTCCTCTACCGAGTTAAATGGCAACAACTTTGTAGTCAGGGATTCCTGTGACCTTTTGACAGTTCACTCAATGCACTAAAATTAAACATTTAGATGTTTTTTTGCGTGAGATAATATCCTAATAGAGGATAAAATGTAACAGATTCAACCTATCTGTGCTTGAGGTCCCATAGACCGTGACTGGCACTCTGGGATTCATACATCTAATGTGATGTATTCTTCTTGATCCATTCATCTCTGCAACTTTATGTATTTTGCATGCATTGGTAATTTTAAATCTTCTTTTGATAAATAAGGAGAGTCCTTACCTCTAACAACCACATCTGTAGCAATTGACACACTGTCCACCTTGGTCTGAACTGCACAGGTGTATTTCCCAGCATGGCTTAGTTGGATGTTCCTTATCATAATGTCACCTGCAGAACGCTGTTGATGTAGGTGAGAGAAATCAAATATAAGAAAAGTATAAAAAGAAACAAAAGGAAAACGAAGAAACTGAAAAAAAAAACCTGTTAGAATCACGAAGTTGCAGAAATGAATCAAGAGAACAGGTAAAGCATGTGAAATGTTAAAGCAATTTCTGGTGCCATTCTATTTATTTCATTAAGAGAAGAGAGGGAGAAAGCACTCATCCAGGGACACATCAAATAAACGAATGCTGCTTTTCATCTTCATTTATGAGGGCAGCTCTTTGTGAGGAATTAAAAGCTTTCTTTCAGCATCATCTTTTTATTTATTCTCCCTGCTTTCATTTAGTCTACAGAAAATGACTCAATGCCAAACACACAGTAAACTCTCAACTTTAAAGTTAGAGCTAATGTAAAGTTTATGCCTTATCTCGGAGATGAGAGAAACTGTAAAAGGAGTCGTGACTCTGGGAGCTACTTTGATGTATAATCAGGGACATTTTATGGAGATAAAATTCAGCTGCTCCCAATATTTCCCTCTTTGATTCAACCTGCCATCAAAAATATTTCAGGATGGAATGGATTGCAAATCTACCACTTAATCTAACATTTTATGAAGAAGTGAGTTGTAAAAAACCGGGTGCCCTTTAACTAAAGAAAGATAACTTAAAATAAGATCTTGTAAGAAAGAAAATGTTTACAAAATTTACGTGTATTTATAGACATCAATGTTAAAATCTAATCAAAACTGTCTTTAGTAGAACTTTTTTAAAGCAGGTGTATTTATGAAAAAACAACTAAAAAGAGATTCATGGCCACCTTTAAATGTGTCCATAGTACTTCAGTTGAGGGGGGATGGCAATCCCTTCTTAAAAAAAAAATCTTAAAAATCATCATCTTTCTTAAATACCATCCCCTGTGACATTTTAATATTGAATGTGTAAAATTTCTACTATATATTAACAGTAATGGCAATAATATTGCCCTTTCCACATTCAGCTCACGAGTAGCCTGAGCAAAATAAAGAAAATCAAAGAAGTGGCCTACCATGAGAATAAAGCTGATCCCAGCGGGACATTTGTCCTTTGTATTTGTCCCTAACTATGTAGGGGCAGTGATAGCCATGCCAGTCCAGGGACTGACTGCAGTTCTACTGTAAGGTGCCTTGGTCAAGTTCAATGACCAATGTACCTGACATGTACCAACCATACCATGCATATTGCTTTAGGTTTATAAAATATATTAATTAGGCTATTTATACTTCCATAAAAAAAAAAAAAATCCAACATCCCCCTTCTTTTTTTTTTTACAACTAGACTACTGGGGATCCATATCAACTCTACACATGCTGTCACTCTTAGCTCCTCATCCTGCTAATCAAATTTCCTTTCTCTAAAGATTGCATTAATTAATCCAGAATTTTTAGGGATAAATGATAACCGGATCACATTTGTTTCCAGTCATAGTCAAGCTGAACATGTTAGTAATTTGATTCAGTTTTTTTTCTTTTTATCTGAATTTAGTATCCAGTTTGTAGCCTCATAATCAAGACAAATGACTTCTGGTGATCATTTGACTTATGGTTTCTAAGAAGAGGATTTGAATCAGATTCTAAGTGAGGTGTTTATAGCCTAATTGCAAGAAGTCCCTTTAAAGAGTCCAAAACGATATTAGAACTTGGGCAATATTTTATCTGAGTAATACATTTGGCCACTCTAGCACCCACTGTTGTGAGAATTTTCTAGCCTCTAGTCATAATAAGTGAAAGTTGATTTGGTTTATGGCCTGACGAAGTGAATTAGTAATGCTCTTAGAAACTGCATAAGTTTTTCCGTGATGCAGTAATCCAACTTACTTAATCACTTTTCCTCCTGTCAGTAATGCTATTCCTTTACCTTTGGCATTTTACTACAGCTTTATCAATTAAAGGTATAGTGGAGGATTTTCGCAGTTTTTGAAAAGACCTGCCCTCTCCACAAAAAATGCATATGCAAAACCCTGTACTCACTCCTGTGAGGGAACGCCTATTAAACGCGTGTCGAGAGCATGCACGAGCCCATATCTCCTCTTGGATGTACAGAACGCAAAAATATGGTCACTCAGATGGATCCCATCTCACCCATATTTATTTAGTAAAATTTCCCCGGAAATAAGACTGCTAGTACCTTATAAATGTATCATCACCCAAACGTTAGCCCGGAGTGCGATCGTTGCCATCAAACACCTGCCTCACTGATCCATATGTTTTGGTCATGCCCATCACTCAAGCAATATTGGACAAACATTTTTGCAGCCTTGTCTGAAGTAGTTCATATGTCCATCCAGCCTGATCCCTTAACTGCATTGTTTGGTGTACTTTCTGAGACGGTTTCTTTGTCAAGACTTAAGGCTGATCTGGTGTCATTTCTCACTCTGTTGGCGAGGCGTAGAATATTGCTGTGCTGGAAATCAGCTTCACCTCCCTCATTTGAAATCTGGATTAAAGATGCTTTACACTTTAGTAAACTTGATAAGATTAAATTTACCCTACGAGGTTCCACAACTAAATTTTTAAAGATCTGGCAACCGTTTTTTGATTTTATTCAGACATTGCCGTCCCGTATGGTGCCCAACTAAGTTTTCCTTTTGCCTGACCTTTCTATTTGCATTATCATATTATTTATCAAATTATTTATTCTGTCATTAATACCCATTGATGCACTTTTTTTTCTTAAATCCTTCCCCCCCCCCTTTTTTTTTTTTAATTTTTTATTTTTTGTCTCACTATTTGGGAAGGCTTATCCATGTGTACTGTACGACTTATGTTCGGTTCTGTTATAGAAAAAAAGTCTACATATCTTGTTCTTATATTTTTGCACATTTTGTATTTTGACGTTAAAACCTAATAAAAAGATTTAAAAAAAAAAATAATAAATAAATGTATCATCTACTTGTATGTGTGTGTGCTGCAGTGGAAATTTGGACGTGTTTGAGGGGTAAATAAGGATCTGTGGCCACCATATAACTACTAACGATGCAAATTACAAAATTAATAAACTTATCTTCCTACCTTATGGAAAGTTACAATATAGAGGTAGTTAACTTTTACCAGCAGTGATGTGAAATGGATTTCTCCAAATAGCATGCTAAACTTTACCTGTCGAGTAGAAACGTAGGCATCAGTAGAAGCCCAACCTGTGCTCTCTTTCTTTTCTTCTCATACACTTCGTAGACATTTTCTCTCTTATGACCCTCCGCCATTGTGAGTAAGGTGAGCTTCAATGACTGGCTGAAACCGTAGCTCACCACATATATACGCCTTAAAGTGCGCATTGGCAGAAAAAGATAGCAACCTGGGGATGAGCACGTAGGACGGCCTTACGTAAACATATCACCAGGATGATTGGCAATTAGGAGGACCACTTATTTTGATGATCCAATCGGAAAAAGAACATCCTCCACTATATCTTTAAAGTTACCTTTCATAGGTGCACAGCATCTGGTGTCAAGAAGGACTGTTTACAGATTTTTACAGCAGAGAGGGAGCATGGGTGCTGAGATAGAGGCAAACATGACGTTGGTTGGCTGAGGGGCCATAATGTGGGCGAATGTTCAGCATACATTGATTGCTCTCACAGACTAAGAAGAGAGAGGCACTGAGGCCTGCAGATTCAATGATAGCATTCCTGAACTGGAAGTGCTCGCTGGAGCCGAAGGCTAAATGTTCAAGTGATTTGCTTGTTATGTCCAGAACTAAGACTTTATTCACATCAGTTACAATCAACTCTAATCTAATGAAGCCCCACATCTTGTGTCACCTGACAACACAACTAACAACTGGCTGATTGTACAACATATCCTGAATCAATTCTCTTATTGTTCAAACGGAAGCACTTGAAGTACAGTCTTTGTTTTTCTTTGACTGAATGTTGTGTTCACTGTTTAATTTTATTGTTTTATTTTTGTTAAATTGCTTTAGCATTGTACTTTTTTTAATAGATAGCTAAAGCCTTTTTAAAAAAGAAAAAAAAACAACCAATCACTTTCCCATAAATAAATAAATAAATCTTGATTTACTTCTACCATGACACACTTTAAATTGGTGTGGATCAGTATAAAACCTGATATTTAGTGCTTTTAATTTTGTAATTCATTTACCGTTTTATTTAATCATTGATATTAAACATTTTAAATTTGATTATTTAATTACCAGTTGTATTCAATGTTCCCATAAAAGGTAATATAACCAAATCCATCAAACTTATAGGTTAGAAAAACTAACTGCACTGTTACTTTGCTGACTAAAAATAACCTTATTTTGATTAAGCAACAACAGAGTTAATAACTACTTACTTTTCTAAGTAACATTCCAAACACTGTCTATAACTATTTTTTATGGTAACTTTTTAGGTTGAAACAGTTATTAGTATAATCTATATTAATGGGTTTCTTTGTAATATTGTTTGAAAATATCTTTACTGATAGGAAACAGAGCTGTTGTAACTGCTGTTTAGTAGAAGCAAAGGTTGATGATGTTTTCTGAATGTGGGGCTACTTGTCTGTTTAAAGTCAGATTTTTTTGACAGCTTTTAATCAAAATACTCATTAAGTGACATTTGAATACAGTGATCACTGTGTGATTGTAGCGGACTGGATGTACTCCCTTGTAATTATTACTGATGACAGGTTTCATGTGACAAGTCTAAAAGCAAAGAGTTATTTTTATATATTTTAATCTCATGTGTTATTTTTAATTCAATAGAGTGCAGCTCTTTAAATGCATCCTTTCTGCAATAAATGAAAATAAGTAGTTTTCTATGTACTTTCTGAGCTCCACAAATAAGCCCCAACGTTATGACCACTGAGAGGTTACGTTAATAACACTGATTTTCATGTTACCATGGCACCTGCTAGTGAGTTGGATATACTGTAAGTAGCCAAAAGGTTAATGTTAAATAAGGGGCGGAAGCAAGTACAAAGATATAAACAAGTCTAACGACAGACTGCGATAATGAGACAATTGGGTCAGAGTAACCCTGGAGCTACAGCCCTAGTTTGGTGCTTCTCTTTATTTGTAGTAAAAATGTAGTCCAAGGAAGAACAGGGGAGAGCCAATTGTAAAAAGGGCTCACTCATGTCAACTGGGACCAAAGGCTGATCTCTCTCTCTCTGTTCACTCAATCTGTTGAAAAAAGTAAATCTGCTGTACGCTGTATCAAAGTTTTTTTGTTGTTTATTTTTTTCTCTCTTGGACTTCATACTGTAGCTTGAGAACAATAAGTGTTTGTAGATCTGCAGCTATATGGCTGTGGACACTTTTAGCAGGATACTGCACACTACCAAAAAATATGAAACAGTTAAGGAATACTGTGAAGAGCACATTGAGTTTGCAGTATTGCCCACGGCTTCTCTAATTTCCCTAGATCTCAATCAAATAGAGCACATGTGGGATATGCTATAGAAAACAATTCTGATCCGCGAAGGCCTTGAAGGATCTGTTGTCAACACCTTGGATTACCAGATTCTACAGCAGAAATTTTAGATTTCAATTGTCTATACAACAACATGTTTTTACATGTGTTAAACAGAAGACAAGCATGCAAGGGGATTTGAAATGATGCATAGATGGACTCACCCCACCAACTTTTTCAAAAAAGGCCCCTTGGCTTCCAAAGTGGATGACCTGCTCGTTGAAGAACCAGGTGAACTTCAGGTCAAGAGTCGGATCGTATGAAACCTGGCAAGGCAGCACAATGCTCTCGCCAAGGGTTACATCTAGGTGTCCCGCTGGACTCGTGATTGTGGTTGCCTCTGTAAATTGTAAACACAAAAACAGAGCCTACCTCATTAAAAATATAGTTGCTTTCTTCTCTATCAGACTGAATAAATCCTCCTTCACACCATCTGATTTTATAATGTTGCTTGTTTGAGCAAAACTGTGCGGTGTCTGTCTTTTCCCTGAACTTTGATAATTATAAGAAAAATTATTCCTTTGATCTACTCCTTTGGAAGATGTTAACAAATGAAAACAAATCCTGTTTCAGTCTGACAGTGACCTCATTTTGCATTTCTTTCATTGAGTCACACAGAAGCCTGTTGGTAAAAATCTGTAAAACGCTAAGAATAATAATAATAAAAAAAAAATCCTTTGTAACAGATTAATTTCCAGTCTGTAATTTTGCTTTGCTTGTGTGAAAAAAAAATGCTAAATTTAATTCTCTCTGTGGAGCCTATCAACATAATCTTTGGTTTTCTCAGCTGGATGTCTCATTTAGCAGCAGTGCTTTTCAGACATTTTTTTTCCCCATCCTGAGGGGCCCACACACCCGTCCTTTGTGAATTCTGCATATATTTTGCAAGAATGTAATGGACAGGGCTGAAATGCAACAAGTCAGGAAAAATAAAGGTCTATATTGAGCTCTGGCAAAGCAAACTGGCTTGTTTATCTGGCAGTTCTGGAGGAAAAAGAGACTGCCAATGGCATTGTATTCCAGCGGACTATCTCAACAACCCAAGATAATCACGGTTTTATCAATATGGTATTAAATACAGCATCCAGTAAAGCACTATAAGGTTCTACTTTGTATTTAACAAAATTCTGATAACTTATATACTCTGAATAAACATGTTATGTGACAAAATTGGCTTTGAACTATTCTAAAAACATAATCTATTCATCTATTTCAGCTTATCCCTGTGTGTAGTTCTCCTGCCTGCATTGAATGATAAACCTCACAGTTGAACTTACTCCCCTTCTGTAGCTTTGTTGTGGAAACAAAAAAAATATGTTATAGAATCAAATTAGCATAATTTACTAGATTTTGTAGTTAAGACAGGAGAACACTATTTTATGTTGACCATTTAAAGCAAGAGGTGAGGAATACTGTATCAAGAACAGGTAGTTAGAGTGATGCGTGTCCTTGATTTCCTAAAGACTGATTGTATGCAGACACACACTGTAAAGGAGATCCTTCTGCGGTCACCATGGTCTTTCTATTTTAACCAAGGGACAATCTTTCAACTCTTTATAGCATAATTAAGCTAAAATTAGCTCACAAAGGTTAAGGATTGGTCCAGTCTGAAATAAGTGCTGTTTAATGAAGCCATGGAGAGTTCAGCTGGCTTCATTGAATAAACAACAAAAAAATAAACATCCTTTTTCAACATAAGGTCAAAAATCTGGACAGTCTACATGGACATCCTTGTTTGAAATTAACTATGCATGAAAATGCTGTAAATTTCTTTAAAACCATTTGGATATGAAATACAATGGGTATACTGTTGTATAGATAATAAAAAAACGAAGCTCAAGTGTTACAACAGAAGTTAAAGTAAAGGTTTGTATTGACTTTTTGTGCTTGGCCAAGAATTGCCCCTGGATTTTAGAAAGGCTTACTTTAGGACTGTACGACAATGATCATTAAATCAAATTACAACGTTCTTTTTTTTAAATATTGTCTTACTTTCAAATTAATAACGTGACTAATGAGTTAAAAAAGTTCAGAGTTAAGAAAAAATTGTTTCCTTGTAATGTTTTCTTTATGCATGTTGTAATAGCTCATTGTTTCCTTTTGCTATCAACAATTTGTGCCACCAGTAATACGAATATTTGTTTTAATACACAAGTTTGTGACATTTGAGCCTTTCAAAATGGACGTTATCCAGCACAAGTCGAGATAAAGAAACAATTTTCTTTTCGTCAAATTTCCATTTTTAAGGAGTTTTTTTATTTTAAATCACAAGTACATTCAAGCTGCCCTTGGACGGAAGTACAATAGAGTGAGGATCAAAAGGCTACAACTGTAAAACAGCCCACATTTCAATAGTTTCGTAAGTGAAGTCCAGACAAAAAACAGTTTGAATAAAAAAAAAAACATTAAGTTAGTGCAAAATCTTCAGAATGATTCATGGTAAAAGTGGATAATCAGGGGTTTTGGGGTTTGCTTAAAAGGTATTTAAGTAATTTAGCTTCACCTTTTTGTAAGAACGTGTGGCCAAGATTTTGCCCTCTGGATTTTAGATTTAAGCTACTTTAGGACTGATAAGGACAAGATCATGATGAACTTCTAAAATTATCATAGAGGTCCTTATTTTTTAAATATTGTTTTACACTTAACAAATTAATAAGTGACTTAAATAGATAAAAAGACTAACCAAGAGGGGTTATAGAAATATTTGTCTTGCTTAACAGTGGAGATGCTTTTCTCGTATGCTGATGTGAAGTAGCTCATTGTTTACTACTTTTTGCTTTCACACAATTTGTGCATAGTCCCAGTACTTCTACATACGGTAATTATATTTTTAAATTAACACAATAAAATATTACACAAAGTAATTAGTGACATTTTGAGCCATTTTAAAATGGACAGTTATGCAAGAACTACAAATTACTGTATGATAAAGGAAACAATGGTTTAAACTTTTTGCTCCCAAAAGCTTTGCATTTTTAAATTGGATTTATTTTATTAAATGCACAATTGTACATTCAAGTGCAATTGGATCAGGAAATCAAATTAGAAAAGTGGTGATCATGACATAGTGCGGTATTCAACTGAAAGAACAAAGCTATCAATCTTGTAATAGTTTTGTTTCTGCTAAACAAAGACCCATACAAACAAATTCATAGGGGAGTGTTAAGTAAAAACTAGAGTCAATAAACCTATTTAAACATTTAAAAATGAGCTTATAATGAGCTTAAGCAATAAGCTTACTGTATTGAATACATTTATGGCTTTCTTCTGACTCTGACATATCCACGCTACAATCAACATGCATTGGTATTATTTTTATCTTTTTGTTTCAGCAAACTGCTTTGACAGATAATGAGGCTGTGCCAGAGAAAAGAGGGTAAAAGCGGGCTTCGTTTTAAAACAATTGTAATTAAAAAAACCTGTCAAAACAATCACATAAGAAGTTATAACAGAGAACTGTTTTTTTTTTTATTCTGCTCTTTAGAAGTACCTATAAAATACCTGATTTATGTGAATGAATGTATTCAAATCCTAAACAAACTCAGCAGAGCTATTAGCTACTTTGAAAAAATATTATGATTTAAACATTGCAGGCACAAGAGAGTTAAAAGCCTTGTGTTTTACATCCTGTGGCCACTGCCAATCAGCAAGCTTAGCCTGTTTTACTTTCCCTTCTTTAATTTCCAGTAGACATAGAAGTTACTTTTTCCATAACATTTTCTCTCTTCATATGTGCCTTTTTGTCTAAGCTTTTAAAACATGATGTATTTTGTCTATAAAACAATAAAAGAAAAAACAGAACTCCTCAGTTGGATTTTGATAGCAATAGTGGTCTTTCTCTGACTGACTAATTGGAAACACATCTGATTAGCAATGGCACAAAAATAAGCAATACATTTATTATTATTTTTTTAAATGCATAATATTTTACGGTGGTTTATCAAATCCAATCCCAATAAATACACTGTATTCAGCAACTGTAATCTTACAAAGGATGACAAAAGGTCCATGATAGTGAATATTTTTCCACAAAACTCTTAACGGTAAGAGTGCTTTGAACTAACAGATTATGCAAAAAGGAAAGAATAGTTCTGACCAATCTGCTTGACCAGCATTTAACTTTACTTGAGTGTCCCATTCAGCTGTTCAACAATAGCCAGACAAAATAACCAAAAAAGCCCAGCAATCTCTGAAAATCTTCCTAGTCCCCATTTAGAGTATCAAGTTCTAAGAGCTCTTTCATTCAAAGGTACCAATGGAATGATGCCAAATGTGACTGTAGAGTATGTTGCAAGGACCTGCTTTTGTTACACTTTAAACAGAGAGGCAGATGACAAATGGATTGGTCAAGTAGTTTGAAAAATGCTCTTTTCAAAGACTCTTGGGAATATTCAGAGTAAAAACTGTTATTGTTTGAGGAATAAGGAACATCTTGAACTGCATAACTAAAAAATAAACTTGAATCACAGCAAACCTATGAAAATCAGAGAACAGTAATAATAATATATAATAATGATATAATAATAACTAATAACAGTTATATCATTGGTTTAGGTTACAAACAATAAATATATGAAAAGATGAACTGAAAAAAGTAATGATAAATAAAAATCAAAGTACCTTATATATATATATATATATATATATATATATATATATATATATATATATATATATATATACCTTATATATATATATATATAAGGTACTTTGATTTTTTTATGGGTCAGTTTGTTTTTTAAGATGAATATTTTGTTTGATAAAATTATTGCTTACTACATTTTATTTATCATTACTTTTTTCAGTTTTGTGGCATTTTCATTAATAGGGTGAATTAATAATTTCCTAAAATGTTAACTTTCAAGCACAACTGTATTTCTAATGCTGGATGTTTGAACAATCTTTTTTTTTTCCATATTATAATGTAAGAGTCATGTAAGATTGACAGAAAAGGGCATTTTGAGACTGTCATCTGCAGCTGTAAGATGGAACTTAAAATAGCAAACCCTCTAAGGCCTTTGTTATACACCAGCATCTTCTTGAAATCCTTTCCTCATTGACAGCTAAGCCCAGTCTATGTACTCCAACAGCCTGTGGCTCCTTCGTTTAAACAAAAAGAAAATCCACTTGCCTTGCTTTGTTGTACATTGAGTTGAAAAGTGCAAAAAATGAATGCGATCTAATAAAATATAACACAGAAAGCATAGTCTGAGGCTTCCTCTGTGGTGAAGCTGGTATTTTTTCTTTTTCAACACAATTGCAGTGTCTCCAGATCCTGTAGATTGGTAGGTTCCTCAGATGCAGCCCTAGGTCTGCAATTTTCTTTCCTTGTTTCCATTTCTTTTTCTCTATTCTGCTAGTTCCTTTGTCAGATGAAGTGTAATATACTACACTTACCTAGATTTAAAACATATTTTGTATTTTTGCTGTAGATACCATATGTTGCCTTGCTTACTGTCTCAAGATAGCCACAAGAGCACCGGTAATGTCGTAATCTAACAATAGAATAAATATGTTATGCTTCTGTAAGAATCATTTGAACACACCCAGACCAATAGTATAGTAATCATCAGGTGTTGTGACGCAGGTGTAACTTTATAGACTGTGAGCACTGTAACTATATCTACTTGGATTCTGAGACATTACTATGAAGATAGTACAAACAAAAAGACTACAGTGTCTTACATGCTTTTGTTCATGCAGCAGAATATAATCCTACTGTGTCAGGCCAAAAAATTATGATTGAGAATCTTCACCAGCATACTTGTGTAAGGGTTCTACCCTCTGCTTGAGTTTATTTTTAGTTTCTTTGTGTTCTGTGTCTTTGTAGTTGTTTTCTGCCAGTGCTGAGTTCTTTAGTTACTATCTATTGCCCCCTTGGGCTTGTTTTCTTTCCCCTTGGCTTCCTTCTAGATGGTCTTGCCCACACCTGCTCCCAATCTGTTGATTAGCCTGTTTTGGTACAGTCTCCCCAAATATACACAACCTCTGCAGTTACTCAGTGCTGGTTTGTTGTTTTGTTGCTTATTTGTGTCTTGCTCCCCATGTGAGTTTTTCCCTGGTGTCTGCTGATGTCTTGGTTCTTTCTTTTTGGGATTTTTTTGGATTTGGCCTATGTAACCTGATTAAATCTGCAAAACTCACCTCTGCCTCCTGATCTCTGCATTTGGGTCCTCAAAACCTCCACTCAACCGTGACAACTTGTTTTAACTGAACAAACATAAGGACAGCCAGCATGTAGCTGATTCCTGAACGTAAGTTCTACTGTAAGCCAGTCCAGCTGAGAGCTCTGCTGTCCGGCCTCCATTACAAAGAACATCATAATTTCTGGGAGTCTCAGCTGTCTGTCTCGAATGAAGTTGGCCATGTAGTATTTGCTCCTCAACAAATCATTATCTTCATACAGAGGGCCACTTTTATCTTAATAATGAAGCAATTTCAATACAACCAAATACAAACAAAAACCAAGTATTTTTTCTCCCCAACAAGATTGGACATACCCACCTTCCCTTTAAATCATTTGTACTGTAACAAACTTTTGATGTTATAATGAAAGGAATTTAATATCAGAATAATCACTTTGCATACATAATTAAACATATGCCAGTCTACATGCAAATGCTTTGCACTGGAACATTGTGTTGAATGTAGACGCAATGAATGAGGTGAAGAATGGTCAAACTGTGCAAACCTAAAATGTCTGATTGTGAGATAGCGAATGCATCTAATGGGTTTATTGAGAAGTTCCAGCCAAAATTCAAAGTAGTGTATCACTAAATTCAAACAGCCCATATCGATAAAACAAACTATAAGGTTATTAACCAGTAAATGGAGGCTATCTGTAACAGTCTGGAATTTCAGCAGGTGTCAGATTCCTACTTAATTATAGTGAGGATTAACAAAGACAACAGGACCCAACAAAAGCTTCATTATAGCATTTCTCAATAGCAATTAGCAACTTCAGTCTGAGGTTTATTCAGTAGTGCTGTGCAGGCCAGGCATTTCGGGGGTCTTACCGAATGGATGGCCTATTGCATGCTAGACTAGGTGGTGGTCAAAATGTGTGTTTTTTTTCTTACCCCATAAACAGGGCTGACATTAACACCTGCAAACGCGGGTGAATTTTAGATGTGGTGGGTAGCACAGACACACCTACTAGCTGCTTCTGAGGATTAGATTCTATTGACTTTTTAAATTTTGTTTTCTCAAATATCATTGGACTCTATAGTTATTAATATTAGACATAATTGTCTAAGGATGGATAGGGGAGGGCAATCTCTGGCAACCTCCTATTTTAAGGACGAACCTCCTGAGCCACCATCACCCACATGGAAATATGCAGTTACTATCAGCTGTAGCCAATAAATAAGGAGAAATGGTGAAAGCAGTTCAAAACCTCACCTTTAACAAAAAGATTTCCAGAGCTGCTTGCTACTCCAAACTGGTTTCTGGCTACACATGTATAGATCCCAGCATCCATTTTGGTCACATTAGAAAGCCGCAGGCTTCCGTTATCCAGCACCATCATTCTGTAGGGAGATCAAAAGACACAATATTATCTTTATACTTAAAGTTTAATGTGAAATAGGAAGTTCAAAGTCTAAAAACTGACAAAGTGCTGCACTTAGTTTTTATTAGGTTATGTGTTAGTTTGATGTAAGCAGAAGCTCTGTGTGAAGTGTTATAGTTTGATCTGTCACTACCGAGTGGATTAGAGAACTGAAAGAGAATATATTTTAATGGGCAAAAGTCACATTTTGATTTAATGTCAAAGCTGATGGGAACCAACTGTGTATTTCATAAGTAATGAAATGTTGCTTCAAGACACCAAAATATAAAACAAGTCACATCTAGTTTTCAATTTAGTCTTCTGAATCACAAAATATTAAGTTTTTTGTCTTACTTCTTTTTTATAGTCCCTTTAGGTGATAGAGGGTAAGTTGAAATGATACAACCCTAAAAACTGATGTTAACTCAGTTTTTGTGTGTTTTTGTGAATGCTTTAAAATGACTTTCAGCAACAAACAAATATTGACAATTTCAGTAAGCATAGGTTCAGTGGAGGAATGCAGTTATAGCATTCATCTTACTGCGCTTTCATTTGTTTAGTTGTTTCTGTCAAGGATAAATTAACAGAAAGGAAACACTTAAGGAGGTTAGGATCCTTCCACAATAAAGAAAGCTAAATGTTTTTTAGAATTGAAATATTTCACAGAGGTGCAGCTCATTGAATTATCATTTATAATGGTCGATTTAGAAAAAAACCTTCTGTTGATCCTTGTAAAAAAAAAAGAATAACAAAATGTTACAGCTTACATTAGTGTAGACAGTAGCTCAAAATGCATTCAATCATAACCTGCTTTTAAAAGAAAGTGAATCATTTCTCTAATTTAGTGTGGTTAAAAATTATTGCATTTTATTACCTTCAGTTCACCTTTGAAGCTTTTGTGCTCTCAGTTATCGGCACATTCCAGCTGGAACATAGTTTCCTTGATCTTTTTCTTTTGAACTTCATAATTACCAGAGGCAATCCATCAAATCCTTAATGTATTAAATCCTTTAAAAAGACAGTATAACCGCCCTAGTTGGTTCTTCCCTTTCTTTCTAGGGAAGGATACTTTTGAAATATAAAGGGTTAAATGATAACTAGTTGAGTCTTAATAGTTAGAGTATTTCATTAATTTCCATAGCCAGTATAAATCAATTTGACTCATCAAAGTAATTCCTAATATTGATATCCTTAATACTTTATATACTTTAATAATTTATTGAATCCCTGATATAGAACATTTATCTTTATTTAATTCAGACCAATGAAAAATAACAATATTTGTACTATCAAGTACTATTGACTATTATAATACTCTTTGACACACCCAGATAATGAATGCTCTAAATTCAAGAACGTTCTTCACAGCTAGTATTAACTTTTCCATGTTTAATGGATTACTGGGCTATTGCATAGTTAAGATTCACAGTAGTAGAGATAAGGCAGCTCTATGAAAAATAGTTTATTATTCTAAGGTATAATATGATATGATGAAGTAAACTTGTTTTCTTTTTCCTGTAATATTTTCTGTTAGTAGTTTAAAACCAGTTGGAAAACGGCACAAATGTTGAAAGTTCAGTTGCATTTTTGCAGTGTAATAATACCAATTATACATGTCGCAGCTGCCTTGATTTAATTGGCAAACTGAACAAACATGGCTTAGCAAAGACAGATCCTGCTCAGGATGTCCTAATAGAGGTATTTATGAATAAAAGGTATCAGGAGTCCTTGAATAGGCTTGGCAAACCATATTTCAGTTTGTGCAGACTGTTGAATTACACAATATGTCATGTTCTGTTAGGAAAACTTTATTTATTTATTGCTAAAATGTTCACAGTAAAACAGAGACTGTCACTGCAGAAGCCGTCTGTAATATGTGAAGTGCTTAGTGCAAAAAAATGTTAGTACTGTAAAAAAAAAGTCTAATTTTTTTCAAAACAAAGAATTTATTTTATCAAGAGGAAAGGGAAGCTTTTCTGCATCTTTATATGCAAGCAATTAACTAAAAGCACATTTAAATATATAATGAGCTGTATTATCAACAAGTCATATCTACACTGAACATTAGAACATTACTAAAATCTACAGTTGCCAGAAAAGGAGACTGCTCTATCTGAAACAGGTGGTGTTATATTTACAATATCAGTAATGCAGCGTGATATTTTACTGAACTATAATCCAATAACATTTTTACGCTTAGATATAGCATTTTATTCACTGTGTTAAGCTTGATAACTAGGACTTCTTATTGGATGATGCTAATTTATAAATTATCTTTATGGTACGGGCCAAAGCATTCCTTATCGGTAGCTCCTGTACTAATATGAGCAAATGACAATGCTGTGTTATTCAGCTATCCTGTGTTATTCAGCTATCCATGTTTAAGCTCTTACTTAAACATGGATAGCTAGTTTATAAAACAATAATTGTTTTACCTTTTAACACAGCTTGCACATCCAGTAAAAATAAAAATTGGATTTCAGTCAGGAAAATTGACTAATAAATGCACTTTCCAATGTCCGATGGTATTACTAAACTAACTTTGTGCCGTTTCTCTGTTCACAAGGGCGCAAATACGGACTCATGTCCTTGCCAAGTATGTTCTTGAGAAAAACACAGGAAAGTATAGATTTGGAGAGAATGGGTCATTGGAACAGAAGCGTACTCGTGACGTCACCACATGCTCGGCTCGTCTGGAGCTGTATTTCACCTCCTGTTATTAACAGTCTCTATATAATAATAAATTCTTACTTTTTCATTTAGTGGGGGAATCATAATTAAAACATTCAAATAAACACAATCATATTAACATTTTGCCAAATAAAACAAAGAGCATACTAGGGCTGGGCGATATAGAAAAAAAGCTTATCGATAAAAAAAAATACATATTGATCGATATCGATAATTATTGAAAAGATTTGAAACCATATTTTATGTGCAGCTCTGCCTGGACTTTTTATAATATTGCAAAATGATTTAATTTTAATAAAAAACACAAACACAGACTTCGAATTAAATCTTTATTTAACCAACTTTTTTAACCATAACAGAATTGTTTTAAAGAGAAATATCTTAAGAGACCTGAGTTATGATATTAAATACTGACAAAGAATAAACTAAAGTGACCAGAAAAGTGACCAAAATAAATATAACAAATAAATAAATGCCCCCCACCGCCGCCCCCGTTTCCTGCTTTAACCTGAGTTATTACTTTGAAGTTGCTGGCCCCTTAGCATTTTTATCTCAATTGTTAGAACTACGTGGGAAACTGCCCAGAACTCAAAATATATATATATTTTCCCGAAGATTCCTCGGGAGGAGAGCCGCGTCGGGGCCTACACAGCTCGTACTCCTGCGGGTGTGAGCGGCTGAGATGATAAAAAAAAAAGAAAAGTTGGTTGTGTTATCAGACTTGGTTTTCACTGGTTCCCGACACATTTTCCAGATGACTGTGGTTTGTTTTTGGTCCGACTTGCCATGACCGAAATACTGCCAGACTGCCGAACTACAAAAACCGTTCTTTGAAACAATTTCCTCCGCCTCTCCTTGATGCATCTTCATGTCCTCTGTGTTGTGGTTTGAGAGGGCGGCGCTTGGTGACGGCATGCCTGGGTCTGCGATTGTGATTGGTTGGGAGGAAGCAGTGACTAGCATAAACCTACATGCTAGGCTACAATGAGAAGGAAGGAAAACTGCGTTTCTTTTTTATCGAACTTTTATCGACCCTCTTTTTTTCTATTGCGCCACACGTCTATCGATCGATATATATCGTTATTGAATTATCGCCCAGCCCTAGAGCATACATCAGCAGTATTTCAAACACTGCTATGCCAAGAGAGCTCCGCTGGTTGCTGGGGTCCTCTCACATTCGGAACTCTTTTTAAATGGACCATATAATGATGCTTCAAAGTATAATGTTCTTGCCTAAAATGATCTTTTAACATAATTCTATAGAAAAACGGCATCAGAAAAGGGAACTTTTAACGTAATAGCTTTGTGAGCGCTCCCCTAGATGCTGTCATTCTTATAAACGGACAAGTCTGCTTTGATAAATACTCAGTAAAGAGGGAGAGGCGAGCACAACAACCGGGGACTTTGTTCGTTCTCGGTCTTGAGTTCTTGTGAACTGGAATAGTACTAGGGCTGAGGCTGATGATGTTTTTTGAGTACACAAGCAAATGACAACGCACAAGCACACATATTGAGAAGCGGCCTACATGTTTGATATGCATTAATTTTGACTCTTTCAATATAAAACTATAAACATCTTTTAGCAGATCGTAATGACTAAGAGCTACAACAGTTTCTTGAGTGTATTACTCCTTTGGTGATGCTAGAAAAGCTCTTCTGAATTCTACCATATTTTTGTTTACCACTGTCACCTACAATTGCAGTTTTTTATTTCAACAATTTTGCTTGAAATTCTTAAAATATGTTACTAGAGATTTTATTACAAAATGTTCCATTAGTAGTTTAATTTAATAAAAAGTTGTGTCTAACATTCTAATAGAGAAGTCCCATCATGAGACTTTTGAGAGTCAAAAAAATCTAATTTTATATTTGATGACAAGAGAAGCCAGGAAATATAACAAAAACTAGGTGCAATATTTTCAATACTGTGAAACAGAGAACTCTTGGATTAATGTTTGCATGGTAATTGAAAACAACTACAACAATGGCCTGACAACAGATGGAAAAGATGCAACTGCCTAGCCAATGAAAGGCGTAAAAACATTGAGGTAGATTCAAGGCAGGAGTGTGAAGTTGCTTAATAAAGCAAGGATTATGCCCTGCAGCTTCACCAAAGCAAGTCAAAGTTGCATCTATTAATCCAGTTATAAAAGTTACTCGCAATGGCAATGTAAAGAATCACAGTGTTAATAGAGAGTCCCACAGTAATCTAATAATTAATACAAATGTGTGAAATCCAATAAAGGTACATACTTCCTGATGTGAAACAGCTGTTCTACTAAGGTTCTAATTTATATATATATATATATATATATATATATATATATATATATATATATATATATATATATATAAATTAGAACCTTATACGAACCTTATTAGAACAGCTGTTTCACATCAGGAAGTTTGTTTTTGTTTTCATAACCCTTCATAAATATATATATATATATATATATATATATATATATATATATATATATATATATATATATATATATATATATATATATATATATATATATATATATCATATATATACATATATATATATATATATATATATATATATATATATATATATATATATATATGTTTGTGTTTTCTCCTGTTGTTCTGCTATGGAGTGAAACATAATCAGGGTTAATTTGCTAACAGCTCATAATTGAGATCAAGAAAGTTTTGTAAGACACGAGTTAAAGTCATGCAAACACTAGGCCAGTAGGCTTCCGCCTATCGTCCTACATATTTCAGATATGTCTCTACTCCAACATGTTTGAAATCAATGCATTACCTCCTAAGCAAGCATCAAGTGCTAAAGAAGTGGAGGAAAAACCTAGAATATATTGGAAAGTGGGTCGTGAGGAGCAGGGTTGTAGACTGAGAAACCAAAGGAAAAGCATGAAAATCTTTTTTTAAATCGTTATTATTATTTACAGCTTGTTTTATCTTGATACCAGTAATAAGCTAAAAAAAACTTATATAGTCTTTAAAATGAAAGCAATCGCCCAGTTTTAATTTTCTTCCAACTTAAAAACAAAATCTTTAGTAGGAACTCTGCTCTCAATGTTTAAACATTACATTATAATGGGGTTGAACCCCTTTTCAAAAATAACTGGTTAAAAGAGCTTCAGCTCAATCTTTTCTCAGAAATCCCTTTAAGCTATCATAAGACGTTTTTCAAATGATCAGGAATTACCTGTATTACTTTAAAGGATAAAGAGTTTGAGAACATTAGTCTTTCCAACACTGCCTTGTCCCTGTGGAGCCGGACATATATTCTCCTAAAAGAACTGAGGGCTTTTTTTGTAATGGGCTATAACAAAGAGTTATGGATATGAGATGTCAGCGAGATAAGACTTGCCACTGAACTGTGCAAACGGCAATGGCAGGCTTTGTCCTCACCAAAGATATGAAGACACATAGAGAGAGGGAGATGTAAAGAGAACTATCTGTCAGGAATATCTTCACTAATTCGTTTTTCTCAAAAGCTGCTTTAAACTAATTAAGGCCTTTGTGAAATGTGAGGGGTGCATACGTAATAGCCAGAGTGGCATGACATAATAAACAAGCACTTTACCTTAGCCCTTTTCTGGTCCGGCATTAAAATTGAGCTACTGCCTGGAATCTAAAATCTCTCTGCGGTGTTACAAATACCAAGAGCCTGTAAATGAAAACATTATTTTAACCACTTTAGAGGGTTTGTGTAATTTAGTCGGTAGATTACAATTTTCTAAAGTGCTACTTAAATGCTTCACTTAAACTGCTGATTCTCTTTCTAGCAGCACAACTGGAAAATGTTCACCTCACAGTAGGATTATAAATTGATTCATAGTATGGAAAAAAACAAACAAAAACAAAGCAAATTTAATAAAAAAAATGACTTATTGCTTGGGACTACAGTCTTAAACGCAGTGGTTTCATCCGGGTAATATTCCAGAGGGCTATTCCTTATATCTGTTTCCCGATTGCTGGCAGTGGTCAGCATTGAAATTTAATTAGGGTAAGCACTTTACCACTAACCTCATCACTTCCTGTATAATGTAAGTGCCCAGCATTCCTATTATAGGACAATCTGGTTATATGTTCATTGGATATGAGCTGACTTAAGTATAGCCCCAGCATGATTTTATTAACTAATCGGATACTGCATTGTTCTTAGATGATTTGTTTTCTTTTATCTCGGATGCTTGAACACATTATCCCTAGAAGATTAGAAAGAATTAGGGGTACTTTAGCTGAGCCAGTAGAATGGATCCGCACCGTGCCACCTCTGTAATGGTGCAGGAAACTGCCTCGTTTCCATGTGGAGAAAGTAAATGCTAACAAGCCAGGAACAGGCAGGGGAAAGAAGTTGCAATAATATGAAAACCTTACATCCTGCATGCAGCTAACCCACTTCAGGGCAAGGGTGGGATATTAAATCTCATATGGGAAATCTTGCTTTTATGGGCATGACTAATATCGCACGCTGCAGCTTAGATGCATTTTCCTTCCAATACTTCAGAGGCGGATAAATCTGCAAGCTGGGCTACATATTTAGCAGACATTTGGAACATATAATCCTGCAGCTGATTCTACTGATAACCTGCACATAAAACATATTTTGTCCTCTTTGGTATTAATAAAAAAAGCTTCCCAAACATCTTGTTTGCCAGGTGGAGGTGAGAGATGACTAAACCTGTAGCACCCCGCTGTTCTGGAAGATGGATATACCAGAGGTTAGACGTTGCAAAGCTGCTGAGCCTGTTGAACAATTAATCCTGTATCAAATGAGAAATATGCACCCCCGCCAGTTCCCTGCATGTGCCAGCTGGTGTGCTTTGCCTCTCCCTGGTTTATTTCTGCTAAAAATAAGGATGTTGTCAAACATAATATGAGTCATTTGCATAGACAAAAGAAACTAGAGCAACAATTAATGTGCTGCCGCACTTCAGGATGATTCTGTTTTTACAAGTTTAATCTGGTTGAAGTTTAAAATCTTGTTAGAAGCATGAGAAAATGTTTCATATTGTGAAAGATTTCCATTAAAAAAATACAAAGTCCTACTTTCTTCTTGTTTAATGCTTATATATTTGAACAAGACAATTAAGTTCAGGTCAGACAACTGTAAATCATACAAGGTTCTGTCTGGCATTTGAAAATAAATCACTGTTTATTAAAAATGCAGAAATAAAATGTTTCCCAGTTTTGATCATCATCATAATATTGTTGCTTATTAGTGTTGAAGCTTTATTAGGAAACAGTATCCAAGAAAGCAGTTTAAAAAATATCTATCTTTTTTCACATCCTTCTAATATTTTATTTGCTGCTGATGCAAGCAGAGGGAATATAAAAAAGAAAGCAATGAAAATCATATTTAAAGTTTTTTTTTCTTTACTTAATCAAGTGCTGTGGAAAGATTTTGCTCTACACCAGATTCCTTCTGTGCCTACTTATTTTTTAACACAATTTCTCTTAAACAATGAAAATATTGATTAACTAGTGTTGAAATCATGCTTTTACTTATAAATAGAAAAAGCTATAACAACTAAGCATAGACCTCCGGCAAAACATTTTCATTCTTTTAATAATTAAAAGGTTGACTGGAAAGCATCCAGTTGTCGTCTTGTAATATATATATATATATATATATATATATATATATATATATATATATATATATATATATATATATATATATAGATATATATAGATATATATATATATATATATATATATATATATATATATATATATATATATATATATATATATATATATATATATAAAAGCACATTTATTTAAAAAAAAAAACTACTAATTGGTGCACAGTTTTTGTATAAAACATATTTTTATAACCAATAAGTTAATCTATATGTGTTATCCCACATGGCATTCATTTAACGATATAGAAATTTGGGCCTAAAGACTGATAATAAAGGAGACATGTAAAGGAAACAGATACACAACGCTAATTATTGCCAACTGATCCATTCTTATAATCAATTATTTTGCATAAATCAAGAATAGTTGCAACACACTTTATCAAAATGCTCTTAATGTTTATAAATGACGGATGCATACATCTGTATACATTGATCTTGATATAGGTGTTTTCGTTTGATCACATCCCAATTTTGACCAAATGTCCCCCTTAATTCCCTAAGCTGCACATCATACAAAGTCTTTCATTTTATCAAGCACTCTTTTTAAAAATGAAACCTTCTTAATTGCAATAAGAGCATAAATATTTTAAAATTAGATCAGTTACTGATAGCATATCTTTACTTTAGACAGTTTTATGGTTTTGTACAGAGTTGTTCTTCCCTGCCTGATTAACATTTGCTTTTCTATATCCTCTCAGCTCACGAAGGCTCTGTATTGATCTTTCCTTTACCTGATTTCTAATGAAACAAGGTGTCCGGCTCATTCCCCCGGTGTCCCCACCGCTATCATAAAGGATAGTTAGCACAGCAGCAACCAATTGATCACTCCTTTTGGCCATTTGATCCCCTTCTTTCACGTCTTTCTGGTGGTCTGCATCACCAGTAACTTTAATGACCGTCTGAGACTTACATTCTGCTAATGAGCAGATGGATCGGCACATCGATCTGAATGCTGCAGTCCAGAAATGCCCAATTACCTTAAACAAACATTGCAGGGACCAGCCAGAGAAGCAAAGTACAATTGAGCTCATGGAAGAAATGTAGATAGCAGGGAACCTGAAGAGCAGAACCTGTTATGCAATGCAAATTATATTGTGTCACACTGTGAATCTGCTCTTCACAGTTTGTCAGCATGAATTTAAAGTAGCGCAAAAAACAAAGGCTTTGAAATTCTGCACTGCAAGTACAACAGAAAAACTGAGCCAGCAGCTGCATAGAAAGTAACCTGGTACCTGTGGCTCTCGCGCAGGGCTTCCTTCCCCTTCCTCCACGAGATCACACCACGAGGAGACATCCTGGGCTTGCATTCGATGAGAACGTCGCCACCCTGTCGGGCTAAGGTTTGGGCCTTCAACGGGTTTTGGGAGAAGTCAGGAGCAATGGCTACAAGGAGGGAAGTCATTGAGAGGAAGGTTAAATTCATTGATCAAAGTAAAATAGAAAGAGAGGAAATGGAAGCAGAGTGATTAAAGAACAGAGATAAAGAGACATGAAGGTTGCTGCATCAATTAGGCAGGTCAGCACTCACTACTGCTCTATGTGAGCATATATGTTCTTGTTGGTACACTTTTAGAGACATAAATGGAGCATAGTGCATCATTTTCAAAGGGTGCATTTATTTGTATCTTACTGGACTGCTGATTCTTTAGATGGACATCATGCATTAAGATTTAAGCCTGAGGGCTGTAACGGCAAAATGAAAGAATGCAAAGACAAGGATGAGGTTTTGTTGCTGTTTCATCAGACCCTTAATTACTAATGCACCATCGTCTGAAGCAGTTTTAGACGTGCATCGACTCAGCAAAAAGCTCTTCAAAGTGAACACACAGCATGGCATCAAGGACAGGGTGCACATGCTGCATCCAATTGACAATAAACACGGAAAACTAGGGAATATTTTTTTTTTTTCATCAAACTTGTAGTACTTTTGTAAGTCATGTAGGGATTAAAAAAATAATAATGATTCATCTAAAGAAAAACATAAAGTAATAAAGCACAGAACTGTGGGAGTGAAATATTCAAGGTTTTAAAAATAGTTTTTGAATAACCTTATAAAGATGTAATTTTTTCAAAACAAATAAAAAAAATACTGTTGCTTAATGTTTAAAGATAGATTATTTGAAACAAGAAGGTTGACTTGCCTATCAGAAAAATGTTTTTTAATTCACTTAAAGCCGTATTATTAATGTCTGAAGTGGCTCTTACAGGCGTCTAATACTTTACGAAAGCCTTGATGTCAAACTGTCACAGCTAAGTGCTTAGACTGCATCAACAAAGATAGAAGGGGATTTTTATGCAGCAGTTGGAAAAAATCCTCCTCTGATGAAATATTTCAAATGCCACTTGCCTGGGGAATATCTGCACAACAATAAAGACTGATATGTTTCACTTTCCTTACTGAGGTCGACATACTATCTTTGTACAAGCACCTGTTTTTTAGCCCATTTCTTAAATACTCTACAGACCTGAAGTTTGTCAAACGTTTCTACATTAATTAGGCCAGAGCAGTGAAAAACGCTGTAAAGGCCTATTGTATCTGTAGTGTTCATGATTTTTTTTCTCCTGAAAAATGAATTGCCTATTTGGAAGCATCAACACACTCAAAAACTCTCCAAACTTTACAGTTAATTTCCCCCGAACAGATATGTCTGTTTTTTAATGGAACTGAAAATAGGCGTGGCCAAATGGCTCTACAGCGCCACCAAATGAAATGGGCTTTGAATTTTGGTAGCCTACACATGCAGTCTCTTGGAGGTATGCTCTAAAACACAACATATGTTTGGCCACTGAAGGTTTTTTTTTGTTTGTTTTTCAACATTTGTTGATGCAATACTGTACGTGTCGTTTGGATATAGTTAACACCATTGAACTTCCATTGTTTCAGAGAGCAGCAGCCAACATTGTCTACAAGCTACTGTCTCTTATTTTGAAAACTTACCAGATCGCAAAGCTTGACTTTCTGTGTGGTTGATATGGTTTTAGGGATTGACACGTTTTGATGTAGCATCTGTCACAAATAGGCCAATTCATGCTTCTGATGCATAGCCTCTGCAACAGTCAAATCTGTCTCCTTGTGATTGGTCCTTGGTATGCCTCTCCTGCTGTCTGTGTGGTCGTCTTTCTCGATTTGGTGCCACGGCACGCCATTTTTAAAAACTGAGGAACAACTAAACAACAACTACGACAAAGCTTAATCCAGGAGGTTCAGAAGGACAAACCACTTGTACGATGCCTCAGACAAATTATATAAAGGTTTATTAATTGTTTTATTTTTCGGTGTAACAAAAAAGCATATACCGAGCCGAACCGAACCGAAAACCGTTACCACAAAACCATGAACCGAACCGAACCGTGGATTTTGTGAACCGTTCAACCCCTAATATATATATATTTATATATACACATATGGAAAACTTGTAATAAATGCTCTTACAAATCATATGTGGGTGTCCAGAGACACATTATGTGTGCTACCCTTTTGGGCGCGGTCTTACCAATGACTCTGAGCTCAGCGTTGGTGAATATGCGGCCATGTTTGTTCTCAGCCACACACTGGTACATTCCAACGTCGGCCAAATTCAACCTGCTGATCGTCAGCACGCCATTATTCACCTGAATTTTTTCCTGTTGAAAGTAAACACAAAAAATTCACAATAAGATGTATTGAAAAAGCTTTATTTATCACAATTTAATAAGCTGTAATACACAAAAAAGTGGGTTAAAACAACTGAGGGGTTTTTGCTGGATATTTACCTAATGTCATATTGAAGTTTGCTATACTGGGGGTATAATCTAGTGAGCATTCAAAAAAATTTTTTTTTTATGTATTCCTTATTTATTTTATGTAGTCTTTTGATGTCCGTAATATCTAAATCGGAAACGTATTGACGCATTATATTCAAAATTGATTTTGTCGATACTATGAAGTGACTGGCATCCAGCTCAACTCAGACTCCAATGGCAACTCCATAATGGCATACAGTAACGTTAAAAACAAGTATGAGTGTGGGAGATAGTGAGATGATCGTGAGATGAGATCGTGCTGAGTAGTGGTGCAAGTTCAGATTATCGGAGTATCATTAGAAAACTCTGCAATGCCTTTTTAAATACGTCTCTATTTCAACGGCTATATTGCTGGGATAAAGGTTTTAAATTATTGAGATCACTTCGACTTTTCAAAATCTTCAATGTAGCTACATTACTTCAATTAGTAGTTGTTTTTTTTTGGCATGGACTAATACAAAAGTTTTAGATAACTCTAAAGTGGAAAAAACACACACAAAAAATGAACAAAACAAGGTTTTAGAGGTTTTTGACACATCTGAATAAAATCCACTACAACCAATTATCCTCACAAGGCCAGATTTCTTAAAAAAAAAAATTAAAATTAAAAAAGAAAAAAACAATTAAGGAATAAACGTCAAGCTTCAAAGCAACTTAATGAAATTTAAGTCCTATGTTTTCTCTTTTTAAACCCTGTAGATGTTTTTTCCAAGAGGTATTTTTGTCAGGTTTTGTGCTGTGAGATAGTTTTACTAGGCAAGTATAAAACTGATTTATATTATCTGGACATTGAGTTTATGCTAAACTCAAAGTCCTTTCTTTCCTTTTGTAGCTTTTTATTTATCTATCACTTGCGGAATGTGTGATAGATAAATAAATAAATGCAGCATATGACATGTGAAAACACTTATGTTATAAGAAGTAATTTTATAAAGTCAAAAAAACAACAACACAATAGTAACACAAACTGCTATGAATTTGGTAATTAAGACTTTTAATGGGTATTTTATGTTCTTCGACTGAGGTACCTTCATTTGGATAAATGCACTGATTAAATTCTAGGCTTTTACCACCATTTCCTTTTCCTTTGGGATCTTGTTAATTGAGACATTGCTTTCTAATTTTCTGCAGTCCTAATGGGCCCACGGTGGCTGTACTGAACATAACCACCTTTTGCCTGACAGCAGAGACACATTATCAAACAAAGGATGGCATCAAATCTCAGAGGAATCAGTCAGAAAATAAACTGGGGTCCTGGAGGCTGTATGCATGCAAAAATGCAGACTCACAAAATATTGTTAATTTAAAAATAAATTAATAATTCTTTAAATGCACTTTTAGAGAATGCTTACTTATAGCACAAGCTGAACAAAGTCATCCTCTTCCCTGTGCTCCTCTGACCTTCAGAAGCTTTTGCACAGCTTTCTGCTTCCTTTTTATAGTTATGTCAATTTAACCGTGGCAGCACTCATTGTTCCTGCCCTTGATCTTTCCATTGAATGTACCTGGCTTTTTAATGTCACTGACAAAGTGGTCCAGAGGGTCCTGCCGCCAGTCTGTCTGTCTTCTTGAATCATTACAGCACTGCTACTTAAAAAGGCAAGGACTATCCCCGGACATCAGTCAGCGACACTGCTGAGGATCTTCAAATACATTTCCTGCGGAGACTAGCTCAAGCATACATCAGATGGACACTTTGGCTACACATGGTTGAGCTAGCATTGTAGGCTATGCCAGAGGGGATTATGGGTGGGAAAGGATGCAGCATTTCTCAAGTGGAACAGAACAAGACCTCCTCTTTTCTTTAGAGATAACTGGCTTTGTTTACTGAAGGGAAAAGTATGATAGAGGAAAAGGAAGTCATACAGATGCTCTCTATCAATCAGAATATTTTAAAATGTGAACTTATTTGACAAATTTTATTTAAAAGACGATCTATCATGCTGCTATACAGCCAAAAGTAGTATTCCCTGCAATGAATCAGATGAACTAGACTGACATTAAAGGTTTAAAACTATTTCAATTACCCTTCACAGCTTCGACTGTTCTAGGAAGGCTTTCCATAAGGTTTAGTCGAAGTATAATTTGTTTACCTCTTTCAACTTTTGCACATTTGTGATCTTAAGCACTGATGTTGCACAAAGAGACCTGGTTCTAATTAATGAGTTATTTCAGTTGCAGTTGAAGATTCAACTGGGGCTGCAACTAATGATTATTTTCCAAATCGATAAATCTGTTATTTTTTTGATGAATTATTATTAATCGAAAAAATTATAATCCGATTATTAATCAGCTCAGCCAATTATTGGATATTTGGCTAATCAGATATAGCCAAAGCTTCCTTAAAGAAGACTTTTACAAAATTAAACCAGGTGAAACAAAAACATTTCCACTTGGATTTTGAATAGAGCATATTGACGGATAAGGAATATAATTTTTAATCTTAAATGAATAAATGTTCAGATATTTTTTAACACTTTTGGTAGAAAAAATACTACTCTGAGTTGACTGCCCTGTCAGCTACAGCATGTTTTGGAGTCCTATACTCCAGTTAAGGAATAATCGATTACTAAATTAGTTGACGATTAATTCAATAATCAATTAATCATGATTAATCTAATTAATTGTTTCAGCCCTCGATTCACATTCAAAAAGTAAGAAGCATGACATTTTCCAAAATGACTCAGTATACTGAAGGATATAACATTATTTCTACAGACAACTCAGCAAGTAATTCCAAAAAATATAAGCTCCAGACACTTGGCAGTAGCCTAGCCTAGAAAGTGCTGAACCTCGAATAAAGCAATTAATACCCAGAAAATGAAGCATGGTTTGTTACTTAAGAGCCAAGAACAGGTCTCCAGTGTTTTAGAGTCCAGCGGCAGTGTGTTTTGCTCCCCTGCCCCTTAGGATTTGCTTGATGATGTAAGGCTGGAATACAGCTGCTCAGCCTTGGAAACCTATTCCATTAAACTCTGTACTTACTATTCGGGAGCTCATCTAAAGGCTACATGATGTTTGGAGCTCTGCTGACTCTGCAGACAGCTGGCAACTCCTTCACACTATACAGTTCAGCATAGGCTGACCCCCCCTTTTTAATTTGAAATTGCCAACCACTTTGTGGTTGAGTTGCTGCCATTCTAAGCTGCTTACATTTTGTTATAGTGCCACTTATAGTTTAAAATGGAATATCTAGTAGTAAAGATAAATCATAACTGGAGTTACTGGAAAGATTCCATGCTGCATTTATTACTGTTAATACAACAAAACAATCTATCAGCTAATCTGAGAAACCTCATGTCACATTCTCTGCATCAAACTGACCATATCAATGCATTGTTTTTTTTGTTTTTTTTTGCACCATGTTTTTTTTTTTCCATTGTTTACATTTGATCACTGCTGCACTTTAATAAATGTAAATGTAAATGTCTGTGCATACAAAATGATGTATGAAGTCTGTGGCCAGAAGGTAATGGGAGAACATATATTGAGTGATTTGGATGTCTGAAAAAACATTTCAGACAACATATAGGCAAAGTGCCTATCTATCTTTAAATATCAAAATCTTCTTTTTTAAAATCCCACTCATCATCTCCTGCTTATTCCATCAGGATTGCGGTGCTGCATGTGCCTATCTCTGGCAGTCTATTAGTGGGAGGCGGGGGTAAAGCCTCGACAAGTCGCCAGTCTGTCACAGGCAAACACATATAACGATGCACACACACAGTTACAACTAGAGACAATTTAGAGAAACCAATTAAACTAACAGTCATGTTTTTGACTGTGGGAGAAAGATGGAGTACCCACAGAGAACCCACACATGCACAGGGAGAATATGCAAAGTCCATGCAGAAAGACCCCGGGTTCGGGAATCAAACCCAGATCCTTCTTGCTGCAATGCAGCAGCATTACAAACAGCGCAACTGTACAGCCCCCTTTATAAATTGATTTACAATAGAAATGGACATCTTGATCATATTCTAATTATTAAAATGCACCTTTACTGGGTCTAAATAGATGATGGATTGTGCTGTTTAAGACATCAGGCCAACAAAGACATAAACAGTATTTGTGGATATTTGTGTTTTGGTGCCACATTTCCAACATTTTCAACTTTATACCCAGAACAAAAAATGCCTGAGAGTCAGTGCTGGCAAAATTAACAGTAAAGCCGATTAGAGTCATTTGTCTTCTTTATCACTACCTTTAATTATGAACAATCACACTGAGATACCAGCACAATGTCAAGCTATGATGTGTGAAATCATTGACACTGCTTTCCATGATGAATATGTAATGATGTTTTTGTTGCAGCTGAAACAATTCAACATAATGACAACAGCTACATAGCAGAGGGCAACCAGAGAAGCTTGGAGGTCGGACAAAGGAAAATCGCACACTCTCGTGTACATAACTAAAGAGGGGGTAGCTGATGGCATATCGGATAAATACAAGCTTGAGTGGGTCCTTGTTTTCCGGGGTGACATTTTGAAGTGACAGCCCTCTTCTGTGCCATTTAATTCCCATGGAGGAAGGAGAAAAGAAGGTGGAGAGAGTGAGAGAATAAGAACTTAAAAAGGACCAAAGAAAGAAAAAGGGAGCAACAGAGATGGTTAGATAACAGTGGGGAGGGGAAAGAAAGAGAACTGATCCATTCTAATGAGGAATAACAAATGGCCCCCTTGGCCTCCCCCTATTCGTCCTCCTCTCTCTACAATGCTGACCTTTGGGTTTGGAAATTGATTTACCGTTGCTGCAGTTGAGAGTGGCATTTTGAAAATGGTAACACCCCACCTCATTAATATAGCCGCATGCAGAGAATATCTTACCTCGGCCACCTGCCAAAGAAATCTTTCTTGCAAAGTTATTTACAAATCAATATTAGATATGAGCAAGTGGGGCGATAAGTGTTTCAAGATTAACCCCACAAAGGAAATGCATTTTTAAAATGACAAAGTAATTGTAGTCACTCATGGCTATCTTCCATTTAAAATTTAAAATAGAGTACTGATGGTAAGACATAATATGTACCCTTTAAACATACCAACTGAACAACACTTCAATTTTCAGCCTCATAAACTGTTTCAAAGGACGAATCAGTGAACACAACTGAGACATTGTTTTTAAAGCCTAGAACAGCAACACAATGGCAACACAAAACAAGGCAAATTGCCTAAATCCAAAATGCTCTTTGGATGATGAGGTATTTTACAGCCTCCCCCAGAGAGAAGACTTAATGATAAAATTGAGATTAGCAGATAAGCAACCGAGGACTACATTTTCAAACAAAATCCCTGCTTGATTACAGACAGAAAATGGCACCACTTTGGCATTTTTGCAAAACACATTCAAACACCCTCCACTGCTTATGCACACATGCACTTTTGATGCCAAATTTAGTCGGTAGCAAATACAAGCGTTTCAAAGTGGCATGGTTTTGCCAAGTGAAGGCCTATGAGATGGAAGCATAACTTAAATCCTGCAAATTTTGGATCCTTTGAGGAAAATAGTCCTATATTCAGATAAATCTTATAATTTTTCATCTTGTTTGTTGACAAATCTTTATATCAATTACTGAACCGTTTGAGGCTCTGATAAGAGCAGCCCTAATCTTAAAAGAAGAAGGCTTCTGTACCACTTCAACTAGCATGCAGGCATCATTCAATTACTCAGTAAAAGCATATCAAACCCTCTTATTCTTAATTGTTCTCATCAACAGGTTGATAAAATGGCTGGTTACTGAGCATTTCCTAAATATATCTTAATTGGTTGTGAGAAAATTATTATATAACAGGAGCTTTTACTTGGCATAGAAATGGTGACTTGTGGCTCATTGGAATAATCAGTCCTAGTAATGCTGATGGTTTTTTCAAGCCTTCCCCTTTACCAGTTGCTGATGTGGTGCTTGGCAAGGCACATAAGCTGCTGCTCCAGCAAATACACCATAGATGGTGGCTAACGCCATCACTCTTACTTCGCCATCTGTTAATTAAGTCAAGGAATTTAATTTAAAATGGTTTATGGCTTGAGTTTGTGAAACAATGGTCTGTATATTCTGGTAAATGTGTAATTAACAAAAATGTTTCAAAATACATGATATGAAATATGAGGAAAATAATTACATTTGATAAAACTTTTTTTTCTCCATACTTCAAATAATAAAACTGAAATAATCTGGATCAGAGAAACAAAGAGATTGAAGAGTATTTCAGTTTTTCTAAAATCAGACACCTAATTTTGAAACCTTTATATATATAGATATATATATTGACTCTTTCTGATGTCACAGGACAGTTTATGCAGGTAATGTAACTAATTTTAGTTTAAATTGTAATATTATCTCAACTTTCATATTTTACCCTCAGGTGTCCTTTATTGGTAATGGGAACCCTTTTGCATCTTACTTTAAATCCTGGATATAGAGTAAATGATCTTATGTATTCATTAATGTTTTGTATTGACTGATTGACCTGGAAGTTATTTTGAAGCCTTTATAGCAAAAAAGAAACACTACCTCCATGTGATCGAGGGGATCTCCGTTTTTCAGCCAGCGGTACGAAGGTTTGGGCTTAGCGTTGGCTTTGCATTCCCACTCAAGAGTGTCATCGATGGTCTTCTGAACATCCTGAGGCTTCTCAGTCAACTGAGGTGGAGCTGTTAGGGCACAAATATGTCACTGTCAGCAATGATGCAGATTTAAAACAAATCAGTTAAGCAACCCAGAGGGGAATTAATCCATAAAGGGAACAACTAAGGGCACAAATCCGGAATCCACTTCTAATGAACTTGGAAAACACATAAATAAATATTAAGTAAAGCTAAATAAAATTATTTTTGAAGAACGTCATGACGAATGGTTAGGCCAAAGGGAAGCTTTGGGTTTGGTTCATGATCTTGATCAATATATCTTTGCACAGTAAAAAATAAATACATTAATAAACTAGAAAAGCACTTGGAGAGTGAAGCAAGTGATGCACCATATTTTGACTTACACCAATAGCTAAAACTGGCACATGATCTGGATCATACCAAATTTTATGGAATTATTCTTCAAGGCAATTACATTGTTAAAAACAGGTTATATACAACTATAATGATGTAAAATGTATCTTGTTGACAAGAGTTTCTCTTTTTAATAATGGTGTTGTTGCATAAATCAGTATACGTAAGTGTGTTTTATAAGAACACTTGTTTGTTGGTGATTTATTCTCCTCCAAATTCCTAAAATGTCTTAATAGCATTAAAAGTATACAATGCTTTCCAGGAAATAATTAAAGAATTTATACTTTAAAGAAAAAACTTCACAAGTCACACATTATAAAAAATAAAATTAACAAAATATATCATATATTATTTAAACATGCTCATGGAAATTAAATACACTAATTCACATCCAGAAAACATTTCCAGTTAGAAAACAGATGAGTAAAAGAGGGAACAGCAAGTAAGTGGTTCCAAATGGGGAAAATTTAAAAGTATTACTGAAGGTTAATAGTTTAGTTGATTAGAAGGTACTGCAATTTAACCAATGTAACAGGGTTCTTAGGAAACATTAAACTTTAGGGTGGTTGGCTTGGGACAAAAATAAAGAGGCTGTCGAATGTTTGGTTGCTACAGACCAACATCCATGTATTTATCTTCCAATTCTGTCTTAGAATTGATCGATATCCCACAAGGTCCCGTCAGCATGACGTTAAAACAAGATTACAGATTTCTATCACCTGCCTACGAGTCAGGCTCTGAGGTTGTGAAATAGGACAAGAGTAATATCTCACAAGGACATGCAGGGCTTCAACACAGTACTGGCTGAAAAATTTTTCTAAATTTTAATTTTTTTTAGAAAGGGACATTGTACTTTTATTTTATGTAGAATTTAATATTTTTTCTCTAAAACCCTAAAAGAAAATAAAAAAATTTTTTCTTAATAAAAAAGCACTCTGCTTCTAAATAGAAATGGTTTATACATTTTTTATCCTCCTTCTTTATGTGTGTTTGAGCCAAAAATTAAAATAACAAAAAGTTATTCAAAATACATTTAAACCATATTAGTCTATGTAATTTTGGTGCATCAGCAATTGTTTCTTGTTTGTTTCAGATAAAGCAATTTCATGTGAACCACTAGTTTGTCCACATTTTTGTTCACATATATAATTCTATAGTTACTGAAAATAGACTGAGGCGATAAAGCGTTGATGACTTGCATGAAAGTAGCTTGATGCGCTGCACTGGTGCTTTTTACCTGCTGTCTTTGCCTCTATGGGAGAACAGTGGCCTGAACTGAAGGCATCCTTGTTTTATTGCCTTGTATATAAACAGCATCATGATATAACATCTTTGAAAGCTTATCAAAATGTTCTCATACCTCGGAACCTCCAATACTGCGAGGAGGAATTAAAACAATGGATATTTTTTACCAGCTTATCACGATCAACATCTTGAGCCCCTGTCACACCATGACGATTTAGACCAGCGTATGCCTGACATACGAAAAATCAAACAAAAAAGCTGGCATACATTGGGTAAGTTATAGGTACTTTATGTATAAGTTATGAGCACACTGAAAAACGCTGAAACACACTGAAAAAATCTAAACAATTGTGTTAAAGTAACTAAATATGATTAAGTAAATGCCAAAGGGTGTTGCATTATTTTTTTCAGCGTAGAGCTTGCTAAATATGAATTGTCCAACAAGATCAGGGGTCTTATTTACAAGGCTGAAGTTCACATGCAATATGCAAAAGTTGTGCTTTTTAAAACAAACTTGGTGGAAAAATGTGTGCTACAGGCATTTTGGAGAAATGTAGTGGCACAGATGGTGTTTGAGGGGAACTGAAGCCAGATTGCATTTCTCTCAGACTTTTATTGTCACTTTATATGAAACTTTAATTGTAGATCGACTTTAATGGATCCCCAAACCGCAGTGTGATAAATGCCATCACTGCTGAGCCGACCCGTCACAAATGAAACAAGATTCATAAGCATTAAATTCACAATTCTAACTCCACACACATTTAAATGTTTCCACAACTTTGCATTCATTTCTCCAAAGATCAAGAGGGTGAGACATTCCCAAGATCAAGGTATTTATGTAACAAGGTATGAGGAATTCACAGAAAATGCTGTAAAAATGTATTACTGGACAAACAGAGGAATTAACTATGATGTAAACTTTGGAAATGAGATATTTAGGAGGGTATGCATTTTGTTTCCTGACCCAGGATGATGACTGTTTATTAATTGATGACTCCAAAGAGCAATGCTCATGGATCTATGTGCTGAATTTAGTCCAGTCCAATTGGAGAGACCAACCTTCCTGACCAACCTTCCTCTAGAATTCCCTTTTTTTATCTGCGAAATATTGAAAAAATTGGAAAGGTCCTGTCCAGGGGTGATGCTGATAAACTAGTCCATGCATTTGTTACTTCAAGGCTGGACTTCTGTAATTCTTTACTAACAGGAAGTCTACCAACTGTAGTTAAAAAGCCTTCAGCTGATCCAAGATGCTACAGCCAGAGTTCTGATGAAAAATAAAAAGAGAAATCATTTATCTCCCATCCTGGCATCTCTTCATTGGCTTCCTGTTAAATCCAGAATAGAATTTAAAATCTTCCTTCTCATGTATAAAGCCTTAAACGGCTAAGCTCCATCTTATATCAGAGATATTATTGTTCCTTATATTTCTAACAGAGCACTTTGCCCTTAATCTGCAGGTTTACAAGCGGTTCCTAGAATTTCTAAGAGTAGAATGGAGGCAGATCTGTCATGATCTTGGCGCTGATGGTTTGGTTTTTTCCTTTGCTCATTGCTCCCCTGTCTAATTGGTCCAACGGCTGATTAACGCCAATCATATCCACCTGGCTCCTCTGTTATTTATATTGTGTGTTTGCCTTCCATCAGCGCCAGGTTATTTGAGTGTTTTGATGAGACTAACTCTAGCATTCTTTAGTCTGTTTTGTTTTCCTGATCTGTTTTTGACTGATTCCTAGATTCTCTCGGCTTCTGAACCTGGACCTGCCTTCTGACCCCGGCTTTGGATTTCCCCTTTGGACTCGGTTGCTGTTCAGCATCGGCTGGCACCTGCTCCACTCGCTCTCCAGGAATTCTGGAGGCGACGCCCGCCGCAAGCTGTGGTCTAACTTCCCATCTGGATTCAGCCGTGTTCTCTGTGAATGGACTGAGATTTGAATAAGGTCAGTGACTTTGCTCCAAGTCATTATCAGCCCAACAAATCCAGTCACTGACCTGTATTCTCCTATCTCTGTGGAGATCTACCCCGCGCTTTGTTTGTTTTAATAAACGCTTTGAACTTTCCCACTGCCTGTCTCGCCTCGAATTCTGGGTCCAACATCCTGAGTTCATTACAAGATCTTTTAGCTTTCAGGCTCCTCTCCTGTGGAACCGACTACCAGTTTTATTCTGCGAGGCAGACACCCTGTCTACTTTGAAGGTTAGGCTTAAAACTTTCCTTTTGGATAAAGCCTATAGTCAGAGTGGCTCAGGTTATCCAGAGATATATCTATAGTTATGCTGCTATAGGTTTAGACTGCTGGAGGACATAAGGACCCTTTTTCATAATTCTGCTTCATTCTATCTCTATTCTCCCATTCTGCAGAATGTCTTAGTTCAATCTCTAACGCTATGCTCTGTCTGCTTTTTCTCATCATAGTAAATTAATCTGGTCTGTTGCTGTTTGGCTGTGACACAATCTTGGAGAGTAATATAACACCTTTGTTTGTGGATGTTGGAACTTGGCCTGTTTTTCAGTGTAGTCTTGTTTTTCTGCCTCTGACTAACTGAATGGGCTCTCTTTTCTCCTCTGATGTAGGAGCTAGCTAGGAGCTCGCCAGCCTGGCTGTGTGTTTCCTGGACGGGGCCGTCTGTGGAGCTGGTTGACAGTTGCCGTCTAAAGTTGTCTAAAGTGTTGCTACAACCATGCTTGGTGTGAGCGATTGCCTACAAGTCAATTAGTCAATCCAATCAACTGGTCTTCTTTAAATAGAAAACTTTGAATCAGTTTAATTGTATGAGTGTTTGAATTGTCTCTGAGAAGTGCCTTGAGAAGACGTGTTGTGAATTGGCACTATATAAATAATCTCAACTTAATTGAAGACATGAAACACATTTTAACAGAGGATTTATATGTTCTCTCCTACTTCTGGACTTGAAAAACTTATAATCATGGCTCGTATAGATAGGACATTGCAGTCCTATCTATACACAATAAAAGCTCTTATCTTAGAACTGATACTGATCTTATTCAATTATCAGATGGAGAGGAAAACAGGACACTGTATTTCTAGTAATTAAGGCAGACATTGCAGTACTGCTCTTCAGAACTATCACTATACTTTCGCTGACAGTTTAAAAGGACAAAATCTTGCACACATCCAACCTTACTCTAAGGATTGTATCTGAATGTTAATATACTGTAATAATGCATAATTGTATCAAAGGCACACTTAGCAGAAAAAAAAAACAAACTCTTAGAACTTGCTAGAGTAAAAACATCCTATAAGGCTATTTGGTCAGACATCATCAATGCATTAACTGCAACATAATGAAGAACAAAACTATAAAAATCCTTCATCTAGGGACATGAAACGCTTTTCTTGGAATCTAGGCCATAATTTCAGTGTTGGTGAGAGAAAAATCACTTCTCCCTTAGAGGGTGTGTAAATCTAACAGGGCCACGGTCCCCTGTTAGTTGCTGGCACAATAAAAGGGATTGTCAGAAATGAACTGGTGGAAATAGGTTAATTTACAACCACATTCATCTCTTTGATTCTGTTGTAAATTGACAATAATAAAACCTACAGAATACATGACAACTAATAAAACTTTCCACCAGCTTCACATCAAAGTTACATTCCTCCTTTCAAGGCTTGTTGACCAAGTGAAGTTTGATAGTTGCTTCAATTAGGTTGTGAACCTGGGGGTAGGTATTTTTTTTTCTAAATAAGAAAAAAAATTTTACCCAACATGTTAGGAATAAGAATGACAGCTTGAGAGCAGAAGATTTTTTAATACCCAAGACAGTCAGCACAAAGTTAGGTAAGCTTTAAATCAAAGTTTGAAAAACCATCATGCTCTGGAACTCACCATAGAAAGACAGCTTTCCTTTAACTGAGTTTCTTCCTCTGCTGTTTTCTGCTATGCATTCATACATCCCCGAATCCTCTTGTTGGAAATAAGGGATCTCTAAAACTCCGCTGGCTTTATTCACATCCACCTTCCTGCCAAAAGGGGCCCGATCCACCCTTTTCCAGCTTATGGTTGGCACTGGGCTGGATGTGACGAAGAGAAAATCAAAGATAACAACCTCTGAGGTATTTTGAAAGAAATACAAGCAATGACAGTAAAGCACTTAACAGGATGAAGCTTGTAACCTTCACATAAAACACTGATTGTTTGCAATCACTGTGCCCTCAAAATCCATTCAATTGCCTCAACACTGTTCCATACTTAATCTGCAGGTTGTATAAACAAATAATGAAGGGTTTGATGTCTTGAGATGAGAAAAACACACTTTCCAAGTGCAAAACATTCCAGTTTGACAGTTGAGCTCTTAGCGACAGGGACGACTTCAGGGAGCTGCACTTCAATTTTAGGCTCGTATTCACCCATCACACCTGCAGAAACAAAGAAAAACAAGGTGTCACATCCCCCGCATGTCTCACAAAAATGAATTCAACTCAAGGCCAGGAAAAGGTTACAAATATTCCAAAGGGAAAAAAGGAGCTTCAAATGGTAAGGTCTATATCACCCAGTTACATGCAGGTTACCAGTCACCCCTCTTTATTGTAGATCTTTGAATTACAGTACCTTGAAAACATTATTATTGTGTAAATGTGATTATATCATAAGAGTAAGTTCAATGTATTTGTTGAGACTTTATGTGATAGACGTACACCAACATATAGATACATATCTAAAAAGAAGGGTATTAGCTGTCAGCCATAACTGGTAGATCGTGTTATGAGATAATTTATAGGAAAGTCAAAAGCAGCAGAATAAAACATGTGGGAGATACAGAAATCCTGTAGCAAGGGAAAAGTCAAATTATTTGGCCTACCTCCAAAATTCTACCTGTGGCTATAATTAACCCTGAATATCAACCCTAAACGCATGCAATGTGATTTCTATGAAAGTGTTGTTTCCCTTCATTAAGATCAACTTTATTAGATTAATTTTTTTTGCCAAGAACAATAAGCAAAACCATAGTTTGTGCATTTGCAAAGCTTGTAAAGACAAATGTGAAAAGATGTAGTCCATTTCAGTATCTGTTGATAATCACACATCATTTTCACATATTAATCACATATTATCTATGATGTTGATATTAAGTGCAAATAAAATGCATTCTTGCTTGATTATAATATTACTTTCACATGAATATTCCTATCAATATAATCTTAAAAATGGCAAAATGTTGTAGATGGGACACTGCATAACCACAGCTTAAAAATGCTTGTTATTTTAAAGTAGTCATTTAACATTTGGAATAGAAAGTTTCATTTTTTCTTTCCAACAAATTATAGTGAACATAAATAGACAACCGCCAAATTAGTGATTTTGAAAGCCAAGTTAGATATGAAGTAAAATGCAGCTGGTTGAATTTACTGCCAACAGATTGCAAACACAGACCTTTTGGCAGCAGTCACTAAAGTTTCAACACCTGTGATTTAAAAAGAATCGACTGAGCAGAAATAAAATTTGGATCTGCATCTCCTTCATGCAGTTAGATAAATCTTAGGAAGGGTTCTCTGTTACCATCAAGCCGCAGGACTAAAGGTGTTGGTGGTCCTTGAACACTGCTTTTGGTGACAGTGTTTGTGACCACACACGTGTAGTTGCCCACATCAGAGGGTTCCACTTTGGCAATATAGAGATTGCCTGTCTTCTGGGAGATAAACCGCCGTGTGTCCTGGATGACAAAAGACGGGTACGCGTTGAAGATCCAACTGAAAGTGAGTTCTGCAGAAAGAGCCAAAGAAAGTTTTGCGTAAATATATGCAACCAGCAGAACATGCTCTGATTTTATAGATCATCTGTACATATGTGCACATTCAGTGGGTTTCATCTGCAGTCTTATCACAACCTTGTAAGAAGATGCCCTAAGGGATAAAGCAATTAGTGCATAGAAATGGGAGCCAGATTTTCATAATTAAAAACATTATTTATATTTAAAGACCATTTACTTCTACAACTTATTTTAATATTGTAAATAAAAAGCATTCCAACATATATGCTAAAGTAATGAGGCTGAGAGGCTGGATAAAGGTTTTTCTTTATTATCATAAGTTATTATTTTTTTTTATCTTATACAAGATTATTTTAGATTAGTTTATTTATATGGAATCAGAACTTTGCTTTAGTATTCCTCTGGTATTTTGACAGCATCTGGAAACGTGGAACAAAATTAACTAGACCCTTCATCCCCACAAATTCCCACAACTGTGGAATAAAGTGGCATCTCACACTGCAGGATAAAACTATTTGTAAATGGATCCATTCCTTCTCAATTTGTAAATACAAGAACCAGGTAAAAATAATGAGGGAGACAATAAAATAAGGGGTTTATAGAAGCAGACCTGAAATTATTTTTTTTTTTGCTGATATTTTTTAATGTAAAGATTTGAAGCAAAGATAACTAATATATTCCAGGATATTATTTTCACATTCTTATGTGATGTTAGTGGTTTTCACACACCAGAGGGGATGGTTCATTTCTGACAGTGGCTCTGAGGCTGTGGAAGGCTTTGCCTCCTTCTTTACGCTGTATGAATTCTGCTGATTCTTTTAAAAAGCAACTGAAGACTTCGCTATTTAAGCAGGCTTTAATTAGACGTGTGGTTTTTGTGGCTTTGTTTGTATGTTTCCATTTGTTTTTAAAATGTTGATATACGTTGTATTCTACATTTTTTATCGTATTATATTTTCACTGTGAAGCACTTTGTGATTTTTATCTGTGAAAAGTGCTATACAGATACATTTAACTTACTACCTTTTTGTTTGTTTTATTTAATAATCTTAGTCTATATATTTTACATATATATGTGTGTATCTGTGTACATATTTCATATTTATTTTGTAATATTTTTACACTACACAGAAAAATAAATATGAATACAAAAGATATACACAGTGAATTTTAGATGTATCCCATTATTAAACCATAAGATTGAATATAATGTATGCTTTACCCAATGTTTATGTAACAATTACTGAAAATTATTGTACAATTTGTTAGGCTAAAGTTGAATAAAAAGGACTACCGTATTTTCACGACTATAAGGCGCACTTAAACATCTTTTTTTTCCCTCAAAATGTGTGGTGCGCCCTATGGTGCGGTGCGCCTTATGTGTGTTGTAACTGCGACTTTTGAGACCACCTCATTGAGGAGATGATGAAAGAGTGGCTGAATGTAAGGAGACCAGGTGTTTTTTTTCCACTCATCACCTTCGCTGTTAATATGTGACTCCATGCGTGCCCATCTCACAGCTGATGTGAAAAACATGGGGAAACAAATTAACGCTTTGCTCGCTGTTCAACCGCTCGACATCTGTGTGAACCGGACCCAGCAGGTGCAGCAGGTGCAGCAGAAGCAGCGAGTTTACATGCAAAATCAATGGTTGACGCGCGTATAGGCGCAGCAAAAGGTCCCGCAGCGTGTTTTGAGCAGCAGGCGCAGCAGGAGCAGCAGCGTTTAGGCATCTGACGCACCGCCAACGCGCTGCTGCTCGAGATGGAAAATTTGAAGTTTTGCTGCTGGACGCACCGCATCAACCAATCAGAGAAGCTGATCTGGGAGCTGACAGCGAGACAGACACAGCGCTCTGATGACATATGATATTAACGCAAATGAAAAGGGCTGGATGGATGAGGAGATGATGAAAGCGTGGCTGAGGCAGGTGTATGTGAGGAGAACAGGTGTTTTTTTCCACGCATCACCATCGCAGTTAATCTGTGACTCCATGCGTGCCCATCTCACAGCTGATGAGAAAAACATGGTGAATCAAATGGACACTGTGCTCGCCGTTATCCCGGGAGGTCTGACCAAGGAACTTCAACCGCTCGACATCGGTGTGAACCGGCCGTTCAAAGTAAGGCTGCGAGCGGCGTGGGAGCGATGGATGGCCGACGGAGACCACAGTTTCACGATAAGTGGAAGGCAGCGCCGGGCAAGTTACGCCACCGTTTGCGGATGGATTGTAGATGCTTGGACTAACGTGTCTGCTGGCTCTGTTGTTCAAGCTTTCGCAAAAGCAGGCATTATTTCTGAGGAGCTGCGCTGCACGGAAAGTGACTCTGACAGCGAAGAAGGGGAAATTGGCATGTCTGATTTAGCGCAGCTGTTTAATTCAGAAACAGAGGATGATGACTTTGATGGGTTTGATTAATACTTTGTAATAAATACATTAATAAAGCACAATCATACTCAGTTTTGCTCCCGCTGTATTTTTCTACCTGAAAACTTAATTCAACAGCAGCCTCTGGGCTGGGTCTCCTCCTCTTCACCGCGGCGGCTGGCAGGTGTTTTTTCATCTAAATAATCTAAATCTTGCTGCTATATTTGCTGTGATCAGTGGGAATAAAGTAGTTTTAATATGTTTTTAAGTGAGAAAGTCCACCTGAAAACTTCATAATTGCAGTCAGTTCATCCAGATTATCTATTTTTGTCAGAGGCGCTCAGACCCCCACATACCAGCGGTGCACCGACAGTAGATATCCCTTCATCAGCAGCCTCTAGGCCGGGTAGCCTCCAGGTTCACCGCGGCTGCTGGCAGGTGTTTTTCATCTAAATCATTTTAACTGCAGGCACCACGACACCGGTAATAAAAGCGAACAAATTCCTTCGGCAGGTTTCAGGATTTTAAGTTAATTTAGGAGTGATCACAGCGCACTGTCATCTGCAATGTGTCTGTCTCACGGCCAGTACCCAGGTTTGATTAATAGTTTGTAATAAATACATGAATAAAGCACAATCATACTCAGTTTTGCCCCCACTGTATTTTTAAATACGCAGTAGAGGTATTTAAAGGTAGTAGAGGACATTTACCTGTATATAAAAAACGCGCCCTATAGTCTGGTGCGCCTTATGTGTGTGTTAAATACAGAAATGGGACACATAACTGAGAGTGCGCCTTTTAGTACGGTGCGCCTTATGGTCATGAAAATACGGTATGTCTAATCAGTCCTCAGGATATTCTGTTGGTTTGACTTCATGTTGTGCAGGTCAGTCAAGTTGTTTAAGCCAAGCCTAACTTTTGAAAAATAAACCCACACCAAAATATCTTCAACACCAGAGTTTATACTTGACACAAAACAGTAAATTTCACATAGAATACACATTTGTTTAAGAGTTTTTGTTCTTCCAGGAACTGTTACATAGTAAAACACGAACTGTTAATCAAACAGCTACAGTCAAATATAACTCTTTCAACATTTTGTCCAAATCAGTGTAAAATTTACTCTATAGCCAGTGTCAACTTTTGAGATAATTTTACTAATTTTAGTGTCAGGAAGACCTCTAAGAGTCTGGCAGGTAATCGAAAACATATAGAGTAAAAGTTACATTGCATGGCTGTCAAATTTTTAACTGATTATTAGCTTCAACACTTTAACAGATTCACACTCATAATAGTTGTTAATACTCTATTTAGAGTAAAATCGATTGGCTCTGAATTATTAACACAAAATTTTTACTGTGTAGATCACACTGTTCTATTAGATTTAAAGAGATAACGTTTTTATCTTTCCCAGAAAACACATTTCCATTGTTCTGAAACCGAGAAATAGTGTTTTACATCACTGCACTTGATGTTTTACATTTAACATGGTCATATAAGACTTGAATGGCCATTAAAAGTCATCAATGAAGCTCTCTATAAACTATTCTTAACCTACTTTTAACACTACATAACATTTGGAGGCCTGCAGTTAATAGCCATTCAAAAATCTGGTATCATTTGCACACTCAGTGCCACAGAATCAACTAACTACTACCACTTCATGCCTAGGCTGCTCTAATTCTAAAGTGGTTCTACTGTACTTTGTTATAATATAAATAAAATTTGATGATGGATATGGATATACTGAACTATTATGATGGACCAGTTCTTTCATAGAGGTATTTGATTTTATACACGTGTAGCTCTGTTGTTGGACCATCTAAATTCACTGGCTTCAGATAAATGTAGATGGTTGGGTGACTGAATACTGGGAATACTATATGCATCAAAAACATCTTTGTTTAGACCAATGTTAAATCATGTCAGAAAGGCAGGGTAAAAACGTAGTTTCAACAGAGTACTGATTTGCTACCTGAATATAAATGTCAGAATTTTTAGATATTGTAAAATATTTATTAACTTTTTCTAATCTCTTATCTTGCATTTACTAATTCTACACAACATTTTTCTAGGCATATCTTTTTATTTAAAACTCCAGCGAATTACACTGTAGTTTGAAGGTGAAACACATCCAAATGACAAAACGTTCCAGTTTTATGACCACTTTTGCAAAATAATGCATAATATTTTGAACTTCGAACAGGAATCTTGCTTTGAAACTTGTGACCACATTCTAAAAATGTAATACCCTATGAAACCATTATATTACAGATTGTTTTATTCTGTTTTATACCCCCTCTTCTAATACTCATTATCTAATGTAACAAGTTTCAGGGAAAGAGCTCCTATACTCCCAGCCAAACAGAGTGCAGTCATAAAAGCTTTTGCACTAACAGCGACATTACAAGGCTGAATATTGGTGTTTTGACATATTGACATAAGGATAAATTGCTCTGGACCACACTGCATCCCTGTCCCAAAAGCAATCTAAGCTGTTTGTAAAACTTGTCTAAGTGATGACTTTGCAGTATAGCGCTGAGAATAAGTAAGATGCAAGGTGTACATTTATTTACCCCTGCATGGAGAGGGACGCCTGGCTCTTGCAGCCTTGCAATTGTAACA